AAAAAAAAAAGAAAAAAGTCTGTGATATATACATTTTGTTTAAATAGCTTCTAAAGTGATACAAATCATAGGTCATACATTGCATCTCATTGTATACTCCTATAGCACAATATCTGTGAATAAATAGGCTGGGCCAGCTATAATTAGCATGGAAGCCATCTTGAAAAATAGTTGCAAAAAATTGCAAAATAGTATTAAAAAGTAATGCCCTGCCACCTCCTTTTTTTTTTAAAGTCCAGATGATAAACATGTTATTTTCCTTATTGTTGAATTGTTCTATGTATTAGATTAGAAACCATGAGGAAGTAGTTCTCCAAGGTGTTTGGGACATCAAGATTATTAATAAAAACAAACACCGGTTGGAAATATATGATTATTCAGATAAAGTTGGCAGTTTTTGCCAAGTACTGTTTTGACAGAACCTTTCAGATAACAAAGAATTCAACAACAAATAATGCAGCGTACATCAATATTAATTTGTATACTTTATCCTGAACGTTCCCGATGGAGTCGTGGGTGGGTATTCTGTATTGACAAATTTTGCTTGAAAACAAGAAATGAGGAAAGCAGCAGACCTTCTTTTTAAATGTTATTTATAGGACCTTTATTCATTGCCCTAGATGACCAATATAGTGCTGGTCAAGGGTGTTTTTTTAAAGAAAAATGTCCTACTAAGCACTGCATCTAATAATAATATTAATAATAATGCAATATCTATAGAGCGCATTAAAAAGTTTCTCTATGTGCTGTACCAGCATTTGGATTATGCTCAACTTTTTAAAAGAAATATTCCTTGTTTGATGAAAAAAATGATCCCATGGAAAGAAAAGCATGAATTGTGTTCATATATGAGTACATGATAACTTTTACAAATTTACAAAGACTCAATGATTAAATAATTGTGGTTATGTTCTGATGTTCCCACATACATGTAGAGATAGAATATCTTTACGTTCAGACATTGCTAAAAAAAGGGAACCTTTTCGTTCAACTTTCCACACCATTTAAGGAATTTACTTATTAATACAGCATTTGCATGACAGTGTAAACATTTTTTTTAAAAACTTTCCTTTGTCTTGAAGCAACATGGTGGGAAATAGTCTAAAGGTATTATAGCCATATAATATAAAATGAGGTAATAAATCGGACAAGGATATAAAATTGATGATCTGTTATTGTAAAGATGGCATAAGTATCCTGTTACAAGATATGATTATGATGAGCTTGTTTTAACAATAGCCAAAGGGGAAGGAAAAGCCGTTGTTAGTATTGGAACCTCTCATAGTTGATACCTAATGCTCTGGACTTCATTGCGCTTGCTTGTGTGTATGGTACAGTCTCATGGTGCAGTCGTCGAGGATTGTATGATCGAAGCAACATGAGTTGCCATTTTGCTGCTCCGAAAGGGCTAAGGAGGAAGATGTCGCGAATAGAATCGGGAGAAGAATTCCAGAATTTTGTAGGAAAACCAAAGGGTAAATTTTGTAAACATTTATTGTGAAGTTAGAATGAAATTTGTATAAGATATTTAATTAAAATGTACATGTACATGTATACCGGTACTAATCGTAAATGACAAGTGTTGGTGTAGATTGCATACTATACATTGGTATGCAGTTTGAAAGTGAGTTCATTATTCACAGGCCGTGAGATCGGCAGGTCACACGGCCGATAGTGTTGGTCTTCTAAAAGTTAGAATGAAATTTGTATAAGATATTTAATTAAAATGTACATGTACATGTACATGTATACCAGTACTAAATGACAAGTGTTGGTGTAGATTGCATACTATACATTGGTATGCAGTTTGAAAGTGAGTTCATTATTCACAGGCCGTGAGACCGGCAGGTCACACGACCGATAGTGTTGGTCTTCTAAAAGTTAGAATGAAATTTGTATAAGATATTTAATTAAAATGTACATATATACCGTAACTAATTGTAAGTAACAGGTGTTGGTGTAGATTGCATACTATACATTGGTATGCAGTTTGAAAGTGAGTTCATTATTCACAGGCCGTGAGATCGGCAGGTCACACGACCGATAGTGTTGGTCTTCTAAAAGTTACCAGAGCATTCATGAAACTGTTGGCCATGAGACGATAGCCCACAAGACATGTCAGTCTCTTTTGCATTTTTATGGGATAGGGTCTTTAAACCTAAATCTCACTTACAACCCTTAGCTAGCTAGCTAGCACATCAACTTGGTTTCAAACCCAGGACCTCCTTTTCACACTGGTTTTGCTTAACCCCGTACTTTGCTTAGCCCCGTACTATCCTTAACCCCGGACTATTTTTTTTGCCTTTTCACACACGCTGTTTTTAGTCCCGTACTAGCGCCTATTCCGGAATAAGAAAAGTCACGCTGTTCTCACTGCAATTCGTTAACCCCGGATATAGTGAATGTTATGATTGGACATACTTCGCATCTGGCCAGCTGCGATACGCTCCATTGCGTAGTACCGGACTATTTTTCGTTTATGTTCTCATTCATTTGCTTGGCACCGCAATTGCGGGGTTAGCAGAAGTTAGCACCACAATTGCGGAGTTAGCCCTGCTATTTTGCAGGGTTAGTTAACCCCGTACTATAGGTGGGGTTAGCCAACTTTAGCCCACTTTGGTAAAAGCCAGTCTGAACAGAAAGTGGAATAGGCTTAACCCCGTACTATAGGTGGGGCTAAGACCCCCCCCCCTTAACCCCACCTATAGTACGGGGTTAAGCAAAATATTGCCAGTGTGAAAACAGTACTAGTTATGAAACCACTGCTAGAGGGCCTGTCCTCATCAGCTCGAGTTTGCCAGTAACCCGCTATTTTCATTCTCATTATCCAGTAGCTCATTATTGCATCTTCACCATAGTTAAAAAAAGCAGGTATTTTGGCAAACTCAAGCTGATGAAAACAGGCCTCATGAACTTCCAGGTTATGCCAAATTGTAGTTTAATAAAGTGACTGCTTGCCCGGCTTGTTTAAAGCTTTGAATACTTGTTTTTTTAGTCCCGTGTGAATTCTCCTCATTGTTAGTGGATTGTTGTTTAAAACAAGGTTTTGCAAGACCCGTGTGAACAGAGCTAATGTTTTTTAAATGTGAATGGGGCAGTGTGCCTGCAAGGCCTATAGTTCAATTTGATACTGGTGTTGCATATTAGACAGTCTTGATCCTAATATCGTGCTGCAGCATGAGTTGGAACATGAAACTGATTGAGTCACTGTTATGTATACCCTAGACACAGGATGGATACTGTACATGTAAATGCTGTTATTTTCACGTGATTAATTTTTTGCTCTGAGCGACCCCGAAACATATTCGCGGGTTCTTAATTCGCGCTGCACGCAATTCAGCCCGTTCAAAACAAGCATAAGAAGCCATGCTTATAATATTCGCGGACACCGACTTTAGCGCGAAATCCACGAAAATTAAAACACAGCGAATATTACCATGTTTACAGTAGCTGGAGCTGAAAAATCACTTTCGCCTCTTCCTCAGATCGAGATTGATCTGCAGGCCGAATTAAGCTCAGGTTTGGCGCACGCGCATATTTCAACCAGATGGATGGAGTGCGTGGTTTCAATTGCTTGCCTGCGCTCTATCATAGTAAAATCTTTGGAAAGACGTACATGACAAGCCATGCTCCAGTCACACGGGGAGGACCGAAAGCTCCACACAAGGAAGAATGCGTAATGCGCTCATGCAGCTGATCGAGAATGTTTCAAAAAAGCAGATATTCACCTATTTTATGCCTTCGCTCATCCCGAACCATGAGAAATTGAATATTTACTGCATGGTTATCTGGGAGTTTTTCACATACAGTGCCAGTAGGCCTGTCCTCATCAGCTCGAGTTTGCCAAATAACCTGCTATTTTCAGACTCAGGGTATTTTCCTGAAGCTCAAAATTGCGTTTTCACCAGAACGATATACTCATCACAAAGTTGCTCGGACGGGCGCAAATTAGCCCCCTATTTCCCAAATAGCAGGATATTTTGGAAACATGATCAAGATTTCTCGGAATATTTTCTTGACCAAATATCCCGCTTATTGTAACTGCGGACTGATGAAGATGCAAATTATCCGGCTAATTTGCGATCAGGATAGTTAAAATAGCGGGTTATGTGGCAAACTTGAGCTGATAAAGACAGGCCTCATTAAATATTGAAAATTTACTGCACATTCATCTTGATACTTTTTCCTCAAAGCACAAGATATGCTGATTTTTCTCCTGTTGGCTCACAACCCGGCCTTTATACGAATCGTAACATATACATGTACATGTAGTGAGTAGGAACTTACAACTGATCAAACAAAAATGTTCAGTCGGTATGAATAGGGTAGAGTGTGACTAGTTCCGTGGAGTTGTTATTGCCAACTTGCCAAGTGCATTTAATCTCTGGCGCTTTAATGATTTGTCATGAAAAGTGGATGTCAATCTGGCTCAGAGTCATCTGCACAGGTGCAATTGCCGAAAACCTAACAAACCTGTGATCCCTGCATTACAGGGCAATTAAATGTATAATTTTTCCTATATTTCCCTGCCTTTTGATACAATATATACCAGTACTGTATATACATTTAGGTACATTTCATATAAAGTCCTGTCAGGAGAAACACGCTAGTAATGATAACTCAACATGTTAGTTTGCCATAAATGTTTCCACGGCTTGAATTGGATCTTAATATGTTTCTGTGACTTAGAAATATTAGGACTGAAATATATGTTTCATACTTATTATTGAGTTCTGTGGAACTATTCACAACAGTAAGTTTGATCTTTTGTGATACCACAACCTTCTTAGGTTTTGAAGTTTGAACTAAAGGTCATATGGCCTTGGAACAAGGACATAATTATGAAACTTGATTTCAGGGGACATGTTACAGTTGAAAGTCGCATTAAAAGGCCAGGTATTGATTAACGCTTCACTATCTTTGTGCAAATGTCACTACTATTAACTGACTGTATTCTGATACTTCCTCCTCTAATTCCCGAACCTTGTTTGTCGTTTCAGATACCGTGTATGATCTGACCATCTTGTACATGTCAGACGTCACCAACTGGTGCGAGTACCTCTTCGATATCTTCAACCCCTTTGAGGTCTACCAGCAGTCGGAGGAGATCACCACGTTCCCCACTCACGAAAGCACCATCCACCACATCAAGAGCTCCCGCGTTCAAGTCCTCATCATCTCCCCCAAGTTCATCGAGACCGCGACCGCCCAGATCAGGGAGATCACCGGAAAGAACTCCGTGGTGGGACTCCTGTGCGGCGTGGAGAAGGAGGAGCTGGTCAAGCTCCAGGACAGGATACCAGACTATGTGAGCTGGCACCTCGTGGATGCTAAGGATGGACCGCGGTGCATCACGGGCACGACATTGGACATTGTGGATGAAATGATCAAACTTGCAGATCAGCAAGCCCCTCCGGACATGAACGTAACGGATGAGGTTTATTTAACAATGACGGGGAATACATGTAGAGAGCAAGAACCGCAGAGCAATTACATGCAAATGGGAAGAGGATTACATCATGGTACCGGTAAGTGTTTGTTCGTTGCCAAGCTGAGGATCAAGGATCAAACGTGTTCAGTCAACTATGTTATGGAAAACTTCCCCTATTTATAAGTCCATGATCGTTCCAGAAGAAATACTTTAGGAATACCACCCCATATCCCTCATTTTTTTAATTGCTCTTTGTCAAAATGCTGCAAATTTTTTCGTTTAGTATTGGGCGACCAGCACAAAGCAGATTCAGAGTATCGCACCATATTCCAACTGACGATTCAGTTTGTAACAGTAGAAAATTGCTTTTTAAATACGATATACTTTTTAATAGAGCTGAAGACAAAGTGAAGTTAGCATGTAGGCAGTTCGCTAGCTCGGTTACTATGGCTCTGGCCCGGCCGAGACCGGACGGCTCGAACACGTACACAGATGCGTGAAATGGACCTGAAGTGTCAAAGGCACCAAGCTATCTCAGAGTGCATTTGAAATCGGGACATTAAATTTACATTGAGACATTTTGGGTATTGGTGATAGCGAGTATCACATGTTTATTTGTTTTTTTCCACCTTGTACGATAATTTGGTCGCCAATGATCCTCTTTTTCTTATGTTAATTGAGAGCTGCTTTGATGAGAAAACCACCAGTCAGTGACCCTGCAGGTAGGTCTGACCAAACTAGTGCAGATGGGCTTTAAGACTCCTTTAAAATAAATGGCAGAGAAGTGTGAGACTCTTTTTAAACTGGCTTTGCAATCATCTCCTCTTTTCTGCAGGTCCTGCAGACAAGCAAGATGATCTGTACCAATTAATGAGTGGTAAGAACAAACATTTTCATGAATTTCATTTACATCGTAACAGTTAATTTGCTTGTTTTTATTCAAATTTTTAAAGGAAAAAAGGGTGATTGGTTGTTTTTCCTAGGAGCTGTACAGTATTTGGCTACAAGTATTTGGCTACAACCATCAAAACTGACAGCCCATAAGACATACACCTGTAGTCCCAATATCTTTGGGTCCCATGAGTGCACAAACCGACATTGTCTGTAGACCGTGAGACGATCATTTTCAGTTTTGTGTGCTGACCTTCTTGCAACTGTTCATAGGGTTAGCTAGAGTGACAATCCATGAGATCAACACTTTCTTATCTTTTTTTGTTGTTGCATATTTGTTTTGCAGTCTGGTGGACTGTCCTTGTGAGCATTTTGGAACTTTCTTATTCTAGAACTATTATCTTATAAATGTATTAATAAAGATTGATTATGTACTAGGTCTGATTTTTGTTTTGTTTTTGTTCCCCCCCCCCCCCCCCTCTATTTATGTTTTTAAAATATTTTTTAAATCACTTTCTCAAACAACAATATAATACTGTATTATACTTTATTACTGTTTTGGTGGCAGCACCAATAAAGCCGTAATTTGGCTTTCCTAGCTGTCTCCACATTCATATATATTTTTGTTGTTGTATTGTATTGTACATGTTTCTCTTTAACTTGTACGCTATGTTTTGTATTTTATATGTTTGTTATGATGTTTTTATGGTGATAAAGTTCAATTCAATATTATATTTGTTTTGTTGGTCCCATGGGCTTTCAGTCTAGCGTGCACCTTTTGGAATGGTCACCTGTCGGTCTACTTCGATGACCTCTATGAAGTCACACTGGGCTTGTCCTCATCAGCTCCAGTTTGCCACATAACCCGCTATTTTAACAATCCGATATTAAGCCAGTTAATTTGCATCTTCATGAGCACACAGAACATTTAGGGGGATATCAGGTCAAAAAATATCCAGAGAAATATTGGTCTTGTTTCCAAAATATCCCGCTAATTGGGATATAGCAGGCTTATTTGCGCCTGTCCGAGCTAGTTTGTGATGAGCGTATCGGTCTAGTGAAGACGCAATTTCGAGCTTTGGGATCATATCCCAAGTCTGAAAATGGCAAGCTATTTGGCAATTTCGAGCTGATGAAGACATACCTATAATTAATACACCTCTTTGAGTTGAAGTTTAATGACCTCTAATGATAATTTGTTCTTGCTTCTCTTTTAACACCCATCATCACCCCCTCCATGCCCCCCTCATGCACCTTACTGCATGCACCTACCCCCTCTATTGCACGCAGAAGGAAAGGCAGTCCAGGAAGAGGAGTCACATTACTTAGAAATGAATGGTACAGTTTCTATTCTTCTCTTTCTAGCCCTTTTACTTACATACAATATTTTCTATTTCCAACTTTAAATATCTCTATATATGTCTTTTCTTTGAATGTCAGTGTCGTTTGTTTCCATTTTATTATTCAATTTTCTTGAGATTCCTATCAGAGGACAATTTTTTAATTTTTATATTTGTGTACATGTGTGTTAAGATATAGCAAGAGTTTAAAAAATTTATGTTAATTAGTCTGCAGGTGTAACGTCAAATGATTCTTTATTTTAGAGAGACAGAGACAGAGAGACAGACAGAGAGAGGGAAGAGAGAGAGAGATGTTTGTGATTTTTATTTTCTAATCTCAAATTTCTCAACAGAGTATATTACGTGCACACGTCATTGTCATTTTAAGTTTATGTCAGCAAAGCCTCACAATTTTAAATGATGGCCCACCGACAACAACCCAGGTTCTTAATAACTTAATATTTGACAGACTACACATGCACTTTGTAAATATATTTATACTAATTTAAATGAATTTGAATTGATTGGAATTGAATTATTTCAGTTCAAGAGGAGGATCTTTATTTGGATCTGGAGTTACCTCCAGGTGAGAATTTGTCCGTTTGGATAATTTGAAGCCGAAAAGGACGCTGCATGACTTGTATTATTTTTTTCATCTTATAATCATTTTTTCCATCTTATATAATCATTTTTTTCATCTCATATCTTCTTTTTTTTTACAGCTTACATGTATGGCTCAAAGCAGACAATTTATTCAAAGTTGAATCGAAAAGATTTTGAAAAAAAATTCTCTAGATATGTTTATGCTGTCATGTTATGTTTCTTTACTTGTTTCAGAATGTTCAATTCATGATATTGAATATTATCACATATAATATATATTGTGGTAAATAAACTATCTGTTTAAAGGAATAGCAAAAATCCTTGTCAGTAACTCACTAAAGCAGATTAAAACCTAATTTTCCCCACACCTTCAAATTACGGGTCAACAGGGGTCAGATTTGCTGCAGTTACAGTGACGACGTAACCAAGGACCAGATCAGCTCGCCTATACAGCTGAGGGGTTGAACTGTGCTCCCAAAGTGCAAAGTTATTGTGAATATATGCATACTCCACATCAGATGATATCATGAAGTTGATAGTTAGTTTTTAGTTTGACAACTTCCAATTTTCAAACTTTTAGATTTTGAGTTTTCACAGAGCTGTTAAACCTCTGACAGACACTAAAATAGCATGTAATTGATAAAATTGATAAAATTGACTGTAATCTATGGCTCATAAGCTTTTTGTTGATATAAAATTCATCTTTTTCATTTCTCACTTATGGCAGGATCGTTAATGTTAGGTGTAGGGTTGAAGTTCAGCATTTATTTTGGTAGTGTAGGAAAGTGGTGCAGAGAAATTGTTACCAGAGCATATGCTCATTTGTATACAACTTTTCTTTTATTTGTCTGTTTTGTTTTTGTTTTATATATATATATATATATATATATATATATACCAGTATATATCTTTTTGTTTTGCTCTGGAGATCGCCTCCTAACAAGCCCTGAGGCTTTTTTCGGGACACCCTTTTCTTTCATTTCTTTGTTTTTATTTGTATTACTACATATAGCTCATATGTATATATTTATGGTTATGGTTATGGTTATTTTACCTGACTGCTAAGAAAGCATACATGCTTGTAAGTAAGCAACCAGATGGCCGACGGCTTTAGGTCTTCTCCGAGGGACCTGGTAATGAGGATTTAATACTCTGTTATCAAATATATTGATGTTAACATGAAATTATGCATGACATACTGTTAAATTGTTTGTTTTTTAATTGTAAATATTGGAAGAAATAAATGAGAGCTATATATGCTCTTTCAAGCAAGCAATCATAGAACCTTAAAGGTAAAGACCAGTTTTGGAAATGCACCAATTTCAAAAAATGAAATGGAAGCTCTTTATTACCAATCATGTGAAAGAATATGTTTTGACTAATACATGGTGATAACAAATTTGCCGGGAAACTGCCTACTAATTGATATATTTGGGAAATTAGTTTATCTATTGGACTGTGAGAGATAAATGCATGTGTCGCACACGTGTGCGTAGTCCCATATACATCTTTCTGTGTACAGTGCTTAAACTGTACGAAGACTGGGCCAAATTTCTTATCATTTTGATGATTCCAGAACCTTGCAGTACACACCAATACTGATGATCAGATACTAGATGATCAACCTTTTCTGATTGATTCCACAATGTTTCTTTCACAATGCAATCGCATGACCAGAACTGGTCTTTACCTTTAATTTGAATTAAAAATTAAATAAAATATTAATTGGGCTTTGGCTTCTTTTAGCTCCACCAGCGGATGATGAGCTCTACTTGGATATGGGTTCGCCCCCAGGTAAGAATAAGGAAGAGGGGGAGGAGAATTAACAAATTTGTGAACAAGCTGTAGATAAATTTAGTTTAATTGGTTTCTAGGACTTACACATGTAGAAGAAGAATTTAAAAAAAATTGTGTGTACAAGCCATAGATAAATTTAGTTTGCTTGGTATCTAGAACTTTAGACACATGTAGTGTAAATTTTGTTTAATTGGTATAATAGTTTTCATAAATTTAATTAAATTGGTTTCTAGGACTTACACATGTAGGAGAAGAATTAAAAAAATTGTGTGTACAAGAAGTAGATAAATTTAGTTGGATTGGTATCTAGAACTTTAGACACATGTAGTGTAAATTTTGTTTAATTGGTATAAAATTTTTAATCAATTTAGTTTAATTGGTATCTAGGGCTTACACATGTAGCATGTAGAACTTGTCCAGGGATTCTGGTATATGACCGTGTTCAAACCTGAAGGAAATAGAAGATTAAAAATCTCATTTTCTTATTTCTGATAATGTTATTTAGTGGCTTGTAAAGAAAATGCTTTATGCAAGTTATAGCTATTATTGGCAGTTTTTCAGCCATTATTGCAGGAGAAAAAAGGGGATCAAGCAATTCTTTGTCCTTTTACAATCATAATGAAATGAGATTGCAATTGTTATCATCACTGATTGTACAGCAGTCTCTGCATAACAGGGTAAATGTGACAGGGCTACTTCTGTTAATGGGTTGGATTAGAAAAAATCTTTTATTTGTTTCATAAAAACTTTCCCCAATTAATGGGGGTACTGCACTTAGGTGAAAAGTGCTTTATCCATCCTTATCAATTGAATAGGGCGTAGAATTTGTTACAAAAATGATTCAACCAGTTTGAATAACCGTATGTGTCTGTTTAAAGTTTTAATCTAAAACCGAAGATAAAAAAGTATAGGTCCAACTGATGATACTTGTGGAACAATATTAAATTGCCTACAAAGCCTACACGTTTCCAGATAGGCCCTTGATGGTGAAATTACCTAATTGAAAGGTCATTTATGAGTATGAATTTCATACCTAAAAGAAATGTTGCAAAATAACTGATTTAATTGTATCATTTACAATAATTTACAACTCCTGTATGCATAGCACAACAGCAGAAAGACGAGGAAATTTATTTGGAAATGGATGGTAAGATGCAATTTAGTGACAGATTAGTACTCTAACATGTCATTCACAATATTTAAAAAAAATGCTGCTCCTGCTGTGTATGCAAAAACTTAAACTATATTTATCCATAAAAGCATGCAAACATATTGGTACTTAAAAATAAGCTTCATCAGAAGAAACTACTGCATTATTTTGTTTGTATGGTATGAGCAATGCAGAAATGTAGTACAAAAATGGTGGTATAAAGGAAAAACTGCATGTGATTTATTTATTGAATTCAATTTTAATCGAAGTTTCAACAATCAATTAACTGCAGGATAAACCATCCAGAATGAATTATAGCCATGTCCTTTCAACATACGATTCCCATATCAGAGCTCGAGATTAGCTTTAAAGCCTATCTGCACTAGTTTGGCCAGGAGCGATTAGACCTGCCTGCATGGTCACTGACAGGTGATATTCTCATCATATCACCTCTCAATTAACATAAGTAAAAGGGGACCATGGGAGACCAATGGTCACCCCTTAGGCATTGTTTGTTATATAGAGGGCGCAAGTAGCTATAAATAATGCAGTTGGGCTTTAAGGTGATTGGTTCAAGGTTTAAGGTGATTGGTTCAAGGTTCAAGGTGATTGGTTCAAGGTTTAAGGTGATTGGTTCAAGGTTCATTCGTTGTACAAGACTCACACAGGAATCACAAAGACATGTAGGGGAAAAATATAATATAGAATGCATCCAAATGTCTTTTATTATTGATATCCATTTTTATCTCCAAACTCTAGAAAAAAGAGAACAAATTGGCAGTGTTGTAGGAGTGATAATGTCATGCTATTAGTCAACTAAGAATAAGACCTAAAGATTTTAATATTCACAAAGGCATGCAAGGCTTCATGGGCTTAAACAAGGAATGGTCTATTTGTCATGTTAGTAGCCAATTTCTTATAATTAATTCATTTTTGTTTAGTTATGTTCATTTTTGTTTTGCGTACCTTCTTAAAATCGAACATACTAACTGTACTATATAACTTTGAAAATACTTTTTAAAAAGCCTGCAATATTATTGAAAAAGTGACAATGATATGAAATGATATGCTATGAATCATCGTCATCATTAAAATCATAATATATACATCATCAGGAAAATAATAATAACAGTTTAATACAAACCAATGTAGGCCCTATTTCATTAACATAATTATCTCTCAAAAGTTTCCATAAGTAGAATACATGTAAATGCATGTGTGAACTGATGTTGGGTCGTGAGCCCAATGCTCAACCCTCGTCAACCCTAAGTTGATGTGAACAAGTTTTTTATTAAGATAAGTTTTTTTTTTTTTACCCGACTATAAGAAAGCAGTTTGATTCAAGGATGTGCGATTTTGTTGTTGTTGTCCATCAACGTATTTTTACCAAAGTGGGATCCTTGCTTTCATAGACATTATATTATTACATCTAGCTGTCTCCTTTAGTTAACTAGGGTGTAAAAATAGAACATGTGATATGTTTAACATAAATAATGTAAAGTTAGAACTTGTATATCACTGTAAAGTCGAGGGATGTCAAATTTAGTTGGAGTAAGTTTTATGAAATCTCTTCAATACTCTTATTATAATACGATACATTGAATTTGTACTAAGATTTCTAATGAAATGAGGCTATAAAAATGTACCATGATTGTCATTTTCAATTACAATTTTGGTACTCGTGATTAATAATTACTGACTTAATATTATAGCATTGATTTGTCCAAAACTTCTTCAAAAATTAAAATAACTTTCTTAACAAAAATAAGCCTATTTGAGAGATAGAATAAACTTACACCAAATATATTGATCTCCTTATTAAACTTAACATGGCAAATTTTATTCTGACACATCTTTCAATTCTTTTCACAATAATGAAAGAGGAGTAATAAGGCAATATGAATATTTATATTTTATCATATTTTTCCATCAATTGGGCATGCCATCTTGTAATATCAAGTATTTAGGTTGCTGTATTAGAGGTGAAATTGATTTCCATTATGTCGTATAGAACGAAATTATCATTTGTCTGCATGGGGATTTTTTTTACTATTTTTTAAAAATTACAGCCAGCCTTTCCATTTCTTTATGGGCAACTCAATATATCTTTCATTCCAAAAATGTTTCTCTTCATTATAGGTATATTTTAACAGCAAAGAAAGTTGAATGATACGATGTCATGTAAGCTTTATTGTAGATGGTATTATAACGTGGTATTGTATTTGTTTTAGATATAAATTGGTTATATCGCTTAAAATAGGGTTTTGTTGTTAACTTTGTATATAGATACATGAAAGCTTATGCATGGAAAGGTATACTACTTTTACAAAAAATAACCAGCTAATTTTTAAAAAGCAACTGCTTTCGCAGCTAGAACTACATGTAATAATAATGGTTGTATTTTCATGTGCATAATATTACTTCACATTCAATCTGTGGTACAAATGGAAAATGATCTTTTGGTTAATAGTATATTTGCTTTATTACTTTTGTCCTTTTTTCAGGGTACATGGCTTTCAGTCTATGTGTTATCATATCATAAAATCATTATATATATATATATATATATATCATATATCATATATATATATATATATATATATATATATATATATATATATATAATAAAAGAAGTCAAATATTGCTTATGATGCTATTGGTATTATTATCATGTCATTATTATTTTGTTTCATTTTTTTTGAGGGGAGGGGTCTGAATCTGAATCTGTTCTGTTCCTAGTCCTCGAAGTGGGATATCATTGACCAATAAGAGCGTTAGAGAGAGAGAGAGAGAGTGTGTAGTGTATTTAGTACGTTCTGGAGTTGAGTCCCATCACTTTTCAATTGCAGAGAGGGGCTATTGCCCCTTCGGATTGCATCTCAGAATCTGGTATTTGTTTCTTTTTTTCTTATTGTGATGTTATGCATTTGAAGAGAGCCTTATAAAAAAAATCAATATCTTTTGTTTGCTAACAAGCTTCTTTACGCCTTTTGAAATATAATATATTGTTATTGTTATTATTATTGCAACTGTTGATATCAAATACTCTGTGCATGACAAGCTGGTTCCCAAATAATACCTCTTGCTTGAGGTGTGAATACCATACTTATGATTACCAGTATTTACTTAAACCAACATCGTAATTTTTTTTTTTTCAATACTTCTTTATTGTTTTTCAGCTCAAGGATCTAGCATGTATAAAACATTTATATGATGTACTAATCGATTGAAACATTTTTTCTCTTTATTTTATTTATTCTATGTTTAACTATAGGCGGTGTCACACACAGGCCAAAATTCTGGATTTTAGTTATCCAGATTTTAGTTATCCTCTTAATTGCTGTCTGTTACCAATTATCCCATTGAAAATCCTCTAACGAAGCAAGAAAATTCTTCCTTGAAAGGATTTTCAAGGGATTTTTTAAGGGATTTTTCTGTGTGACACCACCTTATATATACTGTCCTTTGAATATTTTTAAACACATATGGCGCCATACAAATGCTGTGAATCATCATCATCATCATCATCCTGTGTGTGAGATGTGAATGTATTGTTTCTAATGGTTTAATTATGTGTTATCTGCATTAATGGAGACCTAGACAATATTTGTTATTCTCTTTCTCAAAATGAAATGTGAGAAATGTGGGAAAGAAGTATGAACGGGAACTCGATTTGTGTGTGGGTGTGTTTGTGGGAGAAAGAGGGGGCGGGGGATAACGGTGGATTGTGCCCCCACCGGCAAGCTGCGACGGGACAATTTATCAGCTTGGTATCTTTTAGATAATGATAATAATAATTCTGCATTTATATAGCGTCATTGGATTCAATACTTGCCCGCACACATTGTGTGCACAATCTCCACTCCCTGGGGAGCATTCCAGTCAGGCGTTACTTATAGCTCAAAAACTGTTTGACCAACAACGATGGTCGCATCCTACAGCGCAACAAAAGAGAAGGACAAGGAGGAGAAAGAAGAAGAAGAAGAATAGCAGAAGAAGGAGGAGGAGAAGGAGGAGGAGGAGGAGGAGGAGGAGGAGGAGGAGGAGGAGGAGGAGGAGAAGGAGAAGTTGAAGTTGAAGTTGAAGTTGAAGTTGAAGTTGAAGTTGAAGTTGAAGGAGAAGGAGAAGGAGAAGGAGAAGGAGAAGGAGAAGGAGAAGAAGAAGAAGAAGAAGAAGAAAAAGAAGGAGAAGAAGAAGAAGAAGAAGAAGAAGAAGAAGAAGAAAGGAAGGAGGAGCATAAGTAGAGTGCTTACAAAGAAGAGAAAGGAAATGGAAGGGAAGAAGTGGAATGGAGAGAAAAGCAAACAGCAGGAGAAAGACGGGTAGATGCTAACATTTATTTTGTGCAGAATTCATTGCTTCGGTGGTAGACTCCAAATAAGAAACATAAACATACATTTTGCATGTATTTTTTTTGACAATTTATGATTTTTGCATGTTATTTCTTTGAAATAGATTCCCAATTGCACAATGATGATACCTATGACTGCCCAGGTGAGCATGACTAAATTTCTTTTCAGAGATGAAATATATTATTTATATCTATTTTTATGAAATTCATAATTAATTCTCAATTACTTTAAAATTTCATTCTAAAATGACATTGTCACATAAAGCACCACATTTAAAATGCAAGTTGTGTACATACCTAGTTTGTATGTATGGGCTCTATTTTGACACGTAACGTAATTTCAAAAAGTCTTAAAGAGGAAGTCCACCCTGATATTTAGCTGATATTAATGAAAGCAGAAAAATAAGCAAAACACATGGGTGAAAGTTTGAGCGGTTTCCGATTACAAATAGGAAAGCTATGAAATTTTGAAGTTGTCCTCAGGAAAACACAAGTTGGCAAGACTTTGACATATCTTGGGAGGTCCTCTCCAACTTGCGAGAGAAAGAGAGAGAGAGAGGGCAGGGCAGGGGGGAAGAGAAAGGCAGAGATGGAAAGGGGAAAAAGAATGTGTGAAAAAGTTGGCAAAACTCCTTTTCTAGACCCATCATCAGCATAAGTTTCGCCCCTCTCCCACACTTCCACCCACACTTCTTCCACCTACATTTAGTAAAACCATTTTAATCATCATTTTCATATGAATATGTATTTTTTCAACTTTTGCTTCTAAATAATTTCTATGTCTGTGTTCACTTCACTTTATTTTATTTTGATTCATGTTTTACTTCCTTGTTTTGTTAACCCGCATGTTTATGATTTTGTTTTGTTCTGTATTTTCTTAAACTTAAATGCAGTTTCAGATTTTGGTTCACAGGACACGTATGATTTCACAGATATTGGTAAGCTTATATTGAGTGCTCGGACTCTCAAATGTATGACATTTATCCTATAACCATACACTGTATATAAATATACATATTATTGTATTCTTGTAATTTATTGTTGTTTCCATTAAAGATAGACAATATATACCATATCAAATCCATATTTCCTTTCTCCACGGCCTGTTGTCTTTCATGTAGTAAAATTGTATCAATATATTTATTGTTGTGCCCCACCCTACCAGTGACTGTCATCTCTACACTGTACCTGTGCGACCATTACCCTTTGTACAGTCAAACCTTTCTTTAATAGTGGCCGCCTCTCTAAAAAGCCCATCTCTCTATAGTGACCGTGCTGGCATTTTGTCTCCCTGGAGAAAGAAATGTGTGTTGTAGAACCTGCCTACAAAGGCTACCTGTCTACACCGGTCACGCATATTATATCCCTTAAGAAAGAAAGGTATGTTGTAAAACCTGTCTAGAAAGGCCACCTGTCTACAGTGGCCGTCGTCTATTTCCCTTGGGTGGCCTTGGAAGATAGGTTTGACTGTACTAGTTCAGAATCTGGCCTATTTAATTTCAACAATCTCCACCAAAGCAACATGATCTTGCTCAAGTTTGCTTCATTTTGTGTTCCTTTTTTGTTAACCCGCACGTTTATGATTTTGTTTTGTTTTGTATTTAAACAAAATTAAATGCAATTCTCGATTTAGGTCGACAGGATACGTACGAGTGCACAGAAATCGGTGAGCTTTAAATATCGAGTGCCCGGACTCTCAAATGTGCAACATTTCTCTTATAGCCTGTCTAAGAAACCTGTCTAAAAAAGGCTACCTGTCTTTAGTGGCCATGTATGTATTTTGTCTCCCTTTAGAAAAAAATGTGTGTTGCAGAACCTGTCTAGAAAGGCCCCCTGTCTATAGTGGCCATGCAGTTGATATCCCTCAAGAAAGTAATGTGTGTTACAGAACCTGTCTAGAAAGGCCCTCTGTCTATAGTGGCCATGCAGTTGATATCCCTCAAGAAAGTAATGTGTGTTGCAGAACCTGTCTAGAAAGGCCCTCTGTCTATAGTGGCCATGCAGTTGATATCCCTCAAGAAAGTAATGTGTGTTGCAGAACCTGTCTAGAAAGGCCCTCTGTCTATAGTGGCCATGCAGTTGATATCCCTCAAGAAAGTAATGTGTGTTGCAGAACCTGTCTAGAAAGGCCCCCTGTCTATAGTGGCCATGCAGTTGATATCCCTCAAGAAAGTAATGTGTGTTGCAGAACCTGTCTAGAAAGGCCCCCTGTCTATAGTGGCCATGCAGTTGATATCCCTCAAGAAAGTAATGTGTGTTGCAGAACCTGTCTAGAAAGGCCCCCTGTCTATAGTGGCCATGCAGTTGATATCCCTCAAGAAAGTAATGTGTGTTGCAGAACCTGTCTAGAAAGGCCCCCTGTCTATAGTGGCCATGCAGTTGATATCCCTCAAGAAAGAAATGTGTGTTGCAGAACCTGTCTAGAAAGGCCCCCTGTCTATAGTGGCTGCTGTCTTTTTCCCTTAGGTTTGACTGCACTAGTTTAGAATCTGGCCAATTTAATTTTAACAATCTCCACCAATGCAACCCAAACTCCCCCTACTTGCTCTAGCCCGGGCATTTTTTCCAGAGTAAACAATTCTAGTTTAATATTCTTCCTAACTGACATACAGAGAATTGAAAGCTCATAAATTTCTTTTCATCTTTACAAGAACACAACTTTCTCTTTAAAGGGAAAGTCCACCCTGATATTAAGTTGGATTTAGTGGAAGCAGAAAAATGAGAGAAACTTGTTGGTGAAAGTTTGAGCAAAATCTGATGAAAAACAGGAAAGTAATGAATTGTTGAAGTTGTGATAAATTAAACACAAATGGGCAACTCTGTGATGTATCTAGCAAGCTCCTCTCGAATTCACCATGTGCAGAAAATTTCATAAACTTTCATTTTTTTAGGTTTTGATGAAGGAATAGAGTTGCTTCTGACAGAGATTGTATAAAAACATATTTGCAACAATTATATTTAGGGTGAATGTACATGTGCCATGTACAGAAAATTTCATAAACTTTAATTTTCTTAGGTATTGATGAAGGAACAGAGTTGCTTTTGACAGGGGTTGTATAAAAACATATTTGCAACAATTATATTTAGGGTGAATGTATGATTGAAAATTTTCTTCAGGGAAAGTATGATTTTGTAAAGATTTTTTTTTTAGTACAGTGCAAATAGGAGGGGAGCTCAGAAGATACGTCACATAGTTGCCAATTTGTGTTTGATTGATGGCACCTTCAAAAATTTGTAACTTTCTTTTTTATAATCTGTTTTTGCTCAAACTTTCACCGACCTGTTAAAGCCCCACTGCACTACTTATAGCTACTTGCACCCTCTATATAGCAAACAATGCCTAAGAAGTGACCGTTGGTCCCCCATGGTCCTCTTTTTCTTATGTTAATTGAGAGCTGATTTGATGAGATAACCACCTGTCAGTGACCATGCAGGGAGGTCTAATCCCTCCTGGCCAAACTAGTGCAGATGGGCTTTAATCTCATTTTTTCTGCTTCCATTGAAAACCAACTGGATATCAGGGTGGATCTCCCCTTTAAACAACAACATCCAAAGTGCTCTTAACTAGCACTTCTAACATCTTTGCATCTTGAAAAATGGCATATCCGGTTTATTGTTGACACTCATGCAGGTCCGCCATTGATCAAAATGCTCATTCCAAAACGAAACTAAAACAAACCTTAAGAATTCATCGTTTCTTAAGCTATAAAGCATTGTGTGAAAGCTCATAGCATTCATTCATGAATACAACTGGACAACGAACAGGTGCACCTACTATCTTCTGTGATCGACATCGTACTTTTGAAAACATAATTTGTGCTGCTGCTGTGTTCATGTGTAATTGTTGAACTATGGCTTTGGAAAAAATCTTGGAATGTATTTCTAACTGTGAACGTGAGGAAAAGGGTAAGAAATCTTAGCAGTTGAAAAAGGCAGCTAATTAGATGAGTCGAAATTTTCTTTTCCAAGGCATGTATTTTGTTAGTATTACATCCTCTGCCTCTGTCTGTAATCTTCAACAAAAAAAAGTATTTTATTATGGCTACTCCTTTCTCGCTATATCTACTATTTCTTGCATAATTATTATTATTACATGTATATCCTTGTGGTTGTACTCTTTTGTTTCTGATTATAAATTATTTATATTCATTTTCTTTTTTAAATTTTTATAGAACCATATTGTTAGGATATGGCATTGGTAAAAGCATATACCACTTTGATGAGTGTCAATGTTAAATAAACTTTCAGTCTGATATGTAAAAAAAAGAAGTTTTTAATTAACAAATATCACTAACTATTATGCATTTTGCACTCTGGAATCGTCTTTTCAGTTGTGCCATTATATATTCTCTCAGTTTCATTAACCCAAATTCCAAAAACTTTAATTACTGAAAGTTGCTATAACTACTAATTATTTCTTTTCAGAATGTTAGCAAGAAGCAGTCGACGTGAAATCAAGTGTCAGTTTTTGTTCCCCTCCCCCTCCCCCCACAGAAATATGTGTTTAAAGCTTGTCAGATCATACAGTGTTTGGTGGGCGTACCGTAAGCCTTTTTTCTTCTTCTTCCATGCTTGCTCTCTCTCTCTCTCGCTCTCTCTCTATCTCTATCCCTCTCCCTCTCCCTCTCCCTCTCTCCCCCTTGTCTCTCTCCCTCCCCCTTGTCTCTCTCCCTCCCTCCCTCCTTCCCACCCTCTCTCTCTCTCTCTCTCTCTTGCTATGCATACCCATGCTGTTCAGACTTGTGTAATGCTTCTTTACTTGGGATGACTGCATCACTACATTCATTATAATTTATTTTTTCTTCAATTTTTGAGCCCTCCACAGGCTATTTATTAATAATCTTCACACAAATAAACAAAACAAATATATGTGCATGTTTAAACACATTCAAAATAATCTTTCTATGCAAACAACAATTGAAGCAACTGCCACTTTACAGCAAAATGTGTTTCCATTCCATACAGACATATAACATATTTCTCATCTGTATGATAATGTAAATCATTATAATAATGGTTTCCATCCTTTCTCTTCTTTTTAAAAATTTGTTTCAGGAACATTACCTACGAGAGGTTCACAAGTTACTGTTGTACCAGATAAAGTGAGAGCAGGGGTAAGAGTCGTTTCCATTCCTACTCTGTATTTAATATTGTGGAGTTGTTGTGGTAAAGAGTGGTAAAGTGTGATGTCATCAAAAATCTATTTTTAGAATTTCTCAATTTTTTCTTCATTTTCCGAAAGAGCATCAAAAATAATGTCCAAATGTCGAAAACCAATTTAATATGTTAAGTATTGGCTGAGATATAACCATCTGAATAAATTTACCGGTATGTCCTATGGGAACTCAGTGTTATATGCTCTGGCTCCTAATGGTTAGGACATTTGGACATTATTTTTGATGCTCTTTCGAAAAATGAAGAAAAAATTGAGAAATTCTAAAAATAGATTTTTATGACGTCGCAGCTTCGGTACTCTATAGTGGTTCATTCACTTGACTCTCGATCCAAGGGTTGAGGGTTCAAATCCCAACGAGAGAGAGGTTCACAAGCTACTATTGTACCAGATAAAGTGAGAGCCAGGGTAAGAGTCGTTTCCTACTTTGTAATATTGTGGAGGTGTCGTGGTACAGTGGTTCATTCACTTGACTCTAAATCCAAGGGTTGAGGGTTCAAATCCCAGCCTGGCACTCGCGTCACTCTCAATCCACATTTGCCACTCTCCACCCAGGTGTTAAATGGGCACCTGGCTGAATCTATTCCTTGAATGCCCTGTGGGCTGATGATTACGTCTGCCAGAGCTAAAGCCTGGGTGATAATATCCAAACTTCTTTGGAAAAGAATTGAAACGTTTTATCTTTAATGTGATATGAGCTATACAAGAATTGTTATTGCTTATGAATATAAATTTTGTCATTCATGTGTGGCTGGTATTGGAATTTTTGTATTTTGCCTTTACTCGCTTGTGTTACAAAGGCGAGATAATGAATAATTTTACTTTATCTTTGCCAGTACAGTCCTATATATTTGTTTATGTTAATTACAGTTATTTCATGAATAGTAAGATGCAGGCCTATGACTACGTATGACTGAAGATAAAATGTACAGTCTTAGATTCCAAGTTATATTCATTTATTATAAAGCTCTATATGCAGTGTACTTGTGCCCTGTACATATATTGTCCTGGGGGGAGGGTTCACAAAGATCCTTTTATACAAATAAGAACTGTTTTATAGTTTAGAAAATTAATTCCTTTTTGTTTCTTCCACAGGTATCTGAAAAAGTGGTAGTAATATTCACATCCAGCAACATGGTACAGAACTTTGATGGGTCGTATAAAATCCACATCGCGTTCGATCAAAAGAAAGCTGAAGTGGTTGCTAGGGTTCTCAATCCGCATACACTGAGATTTGATTCACCTGCAGGTCAGTATAATTATTATTCAAATCTTTCCTTTCAATCCTCTTTTTTCATTTGCACATCTATGAAGTAATCTTAAAGATAAAGACCAGTTCTGGTCATGTGATTGCATTGTGAAAGAAATGTTGTGGAACCGATCAGAAAAGGTTGATCATCTAGCATATAAGTATTGGTGTTTACTGCAAGGTTCTGGAAACATCAAAATGATAAGAAATTTGGCCCAGTCTTCGTAAAGTTACAAGAACTGTACACAGAAAGATGTATATGGGACTACGCACACATGCGCGACACATGCGTTTATCTCTCACACACCAATAGATAAACTAATTTACCAAATATATCAATTAGTAGGCGGTTTTCCGGCAAATTTGTTATCATCATGTATTAGTCAAAACATATTCTTTCACATGATTGGTAATAAGAGCTTCCATTTCATTTTTTGAAATTGGGGCGTTTCCAATACTGGTCTTTACCTTTAATACCGTAGACCAGTTCACTGTTAGCAAATGTCCCAAATGACCCGGAATATCCACAGATCTACAAAACATGAAGAGGTCCCACTCACTCTTACAGCAATGGAGGTGCTACGTAAAATAGCCTTTGTTTCCTCATTTCAAAGAATACTTCCACCTGTGTATCATGGAGTGCATTGCTTGTACATAAATGAATAATTATAATTTTCATGAGCACGTATCCAGTATTTTGTCTCCGTGTATTTCACACTTTGGTCTGCAATGACCTTTATTTATCCGCACATGCTCGAACTGCAACTAGGAACTGGATTATTATCTATATGTACACATTTATCCAGCCAACTGTTCGATGTTCTATCCATCCTTCCTTCTATGAATCTATTGAAAGTCAGTATAGTACTGTGGTTATGCATGTTTATATTCCACATACTAAGAATCTTGCTCTACGATTGGTCAAAAGTAAATCATGTGATGAAAGATAGTTCGCCCATCATTGATGGGAGAAGAAAAGTTCGTTGCACTGTGTAGATAGTAGTTCTATCTACACAGTGCAACACACTTTCTTGTAATACGCTGTGTATTGCTCTCCTCTTTAAGCGCTTTTAGTGTTAGTACGCGAACTTTGGTGGCGCGCGAACTATGGTCACACCTCCATACTGCATGCACTGTACGTATCGTACACCGTTTGCTAGCTGTTAATTGATGACTTGTTGCTCTAAAATGACGGAAGAAGTTAAATGTTTCCGATGTGGAATATAAAGCAAATAATCACCTTTAGGTTTCAGGTGATGGCCAACTATCACTTCCTCGGCGATCTGAATGAATACGCTAACTTTCCTCAGCTTCGCTTCGGAAAGATAGCTTCATCCAGAACGCCTCGGAAGTGATAGTTTGCCCCATCACCTTCACCAACGGTAGTTATTTGCTTACTATCCTTTCAATCCTCCTTCTTCCGACTATCCATCTTTTGAAAGTCAGTATAGTACTGTGGTTATGCATGTCTATCCTTTCAATCCTCTTCTTTCATTTTTACTTTCAATTTCTGTCATCCTTTGTAACTTCACTGTACATGTATCTCTCCTCTCTTCCATCTACGATGTATCTATCCAGCTTCCTCTCCCTCTATTTATTTATTCTTCAAATATTCTTTTCTTGCAATTCTTTCAATGTCAAAATGGTACTCTAATATCTGGGCATAGGAAAGGGCAAAATATCATGGCAATTCATGGAAAGTCATGGAATTTGGTTCTCAAATTAAGGAGTATTATATTTTGAACAACACTCTTTTTCTCCGTCTTTCTCGTAACACACAGATTTGCCTGGAGGCATGTACAAATGCACCCTGACCCACAACGGTAGCCGCAAGGCCACCTTCAAGTTGGGTATCCTGAGTCCATCGGCCATCCTATCGGATATTCTCAGCAAGAGCGTCAACCCACTCAATTACCTCTGCGAGGTCCTGGACGTATCGCCGGCCAACAGCAACCAACTCGACAACGAGCTCCACGAACAGTGCAAGAAATACATGCCTCAAGGAGGGTTTAGGGACCTTTTGCCGGTGAAACAGCCAAGCAGTAAGTTGCAAAGAATCTTTTTTAAGACCTTGCTTTATATTGAACAGTAGGAGGCACGATAGCTCAGTGGTAGAGCAGTGGTCTAGTAACAGGGAGGTCCCAGGTTCGAAACCAAAACGATGCGCTAGTGCCCTTTGGTTAGGCATTAATTCTCATTACCAAGATCTCAGAGAGGACTTACAGCCGCCGGTCCCCTGGTTGTTTACTTACAAGCATAAACTTGCTTTCTTTGCATTTGGGTAAAACAAACAAACAAAAAATACAAACAATACAGTATAAGGAGGGTTTTTTGTGAGTGAGTTAAGACATCAAGCAGTAAATGTATATTTCCTTATGATCACACTGACAAACTGACTTCCCTTCAGATTCCCTTCAGGTGCAGCCAAGCAATGAAAATTACAGAAAGTCTGTTAATCGATCTCTACTTGTAGATATAAAATGTGAAAAGATTATTATGAATCTAAATAATCACTGCTGACAACCCTTTTGATTTATGGCGCTATGCCTGGCAATGTCTCCCAGCTCAGTAATCAGTTTGTTGACTCACCACTTGGAAACTAGAATAACACTCAAATTTGTCTGTCATCTTGGTTTGAAAATAATTTTTCTAATAGATCTCAATATGTACACTGTAGCTTATAATAATAATTCCTCCAGTTTTGCTTTGGCGTACCACAAGGTTTTATCCTAGCTACTCTACTGCTTTTAATTTACATTAATGATCTTACACATTCTTCTAAAAACGACATTGTTACTTTTATTTGTGACAAGTTCACAAGCACAAATCGGCACCCTCAACTGCACCTCGATGTTTAATGAAAGCCCTTCCCCGCGCATGTTTTCGTTTCGGCAACAAAAACAAAAAACAAAACTTTTTTTTTTGTCTTCAAAATAGGGGTGTGCCTTATACACAGAGATTTACGGTATTTGTTCTGTTTTTTTTGCTATGAAAACGGCACTATGTTTTTTAATTTTATCATTTTTTAAATTTTATTTGCGTTTTTCTTAATTTCCGATCATGGGCTTTGTGTTGTAAGTGTATTATGCACCTACCGGTATGTCTTCAAACGATGCACGCAGGCGGTGATACGGGCCCAAACAGCGCACATTGCAAACAACTCACGCGTACTGTATACACGTCATGTTCCGATCTGGGTTTGTATACATGTACGTGGCACTGCTGTTTTTTGTAAGCTGCTTGATTGGGCGATATGTTAGGGTGAGAGATTTTTTCAAAAATAATGTTTTTTGCTCTTAATTAAGAATACTTTTGTTGTTGATGAAGGTTGGCATCTCTGGACATCCGTCTGAATAATTTTTATGTCTTTGACAGGTGGCATGCAGAGCACGCTGTTCCCCACGGCGCTGCACTTTGCCGCCAAGTTCGGGCTTCCCTGCGTATGCGCCATGCTCTGTGAGTGGCCAGGAGCTGACCAAGCGCTCAGGATGAAGAACATTGACGGGAAGACACCCGATCAGATGACGATGGATGAAGGAGTGAAGAGCTTTCTCCTTGGAAATAAGGTAAGGATCAGGATCATGTTATCTCTGTGTGGGTATGTGTGGGTTGGTGTGTGTGTGTATGTCAGAGTGTGTGTATAGGTGCGTGGGTAGGTGGGTGCGTGGGTGGGTGCGTGGGTGTATATTTGGGTGCGTGGGTAGAGGTGTGAGTGTGGGTGCATGGGATTGGTACTTGGGACACTCATTAGAACCGTACCTTTACTTCGCCGACCACTCGCAAAAGAGGCCCTCCTCAGTTCGAGAACCCTGTATTAAACATTGAAATTTAATGTTCTATGGTTGCCAATTAGTGACTGGCACAGCAGCCCCTGTATTGCCGATTGGCTACTTTGACAGCTTAGATTTACATGGAGTTGAAGATGCACATGTACGTTTATTGAATTATCCTGTTTTATATGTCATTTTTCCATCTAGATAAGTCTTTGATTCATAACCTATTACCCTATAATAATTGAGAGACCTTGTGCAAAGATTTAGCAAATGTTGCTTTTTGCTATTGAATTAAAATAGATGGCCTCTAGCCAATAATATTCTCTCTCAGCAATCTTCATGAAAAACAAGAGATAATACATTCAGGAAATTTTGCGAGAAACTTAAGAAAAATCAGCCACCCACCTCAATAATAAATGTTTATTCATGCACAATCAGCTAGTCTGTCGATATTGTGAAATGGGAATCGTCAATAGATAATGAATGTTTGCACGCAACATTTCTTTCTGATGATTTCTAGTCTGCATGAGTATTCTATTTTTGAGAAACGCAGTCATGTTCACTTGCACATGTTCTTGTGAGCTTGAGCAGGAAACACTTAATCGTGTCGGCTTACAGGAAAAGGAAGGAGTGGGACCATTATCAAGGATAAACGAAGAGGGTTTAAAAAAAAAAATGTGTGTTAAGGTTTTCATTACGATACATTTAATATTAATGAGTAATGAGTACTCCTAATCAGATAACATGTCTCATAATATGACAGATCTAGAAGGAAACTTTAAGTATGTTTGGCGAATCATTTTGAAATGTTTATGGATGTATCATTAGTATCAAAAGTAGTCAGCATTGTAGACCTAAGTTTTCTAGCAAATATGTTACAAAGAGCTACGACAAGGATATGTAATCATTACTCAGAAGAAAAAGAGAGAGAGAGAGAGAGAGAGAGAGAGAGGGGAGGGAGAGAGAGAAAGAGAAAGAGAGAAAGGGGACTGATAGAGGGTGGGGGATAGAAATATTTTGGAGCACATCGGCAATACGGCAAACATACAATAATATTGCACATTCATTTCATCTCATTGAATGCATGCATTCATGACCATGTCCGTGGTAATTCAATTAGCCACGATTGCTAAGTCCCTAGCTGGCAAGTCATTCTTTGATTGTACATGATTCACATGTATTAAAGGAGAACTAACCCCAAAGAATAATGATTTATTTTCATGTTGTTTTCATATGTACTGATTTTCATCTGACTATTGAACTATAACTGAAAGAAAATCTAAACAGATCAGATCAAATACTGTATATATTATTTCATAAAGGATCAGCTACAATTTGTTAGGATATGCTCTTTTACTTGACATTTCCTCAAATAAACTTAACCTTTGAAAATTCTCTCACATTTCTAGCAAATAGTATGAAGGCTTTGTATCAGAAATAGGCCAGCAATTCAGGACTTTATAGGTTTTTACACTGAATGAGGAAGTTTACAGAGGATTGTATTGTTCATTTAAAAGTTAGCTAGAGTTCATCCACACACACATGAAAGTGATGCGGCTGTTTGATTGTGTTGTTTGGCAATGTCAACCAAGTAAATATATAGATGCGGATATTGACATGTGAAGTCCTGTTTTTAACTTTTGATCCAGGTGGTTGCGTGTATTAAAAAAAAAAATGTGTTAGTAATGAGCCTGATAAACTTTGAAATATATATACTGCCATCATTTCATTCTTCACATTCTACTTGGAGTGAGGAAAGGCTTGCATGTGATCTCACTGAAATTGTAAAATTCCCTTATGTCAACGAAACTGTTACAAGCTGGTCATCGTCCCATTGAAACGCTTGTCTCAAAGTTTACGTGCGTTTTAGTCACATATCAGCAAACGTTTACTATGTAGGGCAATTCATGCCACTGTTTGCTCTCACCGTTGGTCTTTGTGAAAACACCCCATGTACTTATAACGTTCCTTATTAAGCGATGCTCAGGCTATCAGTAGATGATTCACTTTTAGCTCATATTCCACATGCAGACTGTTTGTAAAGTCAATCAAAATAGCATCAGTGGTAGTACATGATATCATGCTGAATTTGCAGCTTTGAACCCACAAAATGTTGACCAGGGAGGTGTTTCACAAAGATTCTAAGTTGAACTTATCTCTAAGTTGGACTGAAATATCATGGAGAGCCATTTGTAGACTTAAAATGAAATATATTCAAAAACAAAAATTCAAGTATTTTAGACTTTTCATAAATTCTACATCAAGATCATGAAATCTCCCATGATAATAGAAAATATGAATGATTTAAATCAACATTTTATGCCTTTTTTCATATGATATTTCAATATTTTCAATGATGCTAATTGCTTTCCATAATTTTTAAGTCCAACTTAGAGATAAGTTCAAATTAAAATCTTTTTGAAACACCCCCCAGTATGTTAAAAGTTTGCAGAGAAATGTGACAGGAGACAAGGGTCTAGGTCCTTGTTCAGAGAGATTTTGAGTGTTTATCATTGACAACATGAATTATGTGTATAAATCACACTTTTTAGCCTAGGGGTGTGGTGAGAAATCTGTTAGTGAATTATAAAATTGTTGTAATGACATCTTGAAAATAGTTGTGAAAATGGTCTGTCAATTTGTGTTTTTAATTTCCTCATTTGATGTTAGACATTCCCCTTTCGATGAGTAAGAGGATTTTGTCACGCATACAAGTATTTCCATGTATCCTGACATTTTCCTTGAAAAGGAAGTCGCATAACAGGGAAGTAAATTTCAGAAATTCTTTGTGAAATTCCCCTTTTGTGTCAGTATGACATACAGTGTAGATATCCATAACTGTCTTCACAAATCCTATATATCAGAGTCACAGTACATAGAGGTGCCTGGGGACAACTACCCCTTAGACAATTATCCTCTAGACAACTAGCCCAAGAACAACTACCTCCAGGAAAACTGCCTCCTAGGACAACTACCACTCAGACAATTATCCTCTAGAACAACTGCCCCCAGGACAACTATCCCTAGGACAACTACCACCTGGGACAACTTCCACCTGGGACAACTGCCCCTAGGAGAACTACCCCTTGGAAAATTACCCCTTGGGCAACCATCCCTCAGACAACAACCCCCAAGACAACTACCCCCTGGGACAATGACCACCTGGTACAACTACCCCTTAGAGGCTTTATAGACAGCTACCCCTGGACAACAGCCCCTAGGACAACTATCCCCCAGGACAAATACTCCCAAGATAACTACCCACTAGGAGACTACACCTTGGACAACTACCCCTTAGAGGCTTTATAGACAACTACCCCCAGGACAACCGCCCCTAGGAGTACTACCCCTTAGAAAACTACCCCCTGGACAACCGCCCCCAGGACAATTACTCCCTAGGACAGCTATTACCTGGGACAAGTACCTTGAGGACAAATACTCACAAGATAATTCCCCTCCTAGGAAAACTCCCCCTCGGACAACTACCCCTCAGACAACTACCCCCTGGATAACGAACCCCTGGACAACTACCCCTTAGACAACTACCCCCTGGACACCTAACCCTAAGCCAACTACCCCATGGGACAACTAGCCCTTAGCCAACTACCCCATGGGACAACTAACCCTTAGCCAACTACCCTTACATGGGGACATTAACCCCTGGGTGACTACCCACTTAGTGTAATAACCCACATGCACCTGTTGTCTGAGGGTAATTTTTGTTATCTTTCAACAGTAAGCTGTCCAATGGCAGTATGTCTCAGGGGTGATAGTACCGGTACTTGAAGATCTATCATCCTAGTTACCTCTTAACCCCCGTAACAAATTATGATTTAACATGGATGATTTAACTTTTTTCTTCTTCTTCTCTCACTCATTGCAGGAACGATCGGTTGCACAACAGCAAGGACATGGTGATATCGGCTATGTGACAATGACTCAAAAAGAGCAGCAGCAGCGGAAAGCTATGATTGGTGGTGAGTCATCGGTAGCAGAACCAAGGGTGGGGGGGGGGGGGGGGGGGGGGGGGAGGGGAGGGGGAGGGGAGGGAGGGAGGGAGGGGGAGGGGGAAGGTGCCCAAATACTCGAGTATTTTCTTCCTACTGGGTAGAAATTCACCCGGATGGATTCTTCTTTTTTATGTGCCATGTCCTGAGACGTTGGGAACCATGGAATGCCACAACTCTCTGTCCCATATTCTATGAAGTAATTCATTCTCCCCAAGATCAATTCCACTTTCAGAAATCCCACTCCTTAAGCTACTCATCCACAGAATCCTCCTCCTACCCCTTCTCGTCCTCCCCTCTATTCTTCCAGTCAGTGCAAGATTTTCCAAACCATTCTTTCGAATAACATGACCCAAGAAGCTCAGCTGTCGACCTCTTATATTATTCAGAAGCTTTCGTCTTGTTCCTGCCATGGCATATACCTCATTATCAGAAACTCTTTCTGTCCATGAAATTCTAAGCATCCTTCTGAGGAACCAAACTTCACAACTTTCCAGTCGCTTTCTTAGGTCTGATGTCAGGGTCCAATTCACTCGGATGGATAGTGGCAAATTTAAATGAATGCAGCTGCAATGTAGTAACTCTGCTTCCATTTCATTGTTATGATTATTGTATTAACTTTATTGAACCATATACATGATGTAAAAGCAAAACATACAAACATTACCAAACTGAATAGTCCCCTCCTGCTTCTGAATTATTAAATTCTCTTCCTACCAGGTATTATTTACTTCACCTGGGTGGAGAGTTGCAAATGTTGATGATTGCAGCTCATAAAACTATATTCATTCCATTGTTATGATTATTGAATTAACTTTATCGAACCATATACATGATGTAAAAGCAAAACATACAATCAGTACCAAGCTGAATAGCCCCCTCTGTCATTTACTTCACCTGGGTGGAGAGTGGCAAATATTATTAATTGCAGTTCTTAACACTGTATTCATTCCATTGTTTCCATTACATTCTCTTCTTACCAGTACCATTTACTTCACCTGGATGGAGAGTGGCAAATGTTGATGAATGCAGCTCATACATATATAAACTCTATTATCATTCCATTGTTTTGCTTGCAGGACCTCTTGGCCCCCCTGACCAAGATAACCCCCAGAACAGACCTGCGTACGACTTTCCTTTCCCAGTGGCGATCCCCGTCAGCAAAGAAGCTGACATCCATAGATTAATAAGTGGTGAGTCTGCACACTGGGGGTGGTTGTACAACAATAAGCGAGTTCCTGATTAGGATTTGCGCATGGGCAGATAAAGGTCATATGTTCCCAAATAGCAAAACTAGCGAGAGGAATGTTGGTATCGTGCTCATGAAAGTTATGTTATCAGTACTCTCTTATGCACCGACAGTACATTTATCTGATACACAGGTGGAAGTATTCTTCTCAAGAGATAAACAAAAGGTATTCATGAAGCACCTCCATTACTTTGGCAGTGATTATTCTAAAATGCACAAGTGGGACGTTTGCAGATGTAAAAGATCTGTGGGTATTTGGGGGTCATGCGTTCCTAAGCTATTTACGAACTGGCTTATTGTGTACTGCTGTTTGGTCTTCAACCAGTTCTTCTACTATGCAATTGGTCTATTCCCATATGCTCTACTCAGAGCCCATCCACTATCCATTGAATCATAATAATAATAATCATCAAATGATTATTAGACCTTATGGATATATACGAAATGGGCATTAGACAAACTTGAAATTAGCGTCAATGGTCATTAAACCAAATGATAAGTAGTAGACAAAATGATTATTAGGCCATGTGGATAGTAGACGAGTTGGGTTAAGACCATATGGGAAAGACTAATTGGGTGGTAGAAAAACTGGTTGTAGTAAAATAAGCTTTTAAACCCTTAAAATGGCAACACGTTGGGAGGTTCAAATTCATTGTATTTCAATAAAAAATATTGGCAATAGTTTGAAACTTTTCCTCTAAGTTCCTAATCATGTACTAAAGGTACTAAGGGTTAACCAAAGACCTCGGAATATGTTAGAGACCTCAAGAACACCTTACTCTTCAAAAGCACATCAAAACATGTCTGCAAATCTGCATCTTGGGGCATCTACAAAATTGAAAAGATCAGGCGACTGCTTGACAAAGCCTCCATTGAAAGACTTGTCCACGCCTTCGTCTCCTCCCATCTGGACTATGGCAACCCCCTCCTTCCGGCCTCCCAATTTCTCATAAATCTCCTCTCCAGCGCATCCAAAATTCAGCAGCTAGATTGATCACATTAAGTAGGAAATATGACCATATATCACCTGTTCTTCGCTCACTATATTGGCTACCGGTCCATTCTCGCATTACTTTCAAAATCCTACTTCTTTCATACAAAATAACACATAACCTTGCCCCTAAATATCTTCTTGACCTAGTCTCCCTTTGATCCTCCTCTTCTGCCAGATCCCTCTGTTTATCTTCCTCCATGGAATTAATTCAAGGCCCACAAACAAAAACCTGTTATGGTGACCGTACCTTTTCACCGATTGCCCCCGCCCTCTAGAAAAAACTCCCACCCCATATTAATAAATGCCCTATCCATTGAATCATTCAAAACCAACCTTTTAAATCAGTTATAGTATACTGGAGGCGCACACAAGTAGTTAATTCCATTCAACTGAATTGTATTGTATTAGGAATATATTTTATTTTATTTTGCTGCTTTTAAAGGGAGTGAGTCATGACTAGACTATGTGTCTTTCCCGTGGGCCTACTCGGGGCCAATCGGGTATAGTACGACTATGAACGATGCGCTGCAGCATTCACTTGCGTGCAACATACGCGAAACCGAAGCATGAGGAGAACTTCGGTCTGTTTCGCTAGCATGCGCTAACCCATTTAATCAAGTCCATGCGTTTATGTGCAGTTGACCAAAAGAAAACGTAGATGGCGTAAACCAGTATTTACCATGATACACTCCCTTTAAACTATTGAACATGTTGAATGACTATACTCAGTTAGACAGTACCACCTGTGCGCTTAGAAACGCCTGTATGAAGCACCCTATAAATGTATAAATATATTATTATTATGTATTTATTTTCAGAGACTTTACACTTTATTACAATACTGTAGCAATAAAAGACAAATAGTTTTGTTGCCAATTTGAAGAAGAACATGTGATGAATTTAGCCCTATAAATGTTTCCAGTTCTGAAAGGACCAAGGATGCGTTAAAGCGATTTTCGAAGCTAGAATCACAAATATGAATCAGAATCAAAACGCCGTTAAAAAACATGGTTACTGCGGAAGAGCGCTCTCGCTCATTTCGTGCACAGCCACTGCTCATCACACTGTGCAGTTTGACCCAGGAAGTATAGATCAACTTCGCCGCGTGCTTTCTGTCTGTGTTTACTGTCGTCTCTCGGTCAAACAAGAAGCAGGCCACGATAATCTCGTCATAGAATCATGATTGAGATCTCCGTTCGTTCAAGCGAATTTTAGTGACTGTGAATCTTGATAGAAAACGCATCTTTTTCCGCGTATTGTGTTTTTAAACACGTTTATATTTTATGACTGACAAAAAATCTCTTCGTCAACGCAACTGTGTTTGAAACTAAATGTCTTGAAAACCGTCATTCTAGGGTGAAAAAGTGTTGATTGAACGCACCCTATTTCATCTCCTCTGTATTCCTTTCTAGGTGATCCTGATGATATTTATAACTACTACGACAGCTGGGAGAGATCTGATACAGGCACTATGGAGAGAGATGGAGATGATGATGACGACGATGATACACAGGTAGGTGTTTGGTAATGCATCTAGATCATGCGTAAGCAGATATTGCCTCCCCCCCCCCCCCCCCCCCCAACAAAAAAAAAGAAAAATGAGGAAAACAATGAACAATGAAGAAAAAAATGAAGAAAAAAAATAGAGAAAACAAGTTAAAAATTGAACTTTAGAAAGGTTTGAAAAATATAAAAATGAGAAAAGAAGAAGAAGAAGAAGATATGTGTGGAGGTGTTGGTGTTGCAGATTAATCCACCTTTTTCTTCCACTTTTCCAAAAAATGTAAAAAAAACTGAAAACACACAAATTGTAAATATACTGTACATACATGTTCACTACATCAGAAGCCAGCAAAAGCCCTGTTAACTCCTGTTTTAAACACTTTGAAATCATTAGAAAAAGAACAGTTGTTAAATTTTGTCCCATTCATTGTAATGTAAAAAATGCTTGATAGATAGAACACAATATACATGTATATTCCCATTACACTAACTCTTTAACAGAGTAGGTCCTCTGCTCCTATTTAACATGCATGTGTTCAACAGACAATAACATTCACTCTTAAAAACTTGCAGCACACACAATTTTAGTCATTAGATGTGCTTTTCTGTTTTGCTGATCTAACAAATTTTGCCTACCGGTAATTGGGGGATGGAGCTTAATGATTATGTGAAATATTCCTCATAGCTTTTCTAAATCTGTGCTTTTTCAAATGCTATAGGATAGAGATGTACATGTATATATTTAGAATTAGTGTCTTCTAACCCCCTTTTTTAACCAATATTGATATATGGTTTATAGATTAACTCATACACTACGCACGTATCTTTAGTTATACTTTGTGGATTGAAACTAAGAATTGAAGATTTCTAACTAAGAACTGACATTTCTAACTAAGAAATGAAGATTCCTGACTAAGAAATGAAGATTCCTGACTAAGAAATGAAGTTTCCTGACTAAGAAATGAAGATTCCTGACTAAGAATAAAAGATTCCTGACTAAGAATTGAAGATTCCTGACTAAGAAATGAAGATTCCTGACTAAGAAATGAAGATTCCTGACTAAGAATAAAAGATTCCTGACTAAGAATTGAAGATTCCTGACTAAGAAATGAAGATTCCTGACTAAGAAATGAAGATTCCTGACTATTAATTGACATTTCTAACTTAAAGCTGTAGATTTATAACTAAGAATTAAAGATTCCTGACTAAGAATAAAAGATTCCTGACTAAGAATTGAAGATTCCTGACTAAGAAATGAAGATTCCTGACTAAGAATAAAAGATTCCTGACTAAGAATTGAAGATTCCTGACTAAGAAATGAAGATTCCTGACTAAGAAATGAAGATTCCTGGCTAAGAATTGAAGATTCCTGACTAAGAAATGAAGATTCCTGACTAAGAATTGACATTTCTAACTACGAACTGTAGATTTATAACTAAGAATTAAAGATTTCTGACTTAGAATTGAATATTCCTGACTAAGAATAGAAGATTCCTGACTAAGAATTGAAGATTCCTGACTAAGAAATGAAGATTCCTGAATAAGAAATGAAGTTTCATGACTAAGAATTGAACATTGATAAAAGATAAAATCTGCTTCACTGGGCTACACCTTTGTCTTACATAAACATTTAGTTTTCAATCTGTATTCATGTAATACTAGCATGTAAAGTTGTGATAATGGTTGTTCAGTAGCCTTAAAGTGTACCAAACACCATAACATGTTTTACACTTAATGTAAGGGGTTCCAAGTGGCTGTACTGTATTTTTGTTAAATAGCTTCAAATAGTAGTCCTGCAAAAAATTTATTGCAATTTAAATAATTCTCAGTGCATGGTTAAATGTCTTGTCTATTAGACTAGTTAATGCATGCGTACACACTTGCAAAGAATAGGGCTCACACAGAACCTGGGTAAGTACAGTCAAACCTGCTTTAGCGACCACTTGTATAGAAAGACCCCATTTTTTGTTTCCCTCGAAAATTGTTTCTCGTTGAAACATGTACTAAAGGAACCTGTACCTAAAGATCGCCTGCCTATAAAGACCACTTTTCTTGTCTCCCTTGTGTGGTCTTTGTAGACAGGTTTCACTGTATTTAATTTGAATCAAAAGAAATAAATGTTTACTGTAAGTTGTAGTCATACATGTACATGTACATGTACATGTAGATAATACATGTAGATGTAGATTATACATTTCCATCTACGCTTGTATATGTATGTCACCAAAATATACAATATAAATAAACAAACCCAGACAATGCACTCTCCCCCCCCCCCCCCCCAAATTCAAAACATCACTGTAGAATATAGATCTTTCTGTAAAAGACAGCTCTTTTAATCTGTTGAATGCAGTATACCTCTGTATAGCACATTTTTTTGTCATAGGCCTGTTCGCCTACAAGACATAGTGTGCAGTGTACATGTACAACCCTCGCAAAAAAAAGTTCTGCAATCGAAGTTTGAGCATTGATATCTCTCTTGTCACTATGTTATCATACTTGACATTGATATCATTGAAAAGCCTGTTTATTGCTCTATACAATGATGCCACATTTATACTGATTATGTAAAGATGGACTGTGCAGTACATCTGAATATGGGTCTAGGTCAAAAGTGAAATGTTGCAAAATGCATTGTTTTTCCTTCAAAACACAACCCATCCTTCAAACAAATGAAGAATTCACCATTGCATTACATTACACCATTGCACTTTTGACTTTGCCCAACTTTAAGGTGTACTGCAAGGCTCATGAGTATGAAATCAAGATAAATGATAATCGTTACAAATTGGGTATTGTTGTAAAGGGGAATTAACAGGCTTTCCCATGATACCCACATCAGATAATAATAATCATTTAAAGTCCACTCCAAATTTTATTAAACTGAAAATGGAAATTCTTTTTGCTTAATTGATCATGAGCCCGGCAGCCACTGAGCAGCGCCAGATCGACGTTGCTCTATTCCCTTATTGTTGAATGCCAAACGAGGTAGCAGCAACTCCCGTCTTTTAACGTCTTTTGGTATGACACGGCCGGGGTTCGAACCCACGACCTCCCGGTTGTGAGGCGGACGCTCTACTGACTGAGCCAACACATAATATACTAAGAAGAGAGATATCAAACTTAAATTGCAGAAATTCTTTTGAGGAGATCATTTTTAAGCACAATGCAGGTTTAGGTTATCATGAGGAGATATTCTGCAAAAATGAGTACCTGACTGAGGAACTAATGCAGGTTTCTGGGCAATGTTGTTTGTAGAATGAGGAGCTCGATCTCCTCAAAAATTTATGATAAATGTGATTTATTTTTCAGGATTTACCTCCACCTCCGCCAATACCACGGCCGATAGCACGGCCGATTCCACGAGATACATACTCTGGGCCTACTTCGGTAACAATGACTCAATTTGTGGAAAATAGTGCTTTGTTTAATACTACTTATACAAAGCATATTATATCTTCCTGCAAAATAAAAAAGCAAAAAGCATTTACTACTGAGTAGTACTTAATAAGTGCCATTCATGCAACAAATCTGTGAATTTTTTGCTGTGAAATAACAAAACTGTTTTTGTGATGTGTAAAATGGTATTAGATTCATCATGTTCTGTTCCATTGTGTGCAAATTATTTCCAATACTAACACTCCTCTGACTGATTTGTTGTTAATTTAGACCAAACATGTAGTTGTAAGTTTCAAATTTTCCCTAACTGATGTTTGCTACTTTTTTTTAAAGGGGGGTTCGCAAAGAACTTGGGTGGAATTTTTATTTCTGTTCCTGCGTGTTCATGTTTGTTTTATTTTTTAAAAATTGTTTAATAAAGAATCTTGTGTGTCATTCTTCGTTCTCTTTTCTTCTGACACCCTCTCTCCGGTACTTTGTTACCTTTCTTCAGTATGTAATATTAATACATATTATAGAGTAAAAAATTTCATGCGTCCGGTAATTTTTGTTTTGTTTTGTTTTTTGTTTTTAAATTATAGTCCATTCTATAAAACAGACGATACGCAGTTTGATTTTGTGGGTCGGTTGAATTGTGTGCCCGCATTAACTTAAGGCAGGTCTAAAACACACTCGACTACGCCTTGTGTGTTTAAACCATGCCCAAAGTTACCTTGTGCACACAATTCCTACCGACCCGCTCATAGTGTGCATCATTTGTAAGCAAGTTAGAAATGCATCCTACCATACATATTACTTACCAATGTACAATCTTTTTTCCATCTATTATCATCCTACTGTAGGGTATTATTTATGACTTTGCCATTTATGACTAGTAGTAGTACATGTAGAAGTAGTAGATGAAATAAAGTTGCTGTAAAATTCTAAATACCCACATATTTCATATTACAGACCTGCCAACCAGTACGATTTAGTCGTAATTTGTACGATTTTAAGAAGCAAATACGACAGTACGATTTTCCTCAATAAGATACAATTTTTTTTTTCTTTCTTTTTTTCTTTTTTTAATAATTTTTATATTTTATTGTTGTTTTTTGTTCAGTATAAGAAATCAATACTTTTAGCAATCATTATATTGATTAATGATTAATTAACTATATCAAATAATCGTAAAATAACACATATTAGCGAAAATATTTAATTAGTTAAATATGTTCTCACCATTTTTCTAATTTTCATATTCATACACTTTCAAATAATAGCTTATCATTTTTTAACCTAATTAACATTTATTTTTAGAATCATATTTCTATATGATTGTCCTAGTGATAAACAATCATATATCCACATGTATGTAGCCCATTAACCCCGCGTCCACACACAACAAATTCATTGTATATACAGTGTACATGTAGTTATACAACGAAATTGTGTGTGTGTACGCTTAGTGACGATACGTCGTATAACCAAACGTTGTATAACGAAACGTGGGTCTGGGCATCGTTTCGAACTAGAACTCGATAACGAATCACGGAATGTGTTGTGTGTGGACGTAACTAGAACGGTATAACTGGGCGGGGCTTAACGTGACCACGCGGGAAAGGAGACCTGACCTCTCATTTCCGCTTCCGTTTCGTGACCACAGTAGCAAACTGCACACCTATACGATGTTTCGCTGTAGAGTTTCGGGGTTACATTCTTGTGTGTGTGGACACCCTGGCATTTATACGATGAGTCTTTATACAACGTTTCTTGTGTGTGGACGCCTTGGAATTTATATGATGATTCCTTAGACACGGTTTTTTTATACAGTTTCGGGAATAAAAATTTGTGTGTGGACACGCTGTAACATAGTGAACTATAGTGGTGTGGGTGTACATATTATCTTTTGTATCTGCATATATACGTTATATTCTGTTTGATATTGATATGTACGTGTACATATACACTTTATTCAAAATCTTCCTTTGTCTTTTGCTATTACTTCTTTTATCATGATATAATCACGGCCCTCTAGGCTGTATCTTGCATGGCAGTGTATTTAAACACACTGCATCTGTATACTTCATATTCCGTTTAACATTATGTGACTCTACCCTATGTTTTTTTTTACGTTAACATGCAAATTAATTTTCATATTTTTAATATCCCAATGGATAATCTTCTTTTTCATCATGCTATTTGCAAAGTCTTTTCATTCTTTGGCAGTTAAATAGGAGGTCTTGATTTGTTTTGTTGTCGCAAAAGCTTTAACCTCTTTCAAGAAATTTGGATTTTTATCACTTATTTTTTTTCATTATTAAAAAGTTATACCGTATATCTCTGTGTATAAGATGCACTTTTTCCCTCCAAATTTTTTTTTGAAAGTCGGGGGTGCATCTTATACACGGGTACCAAAAAAAAAAAAAAAAAAATAAAAGATTTTTTAAAGTTTCGATTCATGCCCTCCACCTGGCACTGTGCCTGACAATGTCCTCCAGCTCAGTCATACCACTCGGAAACTAGAACAACACTACCTGAATGTCTGGATTTCTGTTTGGACTTAGAGAAAAATTTGCCTGTCATCTTTAGTTTTAAAAACTAATTATCGGAATAATGAACATTGAAATGTTCATTATTGTGATAACTTCATTATTACTAAATGTTCATTATTGTGATAATTTCTCTTTTACTAAATGTTCATTATTGTGATAACTTCATTTTTACTAAATGTTCATTATTGTGATACATGTAACTTCATTGTTACTATTATTTGTTACAAGTTCATTATTCTGATATTTAACTTCATTGTTACTATTATTTGTGACAAGTTCACAAGCAAAATTTGGCGCCTCCAAATGCACCTCGCAGTAAAATGAAGGTCCTTTCCCGCATAGGTTTTTGAACACGGACCTGGCTTGCTGCATGGCTACGGAGTTGGGGAAAAAAATAAAAATACATAAAAAATAGGGTTGCGTCTTATACACAGAGATTTACGGTATTTCAATATTGTCCTTGTCATTCTGTGTTTGTCAGAGTCTCACCCGGTAATCATTTGTATTGTCCATAAATGAGAAAAAATGCTTTCAAATTGATGTGTTGATAGCTTTTGTGCAATGCGATTGCAGAATAGACGGGTTTACTAATAAACAAAGGTTGTTCTTGACAGCGTGAAAGCTTGCCTGACATAGCAACAATTAACATAAGGGGATTCGGTACACAGAGTACCAAAGTGCTAACATCATTTTCGCTCGTCATCCAGCTTTGAATAGTGGATCCAAACAACCCAGCCTGTGCATGAGGTTCACTTTGAAATCATTCAAGCAACGGGCGGGAGCAGGGCAAATTCAGTGTTTGGGGCTGGTGTGATTACCATGGCATTGTTCAGCATAAAATGTTTGAAACCAGCAACCTTGACTTTGCCAGTATGCATCACACTTAGGTGCTCTATTGGATGTCATTATGTATCTCAGATGAGTTAAGTACATGTAGATGGTACATGAAACTAGGCCTTCTGCCAGTGGAGAGAAACATGCACAGATGGAAATACATTTGTAAATATGGTAGGGTTTCACGAAAACCATTATCAGTACGAGTTCGCTAACAACCCATTGAAACTTGTGTATTAGATTTAGAACTCAATTCAATAGGATCTCAGTGAACTTATACTTATGATGGTTTTGTGAAAGGATGCATTGCGGATGCATGGCAGGGCCATAATCAGGAAGAGCAATTAACACTGATTAAGCTTTTCATCTGTATTTATAAGACCTCGTATTAATTGCAATTTTTCTCCTTCTAATTGTAGGATTATGAGACACTGGACAGCGAAGCCCCCTCTGTACCACACCATGACATGCCCCCATCCCTCCCCGTCAGTGCGCCCGATGAACGACCCGAACCGCCAGCAGCAAGCAGAAAACCAGTCCCACCGATCCAACCACAAAGCGACAGTAAGATTTTTTTTTATTTTTTGTTTACAGCATCCAAATCAAATTAATACATCTGTAGACAAAAAAGTAGTTAAAAAGTAGACCTAAAGAAGGATTTAATTCCATCTAAAGCTGAGTTTAAGATAGTAGTCAGGTACTTTCTATCTAATAGCCACTGACTTATTGTTAGCTTTCGTATCAGAACGCTTACCCCCTGGACAATGACCCTAAACAGGTCCCCCAAATCTAGGTCCGGGGATCGAAAAATTAAAAGAAAAAAATTGCATAGGGCTCTTAATGTACATACCCCTCCCTAAAATGTGAGTGTGAAGCCCTGCATACTGGATGTTGTAAATGTTTGCTTTTTCTTGAAATAAATGTCTCATATTTTTTCTCACAATGTCAATGCTTCCAGACAAAGATGGTCAAAGAGATCCAGATGCGAAACTCCAGAGCCTGATCGACATCCAGAATCGTGTCAAGGATAATGAGATCAGTATGGACGAGGCTGTCAATCTTTTCAGGGAGTGGGAAGAGAGCCACAATCATACACAGTCTATGAGTGCAGTGAGTAAAGCTTGTTCACATTGAAGGATATTCTTGATCTGAAATTTGATTAACGCAGTTTTAGGAAGTGGGAACAGAATCACAATCATACACAGTCTATGAGTGCAGTGAGTAAAGCTTGTTCACATTGAAGGATATTCTTGATCTGAAATTTGATTAACGCAATTTTAGGAAGTGGGAACAGAATCACAATCTTACACAGTCTATGAGTGCAGTGAGTAAAGCTTGTTCACATTGAAGGATATTCTTGATCTGAAATTTGATTAACGCAATTTAGGGAGTGGGAACAGAATCACAGTTTTACACAGTCAATGAGTGCAGTGAGTACATACCTTGTTCACATTGGAGCATATTCTTGATCTGAAGTTTGATTAATGTAATTTTAGGGAGTGGGAATAGAATCACAATCATACCATACACAAAGATCCCCCCCCCCCTAAAAAAAAATTTAAAAATAAAAAAGTGTTTGAAGACAAATATTGACACAAAAATATATAATTTGGTTTTTCTGTTGTATGCAAAACACCTCAATTTTGTATTCTTTCATCAATCTTCGACTTCAAACACATTTGTTTGAAAATCCTTGCAGAAATGTGTCTTAATAAATGACATCCTCTTTCACATTATGATACAATTTTAGTGAAATTTAGCCATGAAATTTTTGGGGCTCCCAACATTACAGGGGCTTTAAAGGTACTATGTCCCATTTAAAGGCCCAAAAAATGAAAGGGTTATATTCCAATGGCATTTGAAAGATAATACTAATTTAGAACTCCCCTAAAAAAAAAGGGGGCTTGAAAATGTCTTTAAGTGGGAAAATAACGACTATTAGTTGTCAAATCGACTTAGGAGCTATAGAGCCAATAAGTAATAGTCTTGATTTTCAGACCATTTTGTACCGCATGATCGTACGTTTTATGCTGCGCAAAGATTCAATCAGTTTAATTTTGGCCATTAGAAGAAGTGGGTTATTGATGTAGACAAATGCTCATGTACCCTTTACAGCTCATTTTATGTATGTTATTACCAAAGAAGAAAAAAAGCCAGTCAGTCACTCAATAGTGTCCGACAGTGAAGTCTAGCAAGTAAACAGGTTTCCTTGCATCATTTGAATATTAGGACACTGCTAACGTTTAAATTTCACAGATAGGATATACATGACATATTTATGATTCCTGCAAAATTCTACAGAATTTGAGGTTGGCTGCAAAAGGGACATAGTATCTTTAATGCCTGAGTGGCTCCAAACAAATGGGGAAAAAGATGATGTTATTGAGGGGTTCGTTATGGAATGTGTCCAGCGACAAAAAGAAATTCCATCTTTCTTTTCTTTTTACAGAGACGAGGTACAGAAAGGGAGAGTCAGAGCAGCCTACAGAAATTATTCAAAAGGAAACAAGGGCGTCCCTCTACTGGTATGTATCATACAGACTCCCCCAACGACTCCAGGGGGGTGTTTCACAGAGATCCTAAGTTGAACTTATCTCTTAGTTGGACTTAACAATTATGGAAAGCCGTTAGCATCATTGAAAATATTTTGTAAAAGTTATTTTAAAGGGCATAAAATGTTGATTCAAATCATTCATATTGTCTATTATCAAGGTGATTTCATGTTCTTGATGTGAAATTTATGAAAAGTCTAAAATATTTGAATTTTTGCTTTTGAATATATTTTATTTTGAGGCTACAGATGGCTCTCCATAATATTTAAGTCCAACTTAGAGTTAAGTTCGACTTGGGATCTTTGTGAAGCACCCCCCTGGCCTAATATCTAGAACATGATTTCTCTGTCAGAACTTTAAGTGTACCAATCACCGCAACAAGTTATGCTCTTGATGTATAAAGAGGTTCCATGTTACTGTTCTTTAGTCAAATTATGAGCTTCAAATATTAACTAAACAAATTATTTGTTGAGGTGGTTGGTACACTTTAAAACCCCTTAAGTGTTGGGAGCCCAAATAATTTGATGGCAAAATTTCAATTAGATTGTATTATAATGTAAAAAAGGATGTCATTTAAGACACATTTCTGCAAGGATTTTCAAAACATATGTGTTTGAAGACGAATCTTGATGAAAGAATACAAAATTAAGGTTCTCTGTGTACAACAGAATTTGGGGCTCCCAACACTTAAGAAGGGCTTTAAGATTATTGTTGATATTATGACTGAAAGCATGCCCTCTAGTGGTCCCCTATTGCAGCCCATGTCCAGATTGTATAATGTCCCAAATGACTCGCGAAGCCATCATTCTTGCGTTTTACTCCCTGGTGTATGATGTGCATCGTTGGCTGTCCGCAAAAAGGTCATAAGAGTAATGTCATGGCAGTAAGGGCCTTCTTGCAGGCAGTCGATGACATTTATGTTTTTGTGTGCATTCTATAACGTGCTAAAAAGTACCCCTTCCCCCAACTCTAATATGCCCCTGTGAAATGCCCCTCTCACTAAAAGCTCTCTTCAAACTTCACCTATATTCGCTGAAAGCGTTTTGTACTTTTCAAGATTCTTCTAAAAGGGTTCTGAGTTATTCTTCTGATTTTGTCTATATATCTATTTTCATATTCTCTAAATTTGGCCTCTAAAATTGATACATTGGACATTTCAGCAATCTTGTTCACATATTTATCTCAGCGCTAACAATATTTAAAGTTAGTGTTAATACTCCTACCATGGGTAAATTAAAGCAAATTTATTTTTATTTTTATTTTTTAGAAACAACGTGCAGATTAACCATTCATAGAGGCACCTCTATTACCTCCCCCTCCTCCCTCCCCAAAACAATAGGATACACCCACATTTGGAGGCACCTATTTGATAAATCCGTTGCCCCCTTTTTAATATAGTAGTGAGTTTGGAGGGCCTTTCTAAAAGGTCATTTACAGAAATTTTGATTTAGGAGGGTTGCTGTAATGGCAATGAAAACTTGTATAGGCTTGGGTCGAATGGATCGCTTTTATTGTTCTGTTTGAGATTTTTTATACTCAAACATTACAATTCTTTATCCTAGCTGGAATTATAAATAACTTAGATCATGCCTTAAGTTCGTAATAGTCTGTATGGCCCCATCCAAGATTGAACACTTGACAGTTGTCCTAACCTTAGAATCTTTAAACTTCACTTGATTAAGATGATGAGAGTGATGCCGGTCAGAGAGGTAGGCAAAGGGAGCCCCCACCTCCCCCCGTATTTGTTTCGTCCGAGAATAAAATGGGTAAGTTCCCGTCAATAACTGGGTCGTCAGGGGTATTTCATCATCACTTCCATGTAACACCATGATCTTATACATACTGTATTTGTTTATAACAGCCCATGACATATGTTGACTATTTTCTGTTTGGTGTATTAACCTTCCATCTGGGTACGACATCTTGGTACTCCATGGGTATCATTCAATTATCAACACTCACCACGGACATGGATGGTTGTACCTCTTCACTCAATGGTGCCCACACATTAATACTTGCATTCAATCTCTGTAGTTTCATAATGGTCGAGAGATCAGCGAACTCAACAAGACTCTACATCTACTATGCATCAATTAATTGTACCTCAGTGTAGTTTTAAAATTGTTCAGGTATCAGCAAAAATTCAATAATTGTACATCTATCTTGCAATAACTCATTGTAGTTTCAGAATACATTTGGGATCAGCGAAATCAGTATACTGTACATGTACCCTTGCATTGACTCATTGTAGTTTCAGAATCTGTCAGGGACCAGCGAAGTCAATCTACATTCTATAGACCCACCCTAGGCAATTCGCGTTCTGTTCCTCATGCTTCCTCCTCCACGGCTAATAGCAATTTTAAGGGGGCTTTTGGTATAACCACCTTCCTTTTTGCATCTCTTCCTGCACTCTGAATGGATTGTTGGTCGATTGCATGCCATGTTCTGTGTTCTGCATTGGTATTTATGTTTCATTGGTTTCTAAAGGATATTTTTATCTTGATTCTTGCCTGTCCCGTCGTCTGAGCAATAAACTTCCAAGAAAGAATAATTTAGTTTTTTTAGAGTCCAACAAACTTGTTTTAAGTTCTTTATCTCATTCTGTGTGTATTTTTATTGATTGAAATCATCTTCATTAGGAAACAAACTTTTCAGATTATTGTCCCTTGTCTGCTTTGTGAATCAAATATAGTTTTTTGCATGAAGGTAGATTTTATCAAGAATTTCATCTCGTAGGCCATTTTCGTAATGTAATCAAATTGAATGCACAAATCTGTTACAAATAAGTGTGTTTTCAATAGTCAAAATGCAAATGGTATACATTTCGTTAAGTTTTGTTAAGTAGGACAAGGTCATATTGTTTGACCTACCTAGCAACAATAAATGAATGCATTTTGCATTCTGACTTTGGAAATACAGTCAAACCTGCTTTAGTGACCACCTGTCTACAAAGACCACCTGTCAACAAGGACCATATTTTATGTTTTCCTTGAAAATGGTTTCTCATTGAAACATGTACTTAAGGAACCTGTCTACAAAGACCACCTGTCTACAAAGGCCACTTTCTGTGTTTCCCTTGGGCGGTCGCTATAGACAGGTTTGACTGTACAATTATTTGTAACAAGTGAATGAAATAATATGTAACGAGGCACTTAAAAAAAGATTTATGCATTCAATTTGATTACATAACGAAAAAGGTCTATTAGAAGCATGAGAAACACCTGTATCATCATGGTTCTTGCACCCCTTTCATTTTTTCTTGCCTGGATGCCTTTCTCACCTGCAACCCTTAACACTGCATCCATGTAACCCCATGTCAGTCAGGGGTGGATCCAGGATTCTATTAAAGGGGTGGTCAGGGACAGGGGGGGGGGGGTTCAATAAGCCCCCCTCCCAATTCATATGGGGATAGGGGGTGGGGGTCAGACTCCCATTACCTCCTGGATCCACCCCTGTTTATTCATTACTTTGGTTTATCTGGAATCTCTTATTTCTGATAAATATCCTTTTTTTTTAATGATAATGTCACGTTTCATCTTTATTCAATTACTTAGGATTGTTTTGTCTTGCTCTGTCTAAAATCAAGGTTTATTGTAAATGTTTATTATAAATCAGTTAAATGCCTCATGATTGTGTACGGAATGAAATTGGAATCAGCATGATCTGATTAACTTTGTTAGTTTAGTATAAAGTCAGCATTGAACAGAATACTCAGCTGAAAGAGAAGACTATTTATGTAAACCTGTACATACAGGCATGTATTGCAAATATCTCTGAAAGCTTATCTACTATTTTGGTAACAAACGGTTGTGACATTTATAGAAAGGTGATATTTCATTGACTCTAAGTTGATGCCTTAATACCAAAATTCCTAAAGCCTTGAACAGAGTCATAAGTTGACACTTTACCAAAATTCCTAAAGCCTTGAACAGAGTCATAAGTTGACACTTTACCATAATTTCTAAACCCTTGAGCAGAGCCTAGATCTGCCAGTTTCTGGCTGTGTCAGTAGAGAGCCTATTGTAGTCTCACGGTGCAGACACTGTTACGTACAAAGACTGACAAGGGATGTGCCTGCCCACTAGGAAACCATGATATTGGCCTTTACAGACAGGTGGTCTTTTCATACAGGTGTTTGCTTCTGCAGATTTGAATGTACATGTAGCATATGTGTGGACATGAGTTGCATGCCTGCATATACAGGGATTGTTTCAATAGTAATTTGGAGGTTTGATTAAATGATTGATTGATTGATTGATTGATTGATTGATTGATTGATTGATTGATTGATTCACCAATAACAGTAACAAAATGTGTACAAAATATGTCTTTACGATAGTAAAGAAATGTTACAGAATCAAAATATATGCTAAAGGATGGTATTGAATGGGACCACAAAGTAGCACATGCGTGAGCCAGCCTGGCTTCTCTACATTTAAATTCACAAAATACAAGACGTTCAATTTGAAATCACAAAACACATAATAAAACAATCACTACTCAGTTACACAGAGTTATAAACAGAGCAATATACCATCAGTTATTGAAATTATTGACACAATGTATGATTTTTAAGTGAGTTGAAACTGCTTCTAGATGTTTTTAATTTAACATCACTTGGTATTCTATTATAAAATCAAATCCTAAAGCAGTTCTCGTTCTTTTACCCCATAAATCATTAAAAACAGCATCACAGCAGGGTGGGCGTCGTCTTCGAGCTCGATCAGAACCGGTGGCAACGGGTTTCACGTCGCTAAGTAAATCTCTTCGTGAGAATCGCACGTTCCTATTGTATCATGAATATCACTGTGTGTTGTGCATCTTGAATTTTATGGCCATTTAACAACTATACCCAGGAATGTTTGATAGTTACCTCTCCCTCATACCCCCTAACGCCTCGATGTGTGTTTTCCATTATCTCTCTCTTCTCTTTTCTTCTCTCTATTCCTCAGAGATGTCACAAAATTTGCTACACCGTAAATTATTTCTATATTTCAATGTTTCTTTGGTGAGATCAAAGTTTAATTTACCCTCTTTCTGTGAGAATACTTTGTTTTTTCTTCATATCTTTGCCCAAATGGGCAATTTTTATTGTAATAACAAACAAAAATCATGTTTACATTTTATAAAAACAATATGAAAACATTATTTGTATTCATCATTTATCTTCTGCAAGAATATTGCCTCTTTTTGTTCTTTCCTCTTTTTGTTCTTTCCTCTTTTTATTCTTTCCTCTTTTTATTCTTCCCTGTCCTAAAAACTAAAAAATTAATATTTTGTCCCCTTCAGAACAAAATAAGATTTCCCCCTTTTCTTTGGACATAACAATTTCTTTTTTTAATCATCCCCCATCTCCCCATCGATGAAGTTACATCCTTCTAATATCTTCTTTTTTTAAAAATTGGATTTGCCAATGTTTTTTCCTGACTTGCTCGTGACTTTGTGAATCCTCGTCATATTGTTGTATCCACCTTGTGTTGAAGATGATTTTGTGTTCATTTTTACCCTTGTCCTTTCAACTATAATTCCTCCCTCCCTCTCTTGTATTCACTACCTGTATGTTATTCCTCCCATCCCCCCCCCCCCTGCATTTTTAACCTCATTGTACCTTTGTTTGAATTTGAATATACCTTTCATGGATTTTTCAATGTGTGATTGTCACTGTAATCTTGAATGTGCATGAGAATGACATTTGCGGTATATAACAAGTCTAACATTGACAAATATGTGAGTCAGGATTGTGAATTCCACTCTCAATTACGCATCTTTATTAGTGTATAATAGTATTCAGATGGTGTCTACATGTAAGTCCCCAAAAGAGCCTAAGATAAGAGCTTGAGAGTTCAAATCCTTACCCAATCTAGAGCTGCCTCTCTCAACCAAGGTGTAGAAAACAGGAATTGTTAGCATTATTCAAATCCTTACGCAATCTACAGCTGCGTCTCTCCACCCAGGTGTACAAAATGGGAGCCGTTACTATTTATTCCATGTACTGTACTACATGTATGCGGCCATAATCGCAACAGGAGCTAAAGCTAGAGTTACACTTTCTAAAGATCATAACAATGTTGTTTCATCTTAGGTGTTATACTTAAATAAATTGTTATTTTTTTATATTATTATTGATAGTATGAATGATATTTAATACTCCATGACATTGTAACTATTGATTTTCTTGTTATTATTGTTATTATGAATAATAATAATAGCAGTAGTAGTAGTATTTTTTCAATTTTTTTTAATTATTATTATTATTATTATCATCATCATCATCATTATTATTATTGATAGTGTTGTTATCATCATTAACATCCTCATTGGTGTCTTTTATCACTATTATTGTTGTTTTTAATTATTTTTAATGATATTCAAAATTTGATATGTGCATATTTTCTAGCATCGAATCTCACCCAGGGCTCGACTTCCAAAGTGCCCATCACACAGTACCCCAACCCTGGGTACATGCGCGGATGTGATATACACGGTCTAGGTATACCTCAAACTCTGCTGGAATTCCGCATATATCACACCCCCACTCAAAGGCTTGTACACTTAAACTTGCTCCAATTTAGTAATGCAGCCACGAAAGCTAACTTTGAACTGCATAAAGAAATATAAACAATATATTATGATCAAACCTGTGTGCACTATTTACATTTGTGTTCTAATCTGTGCTTAATAGACCTATTTACTTATTCCATGCAAAATACTTTTTGAACAAGTCTTTCTCTTGACAACTGTATGCTAGCCAGAAGCTTGCCCGACATTGTTTGGTGTCTGTCATTATATTATCGTATCTCCTTTGTCTATGTTGCATTCATTATCAATGCTGTGTATTAAACATAATGTAGGGGCTACGTGTTTGCCAGATGGACCCAAAGAAGTTACTTATTTACCCACAGAATTGTATTCAATGAAATGGACCGGGTATGGCAATTCTCAAATTTATTTCATTTTCGATGTGTTTCGCTTGATTTCATATAATTTGAAATGGAATAAGGAGCAGCCTATCAAGGTCTTCATTTCCACCTGGCAAGAAATTGCACTTCTCTGGTTCTCAAAAGACATGTTGTCGGAAGTAACGCAAAAAATTTCCCCCGATTTTGCAGTGGTTTTGTTTGCCCAGTTATTGCACAATGCTAAATTACCAGATGCAAACAATTACATGTAGTAGCTATTTTTAATGTTCATTGAAATCCCGCACATTAGGCATTCTGCACATTTTGATTTTCATATTTTGCATCAAATGAGCTACGTACTCCACATCACTGTAGACGTTTTCCACAAAAATTTAAGTGCTTAAAAAACAGATATAGCAATCACAAAAAATATGTCACATATTTATATCAGTGTTATACTCTATGCACTCATATGTACCATTTTCAATGAATCTATTCCATGAGACAGATGATGACCTCACTATTTCAGATATACAGTAGTTTAATTTTGTATATGGTTTTGTAGATACATAAGTTATGAAGTATAACAAAACATACATTTAGTTAGATTACTTTGCATGAAATTAAGATTTAAGGAATGAGGCTCTTCTTTTCGTAAAGTTTGTTTTAAATATCAGGATTAAGAAAGTTAGAGAGAAACTTACAGATATCCTGCAGATAATATACCTTTTTTCTATTGAGTTGATAGTTTTGTGTACAGCCCTTATTTGTTTTCTTTTTTTGTTTATAACTTTATATTGTGCAACTGTGAACAAAAGACAGTTGAAGTATAAACAGGTAATTGTTGCCGGCTGGTTAATACACAAGTAGTCCCTGTATTAAAGGCACACTGTCCTACTTGTAGATACTTGCTCCCTCTATATAGAAAACTTCCCCAATCGGTGCCTGTTTGTCCCCCATGATCCTCTTTTTCTTATGTTAAATGAGAGCTGAGTTAATGAGATAGCCACCTGTCACAGTGACGTCGCTGGCTCGCTTTATGGTCTAATCCCTTCTGGCTGAAGTAGTAATGCCTGCCTTTAAAGGAGAGCCCCAAATAGACCAATCAAATTGTTTCACAGCTGCTTTATGATGTTGTGTAATCTCTAATCTATTAAAAACAAAAGAAACTGAACATCTCTAACACATGTAACTTGAAAAAATTTTGGAACACACAAAGTTAAGTAATAGTATGGAAGTTTTAATACACTTATATCAGAGATAGCTGACATTGCATGACACAAAGCAACTTGATCTAAAAGCAAGCCTGACCCCAGCAGAATAACAAATTTAAGAATAAGTCAATTTACAAAAAGTTACTGTAATTGGTTTTAAGGTATACCATTTAGTTTCAATTCTTTATGTCATTAATTAAGCCTGTCATTAACTAACTGAACAAAACATTGTATTCCCTTTGAGTTAGACACCACTTTATGAGTATATTCCTTCTCATAATTAGTCCAAATGATTCAATATCACTTTCAAACTCTCAGGGAAATGCACTATATCGTTAGTATGTGAAGGAGTTGATAATGATATTAACAGGGTAATTAATTTTCCTTTTATTCTGAGTGTCATAATTAGGCCTGTCATTTATTATCATAACCCCTTTGAGCTCATAGACAGTCCACTTCAAATTCTGAATTAGACATCACTTTATGAAAACAATATTTATTGCACAGAGTTAAACCTCGAAAGGCCAATGGCCTATGCAACACCCCATTCCACATGTCATTTTCTTCTCTATCCCTTTTGAGGGGAGAATATAATGTACGGTAGTATAATGATATGATACTTACGGTAATTGCATCTTTATGCCAGTTTTTGTAATGTCTTGCTGATATTTGTCATATTTAACGGAATGTGGAGAAGTAAAGTTTAAGTTCAAGTTCAAGATTGATTTACCGGTAATCGACCTTTCTAACTGTCTAGATCATGCCTTGCCTGGTATGTGAACAAGCAAATACATGCACATTAACAGGTTTTTTATTTTTATTGTGTTAAAGTCTCTACCTAACAATGGCATGGATTCTATGATGTGAGTTTTGATGTCTTGCAAAAATGTCAACAGTTTAGATTATTGCAACAGATTGCATGCAGTTCAAATGTTGTGATTGGAAGTGATGAACATTTATTTTATTTATTGTATTTATTTTTCTGCATGAAGTGCATGTTTGTTTGTTTCTCTGTTTGTTTGATTGAAACATTACCTTGCTTTTCAAGTACAGATATGTATGTGTACATGTATTTCTATCTTTCTTTTACACATCGATATGCATGTGAGCAAAACAAACATTAATTTTCTCATTATCATTAGTGTGTACAGGGGCGGGATACAAAAACGTTCTGAGTAAAAATTGACAATGTGTAATTATATATATACTGGTAAAATGACACATTGTTTTAGTAAAATTTTCTTTTTATAGGTTCTTTATTGAATGTGTTTATATCTGTCTGATAAACCAAGAAACAAGAAACCAAGAATCTACATGTACATTACAGTTATTAAAATTCTTTGAATCGTTTTAGCCAAAGTTTGTTTGACTGTATGACTCCTTTTCAAATTGAGTTTAGTTTATCGTTCAGGAATATTTCAAACATCAAACATACTATTCCACTTTGCACTCAAGATTAATTAACTTAATGAATATCAACAAATTTCAGTTGGAGTACGTCTTTTTTGTTTACTCTTATTGATAACAGTTTAAAGATAAACTTGAGTTCTGGTAAAAAAAGAAAATGAATTCTCACAGAATCTAACGAAACTTACACTGAATGTTCAAGATTACAAATAAATGTCATGTGCCAAACAATTTTGGAAGAAAATGTATACTGGCTGAGTAATGAGCATAGAAAGATAAGGAAATCAGGGTAGTACTAGCCCCGACACCATGTGTGTTGTCCCATATACATCTATCTGTGTAAGTGATTGTTACTTTACCAAGACTCTGCCAAATTGATGATGATTTTGATGACTCTAGAACCTTGCATTACACAACATTACTTACATGCTATATGATCAACTTTTCTGATCTATTCCACACCTTTTCTTTCACAATGCAATCGCATTACCAGTACTCAAGTTTATCTTTAAAGATGCTTAGTGTTTTTTCATATTCATGCAAATGTTCATCTGTCCCTTTTTCGTACTTTAATTAGGCGGTATCATCTGTCAAGCATTCAAACTTTGCTTCATAATTTACCTTGTATTTATATCCATGTATCCGCTTATAATCATTTTAGCATCCAAACATCACAAGGAAGCGGCCTTGCGGTCGGTGTCGGCCAATTCTTATGGTATTTCATCCTTTCTCAGCTTGAATATTAGTTTGCCATGTGTTTTTGTGTTTTCCCGCTTGCCTCCTAGATGTTCTTTAACGTGTACATTACAGTGCTTTGATGTTTGTTGTAGACATTTTGCTGATTGACCTATTCCATTTGACTCTTTATGTCTGTTCCTGTCTCCATATCTCTTTCTCTCTCTTTCCCTCTCTCCCTTTCTCTCTCTTTCCCTCTCTCCCTCTCTCTCTTTCCCTCTCTCCATTTCTCTCACTTGTTCTCTTGCTGTTTCTTTGTCTTTCTTAGTGTCTCTCATTTTGTCTCTTTCTCTGCCTCCTGTCTCTTCCTCTGTTTGTTTTTCTGCCTATTTCTCAGTTTTTCTCTCTGTCTGCCTACCTTTCTTTTTTATTCTGGCTGTCTGTCTGTTTGTTGCTCTTAGTTTGTCTCTCTGTTTCACCCCCCCCCCCTCTCTCTCTCTCTCACTCTCTCTCTCTCTCTTTGCCTCTCTCTTTGCCTCCTCCTTTTCTCTATCTACATGTATGCATCATTTGAGTTATATTAACTTGTGTTTTGTTCAGAATTTAGATCAGCACTTTACACCCCCCCCCCTCCTCCCCTAACATATATGCTCATATCTGCATCATACTCACCCCTAATACGGAGTTACTGTTACAGTACTTCCTCTAATATTTTCTATTCTTTTTTTTTCCTTCTAGATGTTGCTTTATGATTTGTTTGTGATTTTATTTCCTGGTTTGATCACTGTTGCCCGCACATGTAGCAGACGTTATCCTGTACTGTAATTATCATTGAAAAAAATTACCTGAATAAATTTGTTGTGAAAAGATTTGAGTTGACTTTATTAGATGTTAGGGGAATTCTTAAAGCACGACATGTACATTCACATGTATGTTGTTTACATTATATCCTATTACTCGTGCTGCTCTAGTTTGTTTTGCACTTACGAAAAGATGAACATGTTGTAATTAATCTCATACTCCTGCACTTAAAGCCATCCTGTACAAGAAGCATTGCCTCAATATCCCCTCTAGCGCCCTCTCAGGTCAGCTGTAGCAGTATGGTCCCGTAACTCGCTGCTGCCCTAGCTGCCGTGTTGGGTCTCGCGTTGAGTTATGCACCGTTGGCAAGTTGACCATGAGATGGAGCTGTGCAATAAACAGCACTTAAGTGCAGAAATTTTATCCGTGCAGTATCGCTTTAAGCTGCTTAGTGTGCTCTTTCTGTGTAGTGACAATAAATTAATTGGTAAAATTTCTTGTCAGCTGAGTACTGAGTTATCCTGTGTACACCAAGTGCCCATATTGTTCTCAGTCATAATCATCTCAAAGCTTTGATAAAGTCGGAAAATGAAAACTAAAGATGTCTTTCTTTGAGTTAGAATGTAATACTGTAAAAGTAGAAATATTTGGGGTACATTCATTTTCGCGGATTTTGCGCTAAGATTGCCAATCGCAAATTTTAGAACTCACGAAAATATAAGCATGATTTCTTATGCGTGTTTTGAGCTGGCTGAATTGCACTTTCCGTGCACCGAAAACAATGGAGCAAATTTAAGAACCCGCGAATATGTTTTAGGGTCCCAACACAACAAATCACACAAATCACGACAGCAACAAATCACAGCTTTGAAACACTTTCTCCTCACAGCATTTGTGTTTGTTTCCTTTTTCAAGGTAGAATTATTTTGAGCGAATAGAAGGTTTAACTATCATATTCAAATGTATGGATGTCTCTTTCCTGTGAACCTATAGTGACGAGTTATTCCATTAACCTGTCATTTTTTATTTATTTGACTTCAATACTTAGAATCCAGTCTACATACATTACTTGGACAACTCTCAGGTTGTCAAGAACTAGCTTTGTTAGTAAATTATGCACAGAATTGTGTCAATTGTGTTTGGTTAAAAAAAGTTTTGTTTATGTGTACAGCTGCCTTGTGATGTGTTTGTGAATGTCTCTTTTTTTATACCTATTTATTAATTTTATGTATACTTCATAAACAACAGTTTCTAGTAACAACTCAAAACCTTGCATGGGCTTTGCCAGACATAGCAACAACCATACCATTACACACAGTACTGTAAATTGAATAGTCAGAATTAAACCAGGGATTCTGAGAAACATGCATATATTGAAATACATTACACAGATTGATTGTCATATATCATTCATTATGTTGTAAACCTTGCAAGGGCTTGCCAGACAGCAACAACCATACCATTACACACAGCACTGAATTGAATAGTCAGAATTAAACCAGGGGTTCTGAGAAACATACATAATATGAAATACATTACACAGGTTGATTCTCATGTATCATTCCTTATGTTGTAAACCTTGTAAGGGGCTTGCCAGACATAGCAACAACCATACCATTATACACAGCACTGTGAATTTCATAGTCAAAACTAAACCAGGGGTTCTGAGAACCATCCATAAATTGAAATACATTAAAACAGGTTGATTCTCATGTATCATTCATCATGTAATGTTGTATGTCGCTATGTCATGTCATAGAACACTACCGTTATTAAAAATTATTCACTATACTAAAAAATTGACATTACTTGTTCTTATTATATATAGTTTCTCATATATATATTACATAATTTTACAATGTGTGACCAAAACAAATTTCCATGTATTCTTGTGAACTCGGATGAATAAAAGAATTGAATAGATTGACTGATACTGTGATGATAATATCTTTCCCTTTTTTTCCTCAGGAATAGCACCCAGCACAGCTAGAGGGGGCAGAGGGGCTGATATATCTGTAAGTTGACCCTTTTTTATCAAAAAAACTTTCTTCTTCTTTTTCTTGCCATTTGCATCTAATTCTACATCTCGTTTTTAACAAGGGTTGCAGAGTGCAATTGAATATTCAGTTGTTTCCAGACTGGTTTTCCTTTTTTATTTCGCTTTACTTCCTCATAAATCAAGATCATTCTTTTATTATTTCATTCTACTTTTGTTTTTGTTCTATACCAGGAGAGGCCAGAGAGGTCCCCAACAAGTCTAGGTAAGTTGACGATTATAGAAGTAGTAGAAGTAGTAATGTAGCAGGAGTGTTGAATTTAAGATGGGAAAAATTCTGTCATAGTAGTTGAAGTACAGTAGCAGGGAGCATTTTAGTATTGGTAAGAGTAGAATTTGTGTGTTTTTAATGCTGAGAACTAGAGGAGAGTTCAACAAAAGATAGGAGGAAACTCGAAACTGTCCAGAAACAAGCTACTAGGTTAACCTTTGCCCTCTGATAGCTGTATCGTACTACTCCCTGGTTAGCTCTACAACGCATGTCTTCAAAATTCTAAATCATATGACACCTGAATTTTTATATTTAGTCAGATTTAATTGAAACTTTCATCAGTTTGCTTCTCTGATTATTCTGCTTTCTTTTAGAGTAGTTTTCTATTTGGGTTGGATTAAGCTCATCATATATTTCTGTATCACCTAACCAGGTTCTTCCAGACTAAATGCAATGAACGGCTCCTCAGAGAATTCAAATGGGCCTTCCAGTGATACGAATAGGGTAAGTGATTGACATGCATACATATGTACATACAAAGTAGTGGTGCTGTGGTCTAGTGGTTATGCGACAACACTCTGGATAGCCTGATTTGAGGTTCAAGTCATAGTCCCGGCACTAACAACTGTTGGCAAGGCGTACAAAAGAATTCCTGAAATGCTTGCAACGCCATAGAGGCTTAGAGCAACTTGCTAAAAGCTAGGGTAATTTGTAGGCGCCTAGAGTACCTCTTGAGTTGGATTTGTGTGATGTAAATGTACATTATCTCTTGCAATTATTGTATGACTGTCTACAGTTTGGTTTTCATCAATGGTTTGGAACGGTCTGATATTCTAGGAAACACATTTAGAACAATGATGGTCCAGCAACTCACTGCTCTTAGTCGGACACTGCTTGTACCTTTAGCTGCTTTCAGAATTGTTTCATTGTCTTTATTTTTATTTATTATCTGGGACAGAATGAGAATGGATCCAAAGCAAGTCCAATGGAACCACCCCCTCCCAGGTCTCCCAGACCACATAAAGCAAGAGATCCGGTAGGTTTCTATCGTTGTCATTATTATCAATAAAATCTTCATGATCATGGTCATTAACATCATTATCATCTTCTTCATCAGTAGTAGTAGCATTATCATTATCATCAACACTCATCATCATTTATCATCATCAATATCATCATCATCATCGACTCTTATCATTCTCATTCTCCTTCTTCTCCACCTCCTCCTCCTTCCCCTCCTTTTCCTCCTGCTTCTTCTTCACCTTTTCTTTTTTCTCCACATTCTCCTTCTCCTTTTCCTACTTCTCCACCTTTTCTTCCACCTTATCCTTCTCCTCCTCCTTCTCCTCCTCCTTCTCTTCCTCATCTGCCTCCTCTCCCTGCTCTCCCTCTTCCTCTTCGTCTTCGTCTTCTTCCCCCTCATCATCATCATCATTCTCATCCTCTCACTTGTACAATCTCAAAATGATTTTTTTTCTTTTCATCGTAACTTTTTTTCTGTTTTTGAACATCTGTGAAAATTGCTAAAATTTTGACCGTAGATGAAGTTGTCATACATATGTAATGCCATTATTTAATTTCCCCTACCCACATCCTCAGGCAAAGCGTGTCTCGTACACCGGGCGAAACCAGGGCAACTTCAGCCAGGATTACATTGACCGCCCCATCCCCCCGATCCCGCCCCGGAACACCTCGGCAGCCCCCAGCAACTACTCTCGCCTGCCCGGAGCCCGCCCCGTCTTCGCCCCCGACCAGAAGGGTAGGACCCCCTTGCCTGGCATGGTAACGGGCGTCGGTGGTGGAGTAGGAGCAGGTGTTGGGGGAGGAGGAGGAGGAGGAGCAAGGGGCGTAGATCTGGTGGAGAGCGATGCCATACCGGAGCATTCGGAGCACACGGCGCCCCCGACCCATGAGGGAATACCTGAGAGGATGGCCCCCCTTCCACCGCGGAGGAGGTAAGATGAGGGCTACTGACAAGGGCAGGCTGGGGGAGGGGGGGGGTGAAGTGAAATTACAACGGGGGCCCTCATGGGGGCACTCATGTGGGGGGGGGGGGGGGTGTTTAAATCAATCGTTTTCAATAGTGAGGGGAATTTTAGTATTCTACAGGAGTACTAATTGGGAGCTGTGGGTCCTTCATAGGAACTACTGAGAGTGACAGCTAGTGTGTATGAGATAGTTGTGGATTAATGCTGGGGATCAAAATGGGTTCTTAAAAGGGAAACTGAAGAGGGCAATTTATTGTTTGTTTGGGTTTAATGAAGGGGATGGAGATGGCAGGGTAAAGTGGGCCATCACAAAGAAATCATGAAGAGCATACAAAATTGAAATTGAATTATTTATTTATTTATTTATTTTTTAACATTTTTTTAACATTTTTTTAAAAAACATTAAAAAAAAAAAAATAAATAAAATAAAATAAAATTGTTATTATTATTATTTTTTTTTTTTTTTTTTTTATTTATTTATTTATTTATTTATTTTTTTTTTTTTGGGGGGGGGGGAGGGGAGGGGGGGGGAAGCACGGGAAGGCTATCAATCGAAGCACTGAAAAGGCATTCAAGATGTAGAGGTGGGCTGAAAAGGGGAGGGGGGTGGTTGATAGAGGGAGGGGGAGGGATGCTCGTGCTATCATGGAGGTATATGAGAAAGATACAAAGTGATGGAGAAATGAGTGTTAACAGAAACAGTAAAACCACTGCCCTCATCCAACAAAGACGGAATTTCATGTTCATTATCCCTGAAATCCATAACTATTCTAATACTTTAATTTCAACAAATTATGGCTGAAACCCTACCCCATCTAACATTAAAGATTAAAACCATTGCTTCTTACCCGTCACCTCGCCATAACCTCAACTTCTTTCTTAAAGTCAAATGCTAAAAATTGATTGGATCAGAAAAAGTGTTGTATTTTTAACTCTGAAGTGTGCATGAAATTTGCATTTCCTTTCCTTTTTTGGATTGACTTGGCCTTTCCTTGAACTGAAAGAAATACCAACTAACAAATTAACAATCTTTTACTAATTTTGAGGTTTCTTTCCCTTCTAGAACCCCAAATTGAAAAAAGACTTGTGCAAGCTAGACCTCATTGTGTTCTTATATTATTACTAACTTGAAAGGTTCTAAATCTATCCCCATTTACATATATGTAAAACTACATAAGAAAAATTTATATCAATTATTATCGGGGTGGTTGAGAATTTTTTTCATAAGACATTCATTTTAAACTAGTTCTTTGCATTATCATGTCATTTTATATAACATTTTAAAGTTTGCCAAATATCTATGGTTGAAATGTGCATTTAACTTTTCTAAAATGTGGAAACAGAATATAACTGGCAGTTTGCAATCATAACATTCATTATGCCTTATTTCAAAGGAAAAAAGGAAAACATATTTTTAGGGTTTTTCTGTCATTATTTTGTTGGTACAATTGTATTTATTTCATGATCGACTCTTTTCTATATATATATATATATATAAAAGTACATTTGCAACCTTTTACTTGATAATTTACCATCAGAGAATTCCTTGCTCATGTCATGACAGATAAAAATGTATATGTTTATGATTGGATATCCATGGAATGTTATTTATATCATCTTTCTATGTCCCAAAATATATTTCCAAAGATTATAATTTGGTATTACATGCATTTGCCAATGTTCAGTTGACCAGAGAAATGATTTTCTCCCAAATTCTTGCTGTTTATCACATACAATTTTTAGAGACAGTATTTCTATTATTTTTTCCAAGCCGGGTTTAAATGGTTCATTAGAGCCAAAATTAAAGAGGTTATGAAAACATCCCAATAGTAAAATGTTTGCCATTTTTTTTGTGGGTGTGTGGCACAGACATACTAAACTTTAAAAAATATCTATAGACAAACACAAAAAAAAGTTTTTTTTCCTTTCTTTTCTTTTCTTTTAGCTTGTTGAATACTTGAAAGTACATGTATGATAACTTAAGATGGGAGAATTTAGAATTGAATCATAAACATAAACATTAAATAAATCTATTACCTTTTTTAGAGTTGGAACAACTGAATTTCAAACACTATCATGAAGACGGACCCTGTACATTCACATTTTCAATTCTACTGCACTTTTAGTTATTTTTAGTTACAAGAGTAAAACGGCTAGATCGGACAAACATTTTTTTTAAGGAACTATTCATTTTTAGAGTTGCTCTTTATAAAAGTATCAAAAATTTTATTTTCCCTCTCCTAGTTGTACATGTTTAGGTCTTAATATGTGAAATTGTTTGGTTAATTAAGAAAAAAAAATATTTGAAATTGCACAAAGCATAACTGTTGTAAGGATATGAATCATTGTCTATTACTCCTTCGCAATCTCTCTCTTTATTTAGGGTCAAAATTGACGGCCGGCATTAAAGAGATTTTACAGTGTCCCCCAAAGTTGCCAATTTGCAAACCCAGGTAAACCACTTGAAAGAAATACATGCATCCTGGCCTAGTATCAAATTGGCAATGCAAAGATGAATGGAGCACAGGTTGTTGTTATGTATTTATAGTGCACTATCTTCAGCTTTCTTGTGTTTTACTTTGTTGAGCTCATTTAGATCTCTGCAGATTAAAATTCCACCAAGTTATATGAACATACATGTACAAAAAGTAGATGCTTAAATTGTTTTTCTTTTTTCTTGTTGCATTCTGTAAATTTGTGTGTTCTTTGTATTTTTTAGATGATTATGCCACATTACACTGTTTTAGCCAGCTTTGATATAATAATTAAATACCCATAGCAAATATATTCTTGACTAGATACATATATTATTTAGGATTTATCTAGATAAGGTATTGCATTACTGCTATGCACCTGAATACAGACCCCTCCCAATTTCTTAAAATTGTCTTTGGGTCAATAAATAATCCAAAAACTCTTAATTTTATACAGTCTTTCTGAAAATATGGTCCACAAGGTATAACAGCAACTTAAAGCCCATCTGCAATAGTTTGGCCAGGAGGTATTAGACCTCCCTGCAAGGTCACTGACAGGTGGTTATCTCATCAAATTAGCTCTCAATTAACATAAGAAAAAGGGAATCATGGGGGATCAATGGTCACCGATTAGACAAAATTTGATATATAGAGGATGCATTTAGCTTTAAGTAGTGCAGTGGGGCGTTAAAGATTGTGAAAATATAGTTTTTCCTGGTAAATTACAAATTTCCTTTTATTTTATTTTTCTTGATTTTTTTCTTCAGGGAGGGAGGAGGGGGGGGGGGTCGAACTTTCAATACATTTAACACATTCTTACTGAAATATATGCAGAGCTAACCGTACATATTACTAACGTGCATTCTCGTAACGTGCAGCTTGCCTTATCATCTGATCTTGCTTCTGTTCATGCATGTAAAATGCTTATAATGTTTCATTTATATTTTTACCATGCATTAACTGGTATTCATAACTCTTGTTATACTACATATAACAGTGAAAATGGCTCAAGTGACCACCTGTATAGATACATCACCTATCTATAAAGACCTTGTTTCTCTTAAAAAATATTTTGTCATTGAAACCTATGGTATGCTAAAACAACCTGTTCATAAAGACCACCTGCCTATATTTTATTTTTAAAATTCTTGTCTTTGTGTACAGGTTTCACTTTAAATTGTTCATGGAAGCGAGTTAGATTGATAAGTTTTCTCTCAAGTTCGACAGGAACATGTTTCTTTGAAATAGTTTTATTTCATTTATCTAGATCACTTTAATACATGTATAGATTTGACAGTGAAAATATTCAGTAGCGTGCAGTAGAAATATCTTAGGTAATGTGTGGATGAACCGTAATCGTCTCTCAGTTTTAAACACTGAAGGTGTAAAAATAGATTGAATCAAATGATATTTGTCATGAGGTATCAAACAGAATTACAGTAACATGGACTCCATTTTTAAAGAAAATAAGAATATAAATGCAAACTTTGATGAAAGAAATGTGTGTCTACTCAAAAATATCAAATATGGTAAAGCATTTTTTTAAAAAATTACTTAAAAATGCCATGGCAAATAAACTTCTTGAAAAATGTATGCTATCATTATTGATGATATATTATTTTTTTCAGCAAAGAAATTACTATAAGAAATGTGACAAAATCATCAAACTACAGAAAGTATAAATCAAGCTTGTGGCTCATTTTAAATTCTTTTAATGTCCATTTTTCTTGCTTTTTGAAGAGTAGTGTGGATTTTATGGAAGTTGCATTTTGAGCATGAATTTACTTTGCATTTTAATCGTTTGTCTGCTGAAAACCATGATTGTGAAATCCTTTGATAGCGTTTGTATCATGTGAAGTTTGTCGTAGGTTTAAAAAAAAAACATTTTGTTGTCTGTTTTAATATCAAATATGTTATTAAGAAGAAATATTCATGTAAATCAACTAAAACATTTCTTCAATATAATGTTTAGTAACTTAAAACTGTAGATAAAGAGTTAAAGACCCTATGACTATTAAACTAGTTTACATATAACAGTATCTATAATCCTTTTGGTTTTATTAGTCAATATATGTTTAAGATTATTTTGTGTCATGTGTGATAAGTCACAAAATAAGCTTTATATTATTTTTAGTAAAAAGAAATGCTGCTTCACATTTTATTTAAAACAAATATTGCATTCTTGTTTATCACCCAACCTACATTCTGTCTGCTTTAATAGAGCATGAAGGATGTTAATTCATGTCGTTAATTACAAAGTTAGCGCCCTTCTGTCTCTTAACCTATACATAACAAGTGTAATGTACAGCTTCATCCCATTTGATGGGTCACCCGTTGCCATAGCAACTGTGTAAATTCATTAAGGTGAAAGAATAAAAGCACACAATGTTTTTTATGAGATCATGAAAGAATTTTTTAAATGTTGATTGAGAGAGAAAAGTGAAACCGCTCAGGCACGCAAGTTTGGACATTTTTTTTGCCACTGAGAAATAAGCTGAGCTGAGAAAGAAAAACATTTTTTTAATGTTGATTGAGAAACAAAAGGAAAACTGCTCAGGCAGTCAAGTTTGGAAAGTTTTGCCACTGGGAAATAAGATGTTTTATTTGTTGGTCTTTTACTGTCAAGGAGCGACCAATCCTTATTTTGTTGACACCCTCTATGGCAAGACCACTTGCTATTAAAAGAGGGCAACCAAATATTATGTTGTGAAAAACATTGATAGGAAGACCAGCTACACTAAGATAAATAATAAGTTTGCCATTAAGTGGTCGTGCACTTACTGAAAAACTTGGGTGAGTGGTTTTTAGAATGTACATGTGCATGTTTATCTACATGTCTTCCGGTAAAGAGAAATACCCTCGCCAAAGAAAATAAAGAATATTACATGTAGAGAAAGAGAGGAATTTAAAACAGACAATAGTGATATGTGGTATATATTTAGATTAAACTTAATTTTCAAATAATGAAAAATGTAAAAATTGTTTTTGCTTTGGAAATTATGACACATTATGTATTTATTATTACCAATAGCTTGCAACCAGCCACTTTATTTTTGTTTCTATGGCAACATGTAACACACTGCAAATTCTTGCTCTATTAAAGCTACATGTATGATTTTGACAAAACCATGGTATAACCATTAATTAACCTTCCCCTAATCATGTTCATTGCTTCAAGCATCTCCCGTTCACAATCACCCCTACGCCACAGCCTGCGACCAATTTTGCTGGGACACAAGTTTGTAACCTCCATGCGTGCCGGCCGATCATCCACATTCTCCTCCTCCACTGACAGGTTAGGATATTTTGCACCCCTCCCTTTCCTCATCCCCATCTTCCGTTTGCCCCGCCCTTTCCTCATCCCTATCTTCTGTTTGCCCAACCATTTCCTCATCCCCATCTCCCGTTTGCCCCGCCCTTTCCTCATCCTCCTCTCCTGTTTGCCCCGCCCTTTCCTCATCCCCATCTTCCGTTTGCCCCGCCCTTTCCTCATCCCTATCTCCTGTTTGCCCCGCCCTTTCCTCATCCCCATCTTCCGTTTGCCCCGCCCTTTCCTCATCCCTATCTCCTGTTTGCCCCGCCCTTTCCTCATCCCTATCTCCTGTTTGCCCCGCCCTTTCCTCATCCCCATCTCCCGTTTGCCCCTCCCTTTCCTCATCCTCCTCTCCTGTTTGCCCGACCCTTTCCTCATTCCCATCTCCCATTTCCCCGCCCATCTTCTGTTTGCTGCGGAAGGATGCATCGCCATAGACGATTCCTTTGCATGGATGGTTTGTTTTTATTTCCAGTTGTGATACCACTGTGAAAACCAATCACAGGTCAAGATATGTTGCACCCCTCCCTTACCTCATCCTCGTCTCCTGTTATTGTTTCCGCCACCCCCCTTCCCGGCCCTTCCCTCGGCAGGGTTGGTCTACTTTCATGAACAATCCTTTTGCATGAATTATTTGTTTTCAGTTGAAGTTCTGATACCGATTAGGATATTTCATACCCCTACCCCCTATCCTCTTACCCTTTACTCCACCCCCTTCCTACTTTATCAGGATTCTTCTGGATAACCAACACCAACAATCTTGCATGAGCTGATTCCCCTATGCTTTTGACATCAGTTCTTTTATGTCTCCTGTCACCTACCACCTGTAGATTAAGATATTTTGCACCCCTACCCCTGTCATGTAACCCTTTACTCCCCCTCTGACATCACCAGGATCCCTCTGGATACCTTGTACCAATCCTCTTGCATGAGTTGATACCCCTTTGCTTTTGGCTTCAGTTATTCATGTCTTCTACCACCCTACATTGTTAGTTTAAAACATTTTGTACCCCCTTTCTCTCCCCGTCTCTTGTTATCTTTTGCCCTGCCTCCTGTCATGGGTCCATCTTGATGCCCGGTCTCAGTTCTCCTGCATGAGCTGCTTACTCTTATTAAGTTTGCTTTTGGCTCCAGGCGTATTATGTTCTGACTTGTACCCAATCCAATTCCTCTCTCTCAAATAATTTGTATCCCAAAGTTCTCCAGAACCCGTTTGGATGCTCATGCCTTGCATGAATGGACTTTTGTTGCATCCCATTGAAGTCCAATTCGAGTACTACTCGCACTCTAAAAACTACAATGTTAATTCACCATTTAAAGGGCTAAGGATCGAGTAATCAATTTTTTTCAATTGACTAAGTAAGCATGCTAGATTCAACCTATATTGTGTTAGATCCAGCATGTTAAAAGTGAAAGTGTTTATCTACCATTTTGAAAAAGTGTTCACTCTTTTAAAATGGTGATTTTTAAATTTCAGAGTGTAGCTTCAGCTGTTATGATCCTTCATGTACATGTGTGTTGTCATGGTCTAATCTATGATGTATCCTGCTTTTTTTCCTTCCAACTAGCAGACTAATCCGACCTCTTTTCAATTATAATCAGCAATTTGTATTCATGATGCAAAATGAAATGTCGTGCCAAATATATATTATTTCTCCAGCTAATGCTTATGCCAGTTTAATCATTTGCTTAAAGCATTTCAAGAGCATTTTTTAATTACCTAACTCATACTTAATCATACTGCAATTGTACAATGAATAACTTTGGGGGAAAAATAACTATTTATTAATAGAAATATGTGGAAATTAACCACTAACTTGACTTTCAGCCTATGTATTTTTGATATTTTTCAAGACTTTGAGTTGCGTTTTTAATTGCATTTTTTTAAAAATATACCAGTATACTGGAGGTCTGAGGTCTTTATCTACTGAGTGTTTCATGATCACTGATGTACTTGACTTTTGTATGTTTTGTATGTTTTGTATATTTTTATGATTTACATAAGGAGTTCTAAGGATGTCAGGCTTATCACATGCGGCAAAGTACAATATACATGTACAATGAACATGCACATTAAGGATGACTTGATACAGTACATAAGGAAGGGGCAACAGAGACCCCTTATGCATACCGGTATGCCATTCAGGCAAACTTCTGTATCATCATATAGAACCACTGTCTCTGTGTCCTTCAGATGACAAAGAAATTTTGCCTGTTTTTGGCCTTGGCATACATGTAGATGAGCAGAGAGTAGATATTCAAAAATGACTGCTCCTAGCCTCTCTCACTTTTTTTGTTGGCACCTGAATAATTTCATCATTCCCCCAGCTTTTTAGGGCTCCTTTTAGCAGGAGATGGACACCTAGAAACGCCCTGCTTTATTAAAAGCAGAAACTGCTTCACCCTTTTAATAGTCCGGCAGCCAAACCTGGATTTGGGGCTTAACCTTGTTTTGGTGAAATAAGTTTTTTTTTTAATGGATTCTGATTGTCTAGGTATCCACTATGAACAAGCAAAAAACTGGAGCTCCGTCAGCCTTGAGCAATTTGAGATATAAGCAAAAACAAAATGGCCGCCAAAATGGCGTTTTCTGCTCTAAAAATATGTGAAAATGTATACTTTGTCATGTTTTATTTCTGCATTTAGAACCCTTTTCTGAATTTTTTACCAGATATGATATATGTGATACATATTTTGATAATTCTAAATATTATTTTAGATGGCAGAGCCCAATTTATACATTATTTATACAGGGTGATTCATAAAAAAAAGTGTACAAGAGATTGGCTGTTTGCAATTTCTACTTCGATAACAAGCAATCAATGTATACACACTCTGGCAACATATTTTGTGATATATATAAGCTGCATTTTAATTGAAGCTAATTGATGTCGCCTTTAGCAATTTGTGATTATAAGCAAAAACAAAATGGCCGCCAAAATGACGTTTTCTGCTTTAAGAATATGTGAAAATGTATACTTTGTCATGTTTTATTGCTGCATTAAGAACGCTTTTCTGATTTTATTTAACCAGATATGATATATATATGATATATATTTTGATAATTCTAAACGTGGTTTTAGATGGCAGAGCAATTTATATATTTATACAGGGCGATTCATAAAAAAGTGTACAAGAGATTGGCTGTTTGCGATTTCTACTTCGATAACAAGCAATCAATGTATACACATATACGCTGCATTTTAATTAAAGCTAATTGATTTAGCCTATCATCTCAAAGCAAATGTATTTGTAGAGATACCCTGTTGAACATACACACATCTATGATGAACTGCTACGATTCAAGAAGTGTGCAGCTGTAGAGGCAGGGAAAAACACTGAACTGACAGCATTATCAAGTGCTGAAGATGGTCTTGTTCAGATCATAGTTGACAACTTCCCTTGCAGTTCTCATGACCCAGCCAGATACAAGCATGCACCATGATGATCAGCAAGAGATTTCACAACTGAAGAAGGCTGAGATGTCTAGAGATATTGACTACAAGCTTGACATCATGAGATACAATAGTCCAAGAAAACCAGATATGCCACCTGTCAAGAACCAAGTTCCACCACTTAGTGTTCTCGCTCATATAGTTTCTCGACAGAGACGTAATGAATGTGACCTCAGGTTCTTGGCAGATGTTGTGCAGCGTGATAACTGTCCTGAATTCAATGGATAATATACGCATTTGTGTCGCAATCAAGGAGAAGCCACACAACCAAAAACTAAAGCAGTGTATCTATCGTTGATTGATATGCCACCAGCACATCCAGACACAATAATGACAGCCATGAGCAAATCACAGCAGTTAAACAGAGAAAACTGGTCAATGTTTCACTGTCTTCACTGCAGATCATTAACTGTTCAGGGTTGCAGTAGAGGTACAACCTGATCAAACCAGTACTGATAATGATGCTCTATGTACGGGCTGAACAAGAATTAAAGTGATTGGCTTCTACACCTGGATGCAGTGAGGCTTATGATGCCCTGCTTCTTTGTGTCGGGACATGTAAACTACGCGCGATATCGGTTATTCTACCTTCGACGCATGGAAGCCCTACCAGGAGATGCACTCCAGTATTCCATGAAAGGGTCTCATGTGATGAGACACACTCAAGGCTTATGGAATGGCATATGGAGCGACATGGGCATGGTAAAGCTGGTGTGATTGGCATCACTCTAAAGCCAGAAACTCTCAAGACCTGCATGGGCCCTTAGCTTGCACATAATTATGTATCAGATTTGTGGAAGACGTTCCAACTATGAGAGACAAGTCGGCTAGTTCTAAAACAGTGCACAAAGAAGAGGCTCCAGCAAGGATATCTGCAGACCAAGGTGATAGAGACTGGTTGCACAGAAAACTGGATGTGAGCATCGATCCAATGGACCCAAAGAAGCACCCAGCGAACATTGTCAATGTGGTCAATGGACAGATCGCTCCTGAATCAGTAAATGTTGACAGAGTAGTTGAAACTGGTGCTCAGCAAATGGGTGAATTTGAACGGAAATTGCCTGGAGGTTTCTACGACACAATTTCGAAGAAAGTTCAAACCATGGCTGTCATGAAGAAATCGATTTTCAGAATTGACGTAGGCGATTCCAAGGTATACGATACCAAGTTGATATACTCTCGCGTGATAGGTCTACAAGCAAGTTCCAGAGATGTCGAATTTCATGATGTAATCTCATGCGAGCTGTCGCCAATTCCTACAGCTCTGTTTGATGAGTATGGAGATATGGACATCTCGAAGTCCAAGGCCGCTTTGAAGAACCAGAGACAAAGGTTGAAGTATCAGCTAGACACACGACACTTGAAGAAACGTGTAGAGTGATCGATGGATGTGCTCTCCTTTGGATTCCTAATTGACCTTCATCATCACCAACACGACAACCAACAGTGATGGACTTTGTATCGAAATTCAAAGGCAAGATTGAAGAGAGACTTGGTCTTTGAAAGGTCAATGATTACAGTACCAAGTGTACAACCATGATATCGAGAGGCAATGATGGTTGCAGAGTTTTCCAACTGAGTCCAACTTCACCCCTTCCGTCTCAGAAACTGACTCTGACAGTCACAGAGAACAAGAAACAGTTGATTAACATCATTTGTCAACATCTGCAAGGTGATGCAGGTTTCATCATAAAACACAAGCTTGTGATCACCAGCCAAGATGGCACTCCTGTTCAACTAGGTCCAGGTGGTGTTCCAATCCAACGGCACGATATGGCCACATCTCATGAGGAGGCTGATGTGATTATTGTGCAGCAGGCTATTATCCTTGCAGATGAAGGACGATCCATCAGGGTGCTTGCAGACGACACAGATGTCTATGTTCTTCTGCTTCATATTTCTACCAAAAGCAAGGCCTTCAGTCACCCTTGATAATGGAGTCGCCCATCAGAGACAGATCTGTAATCGATATACATGCCACAGTGGACAGACACAGAGACATCATCCCTTTTATGTTAGCAGGTCACCCATTGACAGGTTGTGATACTGTTGGTGCACATTTTGGAGTTGGCAAAGGAACTTTGCTAAAGGTGCTGCGGCAGAAAAATGGGTTCCCATCCCCATCGATTGGAGACATACATGCAGATATGGCCGACGTGATGAAAGATGCAACAGCGCTCATAACATCATGATATGGACAACCCAATGCTACGACACTGTCAGATGCCCGACTGAATGTGTGGACTACACGGGTCGGGAAAGCAGGAGCTACCACACTCCAAATCTTGCTGCAATGCCACCAACAGCTGTAGCTTTCAAAGATAATGTTGAGCGTGCCCATCTTCAAACATGGATTTGGAAGAGTGCTTCGGAATTGAATCCATGGACATTGGATCCCACTGCATTTGGTTACATGAAAGACGAAGCAACAAAGTCACTCATCCCGGTAACCATTCCACCAAAATGTAAAACTTGCACCTGCAAACATACTGAGACTTTTACGTTGCAATTGTGCAAGTGACAACCAATGCAAATCTTCAGGATGTGGATGCAACAAAGCCAAATTAGCTTGCACAATGTTCTGTGCGTGCCATGCATCCGTGCGATGTCTAAATGATCAGACTCTGGCAGCAAAAAAATGTAAATAAAAATGACAGTGATGCATGAGCTCAGTTCAGCAAAGGAAGAAAAGGCGTATCCTTAAAAGAATTGCGTACAAGATAAATTGTGAAGGTAAAATTCCTCATATCGCTATAAAATGGTAACACATTCATGAAAGAAGAGTGATCAAATTAGCATTTTTCACGAAATGGTATTTTCGGAATTCAAACCTATTGTTAAAACAAATGTTTATTATTATAGACTATTGATAGAAATTGTGTGATAAACTAACATTACCGCCATTTTAAATATGTAAATGAGCAAACATACAACAGCCTAAAGTCAAATATCCAAATCAATTCATCTCTGATTCATGAAGTACCAGTATACTACTCTGCCAATTTCCGTAATGTATAATACTTATGGAAAATTTTGCTTAAAATTTATCATTTTGGTGGCCATTTTGTTTTTTCCCATTATCTAAATTAGTAATTATTGACAAATGAGTATGACATAAGTATTTGGTACACTTGGGTATTCTAAGAATTAAAAACATAAGATAGAAAGAAATGAGTATAATACTATTTTATTGTGATTCTAAACTTAACAGTTGGCATTTATCCGCCATTTTGAATATGCAAATTAGCAACAATTACAATGGAAAATATGCTAATTAGGTCATATATGGTCATCTATGTTCATGTATGGTCACCAGGAATGTGTTGACAATGGTCTTCATGAATTATAAGCACACCATTCTGCCAATATTTTGTAATGTATTATGAAATAATTCAAAATTTACTGAAAATAGGCTATTTTGGCGGCCATTTTGTTTTTGGCCATATCTTAAATTGCTCAACACTGACAAAGCTCCAGTTTTCTGTTTGGTCATCTGCAATGTCTAAGGAAACAGAATCCATCAAGAAAAAAACTTATTTCAACAAAACAAGGTGTAGCTCAGTGGCTGCCGGACTATAAATCTCACTTTCGCATACAATCTAATGCTCTTCTGGCTCCAAACAGACGATAGGCTGTACAATCCATAATCCTTCAATTCATTCCTTGTGTCTTTCACCCTGCAGTAGCAACGACCCCGCCCGTAGCACCCTCGTCGAGCCCCTCCGCCGACAAAGCGAGCCTTCGGTCCCCTCCGGCAACGACGGAGGGGGTGAACCCACCTCCCCATCCAGCGAGCGAGACGCCTCCGGAAAACCCAAGAGACCCGTGCCCAGACCTCGGGCCCCTCGACCAAGATAGTCAAGAAACCCTGCCTGCTCTTTCCATCATCTCCCTTTCAATGTCGTGCCACTTGATGAATGGTTACTGGAGTTTGCTGCACCTAATGCAATATGACATAAGTCTTCCAATCTCCCAGAGTTATCTTTTTATATTTTCCCAAATATGCTACAGTATATACATATACATGTATCTTGTTGAATATATATCTTACTAAAAACTGATCATTACTGGAGCTTTGCTGTCCCATATGCCCAGTATATTGTCTTCCAATCCTAATATGCTATTTTTATACTTGGCCAATATAATACATGTTTGTATATTGTAAACTTATAGATACTGGAATCTTCTTATGCCAAATGCCATGTGATACAACCAGTGTAAAGTCTTCCAATCGCACAGAGTAATAGTCCATTTGAAAATATTTTGCAAAATACATGTACGGTCAAGCCTGTCTATTAAGGTCACCCAAGGGAAACAGGAAGACTGGCCACTGTAGACAGGTGGCCTTAATAGAGAAGTGACCACTTAGACATGCTCGACTGTATACATGTACATGGATCAATTGTTGATAAAGATTTTTGTTTAAAGATCATTCATAAAATGAACAAATTATGCTACTCTGCATTAAAAAACATGGTTACTGTTGTGATTGGGTCAAGAAATCATATATGGCACATTGATTTAGTTTGTTAATGTTTTTTCTTTTTCTTTAAGTAATTCTTGCCCTTTATGTGCCATACAATGATTGGATATAATGAATGTTGCTTTGTTAAATGCTGTTTGTGTATGGTCTAAAAAAACAGTTCATGTATTAAAATTTCATGCCCTAAACAGGAATCATATATCTGATTGTAGTAGCATATTCTGGTGATGAATTCATTTTTTGTTGTTGTAAACATGGGGATGCAACTTTAATAGCCTCTTACCAATTTACAATGGTAAACTTTCTATTGTATGAAACATTATATTATGCTCCTTGTGAAAAACAAAATAGCTTTTTCTTTCTTTTGGTTGAAGATATCATGAAAGGATAAAATAATTTGTTCAATTGCTCATCTTCATTTGTTTTTAAAAGAGAAAAAAATTAATTACATTTATAAGCTTACACTTGTAATTTATATCCTTGTATTTGATGAAGTTGACGATTTGAGACAGCTCTTACCAGAAAGTGTAGTAGACCATATATGTTGTTGCCTTGATTTGAATTTGTGTAATAGGATTCTAGTCATTTGAATGTAAATAATGATTTTACTTTATTATTACTAATGTTGAGAAAATGGTATTTAAGAAGAACATGGACTCATGTTTCTATCATTTTTCATGTTCAGATCTAAAGAAGTATATTAGGCAATCTGTTTCATTGTATCATAGGCAAAAGACAGTCATACAAATGACAGAGGGGTGAGAGAGAGATTTTGCTGCAAACACATTTTCATTTAAGTCTATATTTTTCTCAAACTCATATTCCTTTTTGTTAGTTTTGTGTATTGTGTTTCAATAAATTTGAAATATGTTATGGGCACAAATATTCTAATCAGTTCATATACGTATTGATGTTTTTGTAAATTTATATTTATCCCCTAATTTTCGTTTTGCCAAAGAGTACAAATCTCTGGTAACTCCTTAGTTTAGCTGTCAAGTAAGAAGTACATAAAGAATAAAGAAGTATATTTTCTCATTGAGTGTTTGAATAGTAAGTTGGAAGTAATAACAATAATTTTGAACAGTGACAATTACATGTATGTGAAATCTTGAAGATGAATAGATTTATTCTGTTTTTATTCAAACTCATAGACCTTCCATGACAAAGCCTCAATTTTTATATTGAAAATATCAAATTGTTTTTTAACACAATGAAAGGTAACATCAGCAGCTATAGTGTACATACATGTGATATTTAAACAATATTCATGAATTGGCATGATTTTGTCGCATTTTGACAATTTTCAAATTTGATTACATTTAAGGGTATCTTCAAAACTATTAAAGAGAGAAGAAAAAAAATCTCTTACCTTTTTTTTTAAATATACGTGTAGAACTATTCATGTAGAGTGCAATGAAAAATTGTGAAAAGAAATTCTTTCAAAAAAGATACCTCAGGATATTTTGTTTTAAATTTCCTTACATAGAAATCTCGTAATAAAATAAGATGTTTTGTACTTAATAGTGTAGCCTTTCATTTCTGAATTGTTATTGATTGCACAAATTTTGTGTTGAAATTCTTAGTTTAGAAGAATTAAGAAAAAAAAATTTGTTCTTTGATCTATTAAGATTGTATAAAAACATAAAACTGGACTGTCTGTAAAGAATTTGTTTCAACTGAGCTGGTAAAAAAATGTTCATGACCATCTACTTAAAAATGGAGGTACCAAAGTTTTCACTGTGTATAAAATTATTGTGAAGTTAGTATTTCCAGTTCACAGTCATTCTTAACTTGCATGACATTCCTTCATTGTTTGCGAATATGTTATAGCTCGCTAAATTTCAAATGGATTCCTTCAGAGTGGAAGATTGTATCATTCGTCCTGTATAGGCATTGAGCACAAAGATTGAAGTATTTCTACCTTAAAATTGTATTTTTTTTTTAATTCCTTGTCGTGAATGACAAATTATTGTGTTTGAGATGAAGATTCCAAAATCATTAGAATTAAATATAGAAAATATAAATTTGAATCTACATGTAAAACGTATTAATTACACTTTTTAAAAAGAAGAAATTGTAAATATTATGGAGAAAGCAACACTATTTCCTTTCAAAAACCCCGATTGTTTGAGAACAGCGCAGGTTTTGATTTTGATAAGAAACGAGAATATTATAATAATGTAATGCTTTGACTTGTAAAATATGTAATTTTACAAAGAATTTCATTATTTGTTGTTATTTTATTCCTCCCCCCCCCCCCTACTCAGAATAATGCCTTGCCCGAATGACTGTGTAATGAAAGTATAAATAATTGTTTTAATAATTGTACATTTTATTTTTCGGAAAGACAAATTTGTTTGACGGTATTAAAGATTCTGATGATATTCAGCCATTGATGTACATTTCCAATAGATATTCTATGAATAGTTTATATTGCACATAGTTTACATGTAGATGCAGCATTTAAAGGCAGTGATTTCAAGGGAGAATTCAAACCATGATTTGTTTGATAATGTATAATACATTTATATTCTTTACTTAAAGGACTTGCAGCTTTAGAAGAGAAGGGGGAAAAAAACCTTCCACTTTTTATGGGCTTATATAACAACAAAGATATATATTTATTGTCATGTCTTGAATTTTAAGTAGATAGGTACAATGTACAGCAACTTATTGTTTTAATATGTGCTATAAGTAATTTACTTTTTACAGTTGTAAAGTCAAACATTCTTTAACAAATGTTCAAACAATTCAAATACTTTTCATAACCAGCTCAAATTGTAAAATAGTGTTGTTAAGAGTTGCTAATGTGACAAACAAGTCCAATGAATTGTTTGAGTCGCTGATATGAGATGAAGAAATCTTGTTGACCAAATATTTTGATGTTATAGGTTACGTGCATTTTGTTTTTTGCAATTCAACAATTATGATATGGTTTGGTGTATAGTGTATGATTTGAGAGTAAATCTACTTTTTTACATGGAGTTAGTGTCGAGACTTAAAAAATAAAAAATCATGTTTTGAAATGTGGCGTTTTATTTCACTACTTCATTTAAATCATTTTATAATTATAGTCATCTGTACCATAGTTTTTATTTTTCTAAATTTATACCCTTCTTGTTAACAACTAGTCTTTGACTTTTAAATATAATAATTTGTATGGCAGATACACTTACGTTACAATAAAAATACATGTGTTGAAAACCTGAAATGTTTTGTGCTGTAAGAACTACTATTGGCCAAAATTTGTGACCAAGTAAGCATATTGATGTAGTAGTTTTTCAGGTATCATTTAAAACATAGACTTTAGATCGAGATGTGTATAAAAGCTGATGCATAAAAGCTAAATATTGAATTATGATTTTTTTATCTGTCCCATTACGCATTTTTTATGTGTGTATGCTGTTTTGTTTTACCATGTACAAGTATGTGTTTAACTGTTCAATAGTTGTAACAAGACACACAATAGTCTTTCAATTAAATGTCAAAATGTTGTTAGCAGTAAGAAGAAATCATGAACAGAATAATAATTGTCAAATAGTCAAGAGTTATGTACAGTAGTTATTTACATGGAAACATCATGGAAATTGTGTACTTTGCCTGTAAATATATTGTGCAGGGTTGGAAAAATATCTCTATTGTTGATGACTTTCAGAACACAGAAATAAATAAATATGAAATGCTTGATATGAAAACGGTGTTTGTGTTGGACTCTTCCTCCCTCTCAATCCTTCTCTCCTCTCCTCTCATATTCACCATCTACTACATTTGTAGCTACCTACCATTCTCCCTCCCTTTTCTCCTCTCTCCTCTCTCCCATTTCTCATCTCACACACTCCTGCTTCCCTTTTCTTCTCTCCCTCTCTTTCTCCTCCTCTGCTCTCTCTCCTCCTCCTATCTCTCTCTCCTCCTATCTCTCTTTCCTCCTCTCTCTCTTTCTCTCATCCTCTCTCTCTCTCTCCTCCTCTCTCTCTCTCTTTCCTCCTCTCTCTCTCTCTCTCCTCCTTTCTTCCTCTCTCTCTCTCTCTCTCTCTCTCTCTCTCCTTTCTCTCTCTCTCTCTCTCCTCTCTCTCCTCTCCTATCTCTCTCTCTCCTCCTCTCTCTCCTCTCTCTCTCCTCTCCTATCTCTCTCCTATCTCTCTCTCCTCTCTCTCTCTCCTCCTCTCTCTCTCTCTCCTATCTCTCTCTCCTCTCTCTCTCTCTCTCCTCCTCTCTCTCTCTCCTCCTCTCTCTCCTCTCTCTCTCCTCTCCTATCTCTCTCCTATCTCTCTCTCCTCCTCTTTCCTATCTCTCTCTCTCTCTCCTATTTCTTTCCTCTCTCTCCTCTCTCTCCTCCTCTCTCTCTCTCTCTCTCCACCCCCTCCCTTTCCTCCATCCTCAGCCTTCGTTGAACTTGATTCCATTGGCATCTATGAAAACCCCTAGATCAGAGATGAAGTCGGTTCAGTCAGTCATTGTCTCGTGTGTTCATCTAAACAGTTCATATTTGCTCTTTTTAATATCCAGATTTACACTATTCAATATAATTTTGTACATACATCTGATATACACATTTCATGACCTCTACCCTAAACATCACATAAAAACAAAAAATCAGATAAGGGGGTGAAATAGCAATACCTACAAGGGCTAATTAGCCCTGAAATCAAGTCAAAGAGGGGGCAAAGAGGCCCTACTACTGGCAGATAATATCTGGCAGATAATATATATATGTATAAAAGGAATAGATAGGGTGTGAGGTTTTCATTAAGCATGACCCTGTAAAAATAAGAGTAAAATAAATTCAAAGTTGTTTCATACGAATGGCAGATGCACCAACTTCCTTATCCTTCATGGCAAAATGGGTGCAATATTTCCACTGGAGCACAGGATTGGGTACAGGTTAAAAACGTGGCCCCATAACAATCTTGCTAGTGAGAACCAATATCTGTCTTGACAAACATATCATAGTATATATATTATAATATGGCAATCTCCTTAACAGACTTGAAAGATAAAATGCCCACAGTACATTGTGCAATGTTGAGCATTTTGATGCAATTTAAACTCTGGACAATATTTTTTCTACAGGATCAAAGTTGTTCTCCAGGTATAAAGATATATGTGTTCATACAGTGGTAGTTCACTAACGTACATGTTTGGTAAAATGATACCAATTTTTCAAGGGTTTCATACTATTAAACATGGAAAAATATCTTAAAGTCATCTAAATCAATCATTGATTAACAATAGCATGCAATAGAGTCGTACAGTTTCTGTACTCCCTGTGCAAAATCATAGTCACACACACATTTATATAAAACACAATTTTCTTACTATAAAACAATTCTTTCAAGTTGGTTTAAGGTTTTAAAAATAGCTATATATATGCGCTACTTGTACCAACAAGTTATAGGGTCATATTCGGTAGATGTACAGGCAGCTATATTTTTTTAAACCTTTTTTCTAGTACATGTTGCAAAGGATAATATAAATCATTGTATGTTAATATATTTTGTAAATGGCATCCCCTCCAATTCATAAAACAAATTCTGCTTTGGAACATGTTATTAGTAATCTAAAAACAGTCAAATATTTAAATACTTTTATCTTATCCTACAATCCACATGCCTTTAGAATGCCTGAATTGTAAAACAAATTGATGCTATCCATGGGGGCAGTGTATGAACCAATATAAATACATGTGCATGTATAATGCACACAACAATAAACAAAAATATTTTTATCATAAAACCCTACAAACATGTTTCTGGATGTATGCATGGTCCATCTTTCATTGAAAGTTACCTATATAAAATTCTTCTCTACAAGTAGTACTTAAGGTATATGTAAGTTTATTCTTTATTACATACATGTATTTAAATTCAGTTCCTCTAAATATTAATATCATACTTTTTAAATCGCATCAAACTAGATTTTCATACAGTACTTGTAAAAACACCCCAGCTATGCAATTTCGGACCCATATGGTCGGCTTTACTAGTAATTTTGTTTTTCCCCCATTTTTTGTATGCATGGCAAGTTCAGGTATCCATATTTTACAAAGAGTGGTTTTTAAATTTTCAATATATTGTATTTAATGAATATTTAATATGTGGCATATAGGTTATGCATGTATTCAAATACCCAGTATTCCATGTACGGTACTTTTCTGAAATAACACTATGAAAATGGAAAATATGAAAGCTAATATATGTTAAGGAAAAATACTTAAAGTACATACTCAAGAAAACAATAAAATAATTTCTTTATCTTTATATCTTAATCTTGCAATCTTGTCATAAATATTCCTCTAAAGTAGTGCAATGCCACATTGCTATTTTTTGTACAATAAATATTACTTTTTAACAAGCGTTTCTGAAGAAATGACAAGTGGTTACTCAAGGAGAAAAGTAAGCGTGTTATCTATCTACAAATTTGGCTCAATATATCTAAAATGGGAGATTTTATCACAACTCTTTTCTTCAAGCAGTTTTTTTAATCTTAACTGTCCATTTAGCAAGCAAGCGTTAGCACACGCAGTCCTAACTTACACAAATTCCTTGCATTCAATCATTTATACATTGTCATTCAATAAGTGCCTTCTTTTAAAAGTGCTGCTAAACAAAATTTGTCAAATGTTTACTTTCCACAAATTGCACAAAATAAATAACTAACATTAAATGCTAAAGTAAGACGAGCATAACATTTTCATTTACATGTACATATTCATTAATTTATTCTAAAAGACATGAATGATGTATTCTGAATGTAGCGAGATCGTTAATTTTTCAATTGAATCACAACATGACGTAGAGTATTGCATTGTCATAATGATCTAGGGTGGATGAAATAAATTAAAATAACTGTTTGTCAGTCAAGGAATTCATGTTATGAAAATCGATGCAACTACATTCGATTGACGAGCAAGGTCTAACGTCTTATACTAGCCCGTAAGTATCATTTTCAAATATCAATTTAGAAATTATAAAGCTAAAAAGCACTACTTAACTTATTTTGCAAGTGTGTTGCAAACTTCATTAAATGTCTCTAATATAATTGGCATGCACCATTAACTTAAAAATACACTACATGTAAATAAATTCATAGGTGATCAGAATTTTGAGACAATACTACAGAAAAAAGAAGAAGATAATTTCAATTTAAGCAGTACTTTATATTGCTAAATAGCTTTAAGATAAAATCTTTGGGGTTTAGACAAGTGCATTTCATCCACATCAAAATCAGATATCACCTGCAACATATCACAGTGGCATTGCAATATATGATACAGTAGACATTTACAATGGTATTCTATGCACAGTTTACTCAACTATTCAAAAATATCTTTCATCTGTCATGTACATTATTTAATCTCTCTACATTACACTCGCATAACCCTAGTTTGTACAATATACATGTATCTAGAATATAGATTTCCAACTGTTCATGAAAGATTTACATTTACTCCGAAAGAGTTAATGTGCGATTAGAAAAGCAATGTTCCAGGAAAATCTCATCAGTTGATCATATTAATTGAGCACTTATATATCAGTGTGTTAAAATGCACAAACCTTCAAGTTGGAAGGAGATAGGAGGTATAGTATGAGGCCCAAACTGAATCCCATGTATCCTACATGAGGCTGAATTGACCTCCACATGCGGTCCAATGTTAGGCATGTCACAAGCACAACAATATTTGACTTTCTACAAAATTTCCTAATCTGGTATCAGTCACACCTGACAGAAGTAGTAGTTTCAAGTTCTAGGGATATATGAGATTGAGAAAATCATTTTTGTTTGTGGTACCAAGCACTCTCTCAACGTATAACATACAGAGCTTGCCGTTAACAGGTGCCCAGGATACATTTAGGTCCTGACTCCCAAAGAATTTCAAAACTTTGATATGGACATACCCTAAAAAATTTGATCCAGATTGGTATGGAAAAAATTAGTAGGGAGCCCACGTAACATGCACCTCCATCTTGTTACATGCTGCTTCATTAAACGCTTGTATCTTTAGGAGCTCCCTGTTGTTGCGGTCTGGGACTGTGACACTGCTATGAACGGCACCGGTGACCCCTGAAGCACGCTGGGGTCCAGCAATATGGGGATGGTCCCTCCGATCTCTTTACCCGTCCCTGGGGGCATGAGGTGGGGGAGGGGTGGCTGAAGGATTATGTTGGATTGCACGGTGTCTGGGGTAGCGGGCGTGGTCTGTGGTGGTGGTGGTGGTGGTGGAGAGGGGCTGGAGGCCAGTGGTGGAGGCGTGGCATCGGTAGACTGGGTGGCTGGGGAGGGGGAGGGGGTCCCAGAGCGGGGAGATGGTTGCTGGGCAGTGGCTGGCATATCTGGATCTGAAATGTGAAGAGCAAAGACAAGGAATATCAAATCAGGACACATGTGTGTATGGTGTGTATTGGGGTTTACACACGTGTTTCAATCAGATATGATTATTTACGCCTGGGGATAGACCTTTAAACGTCACCATCCGAAAGACGTAACTCAGTTTTGAACCTGTGTCCTCGGCTGAATCAGTTTGTAACTTCCATTGTTAGCTGGATTACGGGCGCACGCCACAACGCCCGATACCTACATGTACATGTAGTCTGCATTAAGACTATGGGGTACCAGAAATTCAGATGCAATACTTAAAATGGCATGCAATGGCCAATGACAGCACATACAGAATAATAGTAGATACAATCCAACCCTGCCATGGGAGATTAAACCTCCCTGCAAGGTCACTGACAGGTGGTTATCTCATCAAGTCGTCTCTCAATTAACATAAGAAAAGGGGGATCATGAGGGACCAACATACACCAATTAGGCATTGTTTGCTATATACAGTGTGTCTCTAAAAAAAGTAAACCCAACTTCAACGGCAAATTTTCAGAAAACTATAAAATATTTACACATTATTTTTTATGGTTAGATAGTCCAATAAGTCCTCTGTCCAATGATACCACGTAGGTTATGTAACTCTCATGCATGACTGAGCATGATTCAACTTAGTGAATGGGTGTGAAATCATCACTGTGGCAAGTTAGAATTGCACTGGAAGTTCATCAATCAAATGACATAGGAAATGTCTGATTTCTTACAAGCATAGCTTAGGGATGTGTACCCTCGACATGACCGCCATTCCTTTCCATGCAAAGCTCGCAACGCCTCCTCATGTCCCTGACAGCACGCCTGATCATTCCCTGATCTTGTCGTAATCGGTTCACTTCACCTGTTATCTGTTGCCTCAGCTCCTGAATTGTGGCCGGTGGGGTTTGGAACACTTTTCCTTTAAGATACCCCCAAAGAAAGAAATCGCATGGTGTCAGATCTGGTGAACGTGCAGGCCACTCAACTGGGAAATGAAGAGCAATGATGCGATTGCCAAAGAGTTCAGTCAAACGATTCCTCACAGCAATAAGTCTGTGGGCTGGGGCCCCATCCTGAGCCCACCAGGCCCTGCGGAATGCTCCACGTCGTTGTCGGGGGAAGATCTGTTCCATCTCAGGCACAATAAAATTGTTCAGCATGTCAAGGTACGCCCTGCCATTGATGTTGCCTTCAAAAAAGTAAGGTCCCACCAATGAACCATTGCCACAAAGACCAATCCAGACACTCACTTTCTCCCTGCTCATGTTCTTATTAAAAGCATATCCCGGTGGATGATGGAGTTCAGCATACTCGTGCTCATTGTGGGTGTTTACCATTCCATCCATGGAAAACGTTGCTTCATCCCCGATGGTAAAAAACTGGAGGAACTGTCGATCTCGGTTGCACCGGTTCACAAACCATTGTGAAAATTGAAGTCGTCTGGGAAAATCAGCTGGTAGAAGTTGGTGCTGAACATGAACATGATATGGATGGAGATGCAAATCCAGTCTTGCTATTCTGTTAAAAGTTGCGCGTGGTATTCCAGTATCATTTCTCCTGGTGCTTATGCGTGGGTTGGCTTGGATAGCCTCTCTTACCACTTGGATGTTTTCAGCAGACCTCCCAGTTCGTCTGTGGCCAGAGTGTCCTTTATTCCTGTTCAAACTGGTTCCGTGATCAGCATACTTTCTCACATTGTACCAGATGGCTCTTTTTGTTGGAGGCTGCCTCTCGGGGAACTGCACCCGAAAAGCATCTTGAACTTCCACGAAACTTCTTGTTTCCTGGTATCGAGTTACCAGGAATACTCTCTGCTCAATTGTCAACTGTACCATGTTTGGAAAGCATGTGAAGTGTGCCTGTGTTAGGAACAACCTTTGCTGAAGTTGTTATGTAATCATAGGCCTAACATGTGACAAAGATTTAACTTCAAATAGGCCCTGAATGCATGACAATAGCAAGAAATAACTTGCCACAGTGATGATTTGACACCAGTTCACTAAGTTGAATCATGCTCAGTCATGCATGAGCGTCAGATAACCTAAGTGATATAATTGGACAGAGGACTGTAGAGGGCACAAGTAGCTGTAAGTAGTTCAGTGGGGCTTTAATAATGCAGCATTTAAAAATTCCCTCACATATATATTGTATGTGAGAGGGAACTATTTGTGGCTCCATGAATTGACCTTTGAATGCATACAGGTGTGTGTGTCCCAACTATCTCTGTAATTATGCTATGGTTATGTCTGGAGATTCTTACTGTCGGGGGCTGCTTGAGAAGGTCCATTCTGAATGGGACTCACGGCTCCATCTCTGGGGATGACATCTGGCTTCGGAACGTTGGCTTCAGACTTGGGCTTGGAAACGGGAGCTGAGCCAAGAAAAACAAAGTAAACAGAACGGTCTGAAATTTATAGATGGAACGAAATATGTGTTTGATAGTACAGTATACAAATGATGCACAGGTTTGAGTGCGTCGGTAGGAATTGTGTGCACAAGGTACTTTTTAATAATTTTAGACCAAATTTGAAGGTACCGCATGCACACAATTCCACCGACCCACTAATTAAACCTGTGCATCATCTGTTTTATAGAATGGGGCCCAAAAAATCATCAAAAATCTTTTTATTTTACAGATTTACTGGGTGCATGGCAAAATCATGCTTTCCGGTAATTACCGGACGCATGATTTTGCCATAGCCATGTATGCATTTATTACCGGAAAGCATGATTTCATGCATCTTGTCATGAAACCCCTACCCCTAGCCCATACTCTTACATGTGTTCGTCTATCAGACCAATTACAGGCCTTTCAGATCAGGTTCAACAATCAATAAATACCAGTACATTCTTGATGGGTGAAGACCTGATTCCTGAGGCCCGGAAAGAAGCAGTTGATCCTCATTCAAGTGTTCATCCATATTTGAAGGGAAGTGAAAGCCCAACTTACGATACTTGGACTCGAAACTAAGGTTATACAGTAGGCTTACGGTTGCACCATGTGAGAGAGGGGGGAGAATTGGGGAGTCCTGAAAAGGACTGTCTGTAATCTTTCTTTCTTGAGTGTGTGTGTGTATAGTCCTGAAAAGGACCGTTGGTAATCTTTCCTGAGCCTATAGTTCTAAAGAGAACTATAGTGCCGGTTGGAGAGGTGCAACATGGTGCAACCGTAAGCCTACTGTATATCTACATCGCCATGCAAACCGATACTTCTAAGCAGCATCTAAAACTAAGGTTACTGTCCATAAGGCTTAATCTTCTATCTACATGTATAACTATCAAGGGCCATTCTGGACAGGTTTAGCTAATGGTACTGACCAGTTTCTTGAGGGGTGAAGACCTGATTCCTGAGGCCCGGGAGGAAGCAATCGATCCTCTCCCAGGTGTTGATCCAGAGCTGATGGCTTTGGGAACCCGGCTCTGGATACCCAAACACTCCGGCAGTGTCCATGACAAGCAACATGTTCTTCAGAGATTCAGGGATAGCTTCAAACTGCAGGGAACAAAACAAATTCGGATAAACTGCATGAAGAACAGATTCCATGACCAGATGCCAACATGTATATCAAAGATTGCTTTACATCTCATAAACCATCTCGGCCTAATCTTTGCTCTTCTCGAGACCCATTTCTGCTTACTGTTCCCCAAGACAAGTAACAAACCTGGTTATTGCAAATTTACCGTTATCCAAAGAATGGAATAATATCCCCTCTTTTCTTTAAAACATACTTTTTCTTTTCCCTATTCATTATAAACATTGTGTTTGTACCTATTTTGATGAAATTCAGTTGTATATTATGTATGATTATTTTGTGTAAACTCTGTGAAATAGTTTACTATGGAGAGCATACTAAATACTAGATATTACTATCATTAAGACCAAATATACTCACAAAATTCTGCAGTCAAGGTCTACAAAATACCAACTCTACCAAATAGATTGACAATTACATTTCTATGTCACAAGAATCTACCTTGAGCATATAAGACTTTGTTTGTAATGTCTCTTATAGAGAATTAATTTAAAACAGACTCAGACTAAATGTAACACTTGACATAAATCCTGTCCTGAAAGGAGATTTTATGAAAGAATGCAGTAATTGACTTACCAAGAGGTCACTCTTGTCCGAGTGCATGTACTTGTCCATAAAGTCCAGTATAGTCAGCCAGAGAGCAGTGAAGGTGGACAGGGAGAGCAGTGGTGTCAGGTGCTGAAGAAACACCTATATTGAATCAAGCAAAGGAATGAATAATCCTAGCTAAATACTCCTAATTGTCTTGAAATATGTCATTAAAATACAAATAAAAGCAATAAATCTGTGTAATATTTCATTACAGACTGAGACCCTAAGATTGCCAAATTGCATTAAGTATACAGTGTACATTCCTACACATTGTATGTGTGAATGCAATCCATTGTTGTGTGTTCAACAAGTCAAAGTAAGCACACAAAGAGTTAAAATAATGAAAAATGAGAATCAACCACAATACAGAAATGAGAATCAACCACGATACAGAAATGAGATAATTTTTTTTGTTTTGTGTTGTTGTTGGAAATACCAATGAATATTCTTCTGATGTTATAGGGGGTGTAGCATGACGAGACTCTGTGTTTTTCGGGTGGCCAATCGAGTATAATAAGACTACAGATGACGTGACCGCAGTATTCACGCGCGTGCAACATACGCGAAACTGAAGCGCGAGGAGAACTTCGATCTGTTTCGCGAACGCTAGTGCACTGACCTTTATAATCAAGTCCTTTCGTTTATGTGCAGTTGTCCAAAAGAAGTCGTAGATGACGTTAACCAGTATTTGCCATGCTACACCCCCTTTAAAAAAATTTGTTAACTTACCTTGCACAGCAGAGTAGCAGCTCTCATCCTCGTCTCCTCCATCCCGACGGGATCGTGCGTATCCTCCAGCAGAAGAGTGAGGAGAGGGAACAGAACCTTGTTGAAGCACGACTCCCACTCCACCGCCGACAGGGTCTGGAGGTCATGGACCAACAGCGCCCTCTGGAGGTACGTCAGGGCCTGCATGCGCACCTGGCGTCTGGTGTCGCAGCACAGCCTGGCAATGCCTGCAAGAGAGTGGAATAAGGAAATTTAGGGATTGAATCATTTTTTCCCTTTTTGTTAATTGAAAGATAAGATTATCTTAAGTAACTTTTTTTAATCTTGTGGTACCACACAGCATAGCAATGATTCAAAAATAAACATAAGTATGTACAAGCAAATATCAGAGATATATCAGGACATCTTTAACTAAGGATAGATTAGAGCACATCTCATATTTTTACAATTTGTGATATTTTTATATCATAAAAAGGGGTTAAATAGAAACAACAGTTTTGTGTCCTTCTGTTCAACATGGATAAAGAGAGTGGGGAAATATTTGGCATTAAATTCTAACATCATTATTATCAATAAATGGCTAGCACAAGAAACAACAGGGGACAAAAAAAGACTAAAAGTAGTCACCTGAAGAAAATTCACAACTGATAATCATGGTCAAATTATATATGGACGGAAAGATATTCTCTTGAAAAATACCAACAATTTGCTGAAAAATCATATAGATATCATGGTAAGGCTTAAAATGCAATTTTGTGGCTAGCTGTGTCTCGCATGTGACGTCACAAATCTTGACGCTCTACGGAGGACCGGTGAAGGCAGAAAATTTGGATCTCAAAATTAACATTTTTGAGAGACGATTACTGCGGGCCCCAAACATATTTTAAAGAGGGAAGTTGTTATATTTGATCAGTAAGGCTTCCCCTTCGCAATGATATGGATTTTGCAATTCAAAACACTTTTGATTCCTCGGGTGACTCCTTTAACAGAATATCAACAAGATAGAAGAAAGTAGAGAAATACCTTGTAAGAGTGGACACCAGCACTTAACCCACAATGCACTAGCTCCAGCATCGATGGTGACCTGCTGGCCCTCTCGCTCCTCCTCTTCAGCCCACGAACTGAAGATGGATGCTGCTCTCGTGTGCAGGGTATGCATCAGATCAAGGAGCTGCGAAGAAAGAGTAAAGGAAACAAAACAATCAATTAATGCACACCATCTCCATTTCCCCCAAAATTGTACAGGTTATAACTTGTGTTCTCTCTCTCTCTCTCTCTCTCTCTCTCTCTCTCTCTCTCTCTCTAAGTGCCATATCAATTGACTTTGGCGATCATGCTGTTGCACAACCCTCGGCTCCTAGCCTTCTCTAATAGAACCACTTCCAGTTCTTTCACTCCTCTCTCTTCTAACAATTTCAGCAGACTGTCCATCCAAAGTATCCTCCCTCTTCCCCTACTCCTACTTGTGTTACATGTAAGATTGGAAGGGATTATTCACTACTTGACAGACTTCTGTGAGGAGGTAAGAGGACCTTGATTCGAAGAAAAGGTGATAGGGAAAGGGAGGTTTTCCTTTCTTTTATTCGTCTGTAGCAATGGTGAATAAGGGGGCACAAATGAGCGGGGAAAAGGGAATCAAGAAATGGAGAAGATGTTGGAGGGGGCAGGGGCATATTGGCATGTTGCCTTCATCTCCCCTTTCCACCTCTTTCCTCATTTCTTACTCTATTGGGTATCCAATAAGGGGGGGGGGGAGAGGGAGTACATGTAGGTGCAAAAGAACAAGGCAATCACGTGAGAGGAAGATGTGGGAGGGGGTCACATAAACTTGTTGCATCCCCTCTCCCTTTCTATTCTTTTTTGCCATCCCATGGGAAGAAATAGGGGCATGTGCCCATTTTGCTACACCACTATTTTTTTTCAAACTCGCTACTAACCTGCCTAGACAGAGCTTGAATAAGGTTGACGGTAGGGATTCAGTCAGTGCAACAGATATGAGTAGTGGTGGTTGTTTTACCTGACTGCTAAGAAAGCATAAATGCTTGCTAGTAAGCTACCAGAGGACCAACGGCTTAAGGTCCTCTTAGAGAGACCTGGCAATGAGGATAAATGCCTTACCAAAGGGCACTAGCACATCGCGCATGTTTCATAAAACACTTTCTTCCATTCGATGGGAAGAGGGGGACATGTTCCCCCTCCTTCGCTGCGCCACTGCACCTGCACCATTGTTACTCACCTGTATGGACAGTGCTTGGTAGCCGCCTGGTGGACCATCATCCTCACCCTCATCTCCTTCACCACCCATCATCTGAGACATCTTGTCCGGCACCGACCTCGTCTTGGACATGTCGCGACCTTTGACCCTGGCACTGCCCTTGTGGCTCTTGCCGGACTTCCGCTCTTTAGGGTGCTTTCGATGCTCATGCCTCAGTTTTCCTGTGAGATGAAATTAGAGACAATCATTTCTTGTTTATTCTGGTTAAAAAATTGCTCTTTCTAATAAAAATGAACAGTTCATGCAATATATAAAATCACAATATCACTACTAAATTCTCCCTTTTCACATTGACATACCAGTCCGTTTGGCAATTTATCAAATATTTGCTTCACTTCGATCTTGAATGACAGCATTTAAGGTTTTAAACCATAATAGCCCACACTGCTTTACAGTGGTGCTCCTACATGCCTCATACTGGTATATCCGATGAACCAATGTTATCACGGCATTAGCCTGTATACCATTACCATATCTTGCCCTTTGGTAAAAACATTGATCAGGGGGGTGTTTCACAAAGATCCTAAGTCCAACTTAACTCTAAGTTGGACTTAAGAATTATGGAGAGCCATTTGTAGCCTTAAAATACATCATATTCAAAAGCGAAGATTCAAGTATTTCAGACTTTTAATAAATTCCACATCAAGAACATGAAATCTCCTTGATGATAGAAAATATGAATGATTTGAATCAACATTTTATGCCTTTTGAATTAAATTTTACAAAATATTTTCATAGATGATAACGGCTTTCCATAATTGTTAAGTCCAACTTAGGATCTTTGTGAAACACCCCCCTGTAATTACACTGTCCCTCTGATAGAACTTACAAACAACACACAGGGTTCTTACAGAAAATTGAGAACCAATTTCCATGACTCTTAATGACTTTCCATAACCCACTTTTGCCTTTTTCCATGAATATATTGCTCTCGCTAAGACAATATCAGACTCGTCTTTGCCTCGTCCAATATTGTCATAGCTCGAGCAATATATTCTTGTATCACAATCAAAGCCAATCAATATTATGTAGATATCAACAAAACATCAGCAAAAATTCAGCAACGTTACAATCATTTTCAGAATGTTATTATGTTTGTGACGATGTACATTTGCTATTATTGTATTATGTATTTCTACTTGTATTATGTACATGTACAATGACTGTAAAACCAGCGAAAAAAGAATTTCCTGAAAGGGCCAATGAATGGCAATTCAATTCAATTCTATTTAATTCAACGCTCAGCTGTAACCTCACCCCCGTTCACTGTGGCCTCCACAAACATCCTGATGGCATGGACGCAGGACTCAAAGTTGGCCGGAGTGACGTGGGCGGCGTCCCTGACCAGGAACGCAAGGGATTCGCAGCACTTGGTCAGGGACTTGGTGTCGTGATGGCAGATGTCCATCTCCAGGGCAATCTGGAACTGGTTGACCAGTGGCCTGCTTGACTCCTCACTAGAATTCTTTACCTAGACAAAGTAAGAAGACATTGAATTTTCTTTAGAATTTTCAAGCCTGTCTATAGTGACCACCCAAGGGAAACACAAAGAGTGGTCTCTGTAGACAGGTGGTCTTTGTAGACAGGTTACTTTAGTACATGTTTCAATGAGAAACTATTTTCAAGGGAAACAAAAAATGTGGTCTTTGTAGACAGGTGGTCACTAAAGCAGGTTTGACTGTATACCTTTAAGTTTTATTAATTAATTGATAAAATAGCAGAATGTTGCTGAAGTGGAGCGTCATGTTTTAATGCGTTTACCTTGGAGCAAAAATGACCAACTTATACCAATTATCACTGTACAGTGTAAATTTGATGACATTCACTTGTTTTGTGAGATAAGGGACTCTTAGCCTTTATTTCACTCTACTTTGTACCCAGGTGTAAATGGAAAACTGATAATTAATTGCAGGGCAATCAGTAAGGACAGCATTCTTGCTGATGAAGCTTCCCTGGGTAAACAAAATTCTTATATCATTATTATCACAACATACCTGCCTGCCAACTCCAATAAAAGCAGTCTACAAGACTTGATAAGAAACCTTGCCCTGATAACAGAATCAGTTTGAGCCGAGCTTAAGCCTGTCTGCACTCGTTTGGCCAGGAGGGATTAGACCTCCCTGCGTGGTCACTGGCAGGAGGTTATCTCATCAAAAAAGCTCTCAATTAACATAAGAAAAAGGGGACCATGGGGGATCAATGGGTACCGCTTAGGCATTGTTTGCCAAATAGAGGACGCAAGTAGCTTCAAGTAGTGCAGTCCCGCTCTAAGGTACTACAGCAGAATATGACATGCACTGCAAAAGTCAACTAAGCAGCTGTCACAAGAAAAAGAAAAAATAGTCAACTTACAACGAGCCAGCTGCTGGTGGTGCTTCCCTCGGACTCACTGCCACTCCGTCTAGACTTCCGATAGAGCTCACTGTCCGAGGTGTACCCATGGTCAGAGGCAAGGGTCTCCCGGCTGGCCGATAGCTCACTGTCGGACTGGGCATCTACACAGGAAGATTCAGGAACATATTAATATAGTCAGTATTATACATATTCTTAATAATAATAATAATAAAGAGCTCCTGATATGCTTAGATTTACAGTTAATTGAAAAGATATGCTTTCAGTTTTGATTTAAAGATATTCACAGATGTTGATTTCCTGACTTCCAATGGTAAGTTATTCCAGAGTTTTGGGGCTGCACAAGCAAAATTAATGCTCGATCACCTAGCATTATTTTTGTTCTTGATAGATGGGATCTGCGGCAACAAAGTATCTTGGGAACTGCGCAAGTTGCGATTGTGTTGATTAAGCTTGAAATTCAACAGTTCTTTGATATAAGTGGGAGCTTGACCAAGAAGTGCTAAGATAAATTTGAGTTCTGAGAAAGGGTGAAAATATGTTTTGTGGACCTTTCATTCTTTTTATGTTTATGTATTTGCCATGATACAGATCAGCTTGACCTGACTGTATCATAGAAAAGAAATTTTCCTTGAAAAGGACGGCTCTACAGTAGTGCTTAGAACATCGACCCTACCTGGTTCGCCTAGTGACCTCTGATCAATCTCTCCTGACCCGCTATCCTCCATGGGATTGGTCTGCTGCACCAAGGGGCGCAGCGCTGCACCCGCACCAACACACTCCAGCAGAGAGAACAGGGTGAACCAGTCCTGAGAGGAGTGGATGTTTGCAGCGTTGGTCCTCAGCAGGTCAAAGAGACCGAACGCAATCTGACGACAGTTAGCAAAGATGACGGTTTGCTTCATCATGAGCAGCATGCGTAGGGAGGTCAGTACCTGATTTTTAAAAAAGAGAGGAAGTTGTCACTGAAAAGGTTTTGCATTATGTTGTCACAATTATTCTCCTGTCACACTTCTAAACTAAGTCCAAAATAACTGATAACCAACAAATCTGTGCCATTTATATCTACTTTACTCACCTATCCAAAGAACTCAACTAAACTCAACTAAATGAGCTACATGTCCATTGTATACTCAACTCTACTGAACTCAACTTAATTCAACTTGACTCAACTGAACTCAATTTGACTCAACTCAATTCTTTAAAACTGGAGTCAACTTGATTCAAATCAATTCGACTGAGGTCATTTTGACTCAAATCAATTCTAATGAACTCAACTTGACTCAAATGAACACAAATGAACTCAACTCAAGTCAACTCCATTCCGTTCAACTCACCTGCCCTGAGAACTCCTCCCTCCTAAGGAGTCGTATTGCTAGTCGCAGCAGACCAACGATGGCGCGCTCCACCAGGTAGCTGGGGGTGGAGATGGTCACCACCAGGGTGTAGAAATGATCCCTTACAGCGGTCCAGAAAGCACTCACTCGATCTCTGTTCAAGGAAACAAAAAAAGAGCCAAGGGAGAAAATGAACATTGGATTCAATAATAACACCTGAAGTTACTTAGTATACAGAATTGAAAATTTAGTGCCCTTCCTACAGTACCTAGAATTGGAAAGGTGTAACTGATCACATAATTTTCATACTTCCTAGAAATCCATATGACGAGTGCAAGAAATATTTCAGGAGTTAATATGTAATAAGAAATATATTTTGCAATGATACCATGCACAATATTCATTTTTTATATCAGTACTTGAAATTCACTACATTAAATTTGAAAGGAATAGAAACAAATAAGATATTTAGATCCTGGTCCATTTTCACTGCATTTTGACTTAACATTCCACTTAATTTTTATTCTGAATATTAGTTCCAAGTCTTACAAGCTTTAATGTGAATATATTGTACCTGTCGACATGGTTTCTATAAAAATCTGTCCAGAGCCAGAGAGGCATTTAACACATAATATTATACAGAGGTAAATATTTGTTGCCTCCAAAAAGAAGGCATGTAAAAACAGGCTTATTCATAAATGCCAGTTGGGTTTTATGTTTTACCCCATTAGCCAGAAGAGAGTCTACAGCAAGATAGAGCACCGAATACTCTGAACAATGTAAAGTTTTTGTTTTTTCAGGCAAAAAAACAAACAAACAGACGATGAGGTGCCAGGGTCTGAAAGCTGGCAACACTGTTGGTCCTCACCTGTTTTCTAGGATGACCCTTAGGAGCAGCTCCAGATTGAAGATGGCCGCCTCCTCGTCAAAGACCAGGCCTAGGGCGTCGACGGCCTCTGGACCCTGAGAAGCACAGACCAGGGCCTTGACCAGCTCCTGGAGCGATTCCAGACGAAGGAACTTGCTCTCCGTTATCAGGTGCTCCGGGTGGCAATCCTAAAAAAAATCATAAAAATACAGTGATTAATAGGCGATCCTTTAAATGCTATGGCAAAATTTGCATCAGGCTCTGTTGCATTAAAGATAAAGGGTTAGGATGAAGGAATTTGCTCTTGTTCATCAGGTAATCCGGACGGCAATCCTATGAGAATACACAATATTCAGTAATAAGAAGCAAAGAAGCCTCATTAAATATGAATGCATGAGAAATAATCATTGGACCAATTCTATTCAATGAGTGCTCTAAATATAGATCCTTTTTGCAAAAGAATAAAAGGACTCATGACATAAAAACTACATCAGTAAATTCAGTCATATGTGCAGTGGGAGGTATTTTAGAAACTCTCTCATCCTACAAAGGGCCCAGGCCCTGTCTTACAAAGAGTTACGATCAATCCAAATCAATGGTAAGTTTGCAGTCTCCTATCTCTTATGTACATAGTTACGATTTATATCAATCACAAATAAGTTGCGATTGACATCAACTCCTTGTTAGACGAGGCCCAGTGGTCTTAAAAATTATCTGAGAAAAATGAAACACCATAGTGTTTTGAATATAAAACACCGGCATGGAACCCCAAACAAACAAGACAAAAACAATTGCTAATGAGTCTTCTTACATACCGTAGTAGATTGATTGATCGGTGCCTTACCTCAACACAGTTACTGGCTTCTTCTATTGCTTCTTGGTCTTCAGGGGTGGGACCCTTGGGGGCGGACGAATCAGGAGAGAAGTAGGAGTAGAAGGAACCCAAGAGAGACATATCAGACCTAAACAAAACAAATGAAACTAGATGGAATTCGACTGCGCGCAGTCGAAAATGATGCCTCCGTCATAGAGCAATTTTACAAACCAAAACAGAAGAAATTTTTCAAATTCAAGTTCAATTGTAATCCATTAACAGGTTCTCAGAATATCGTGATTACAAACAATTTCTCATATACATATATGACCCTTTGAACTTTGACCTCATGATCCTAATATCTACTCAGCTCATTGGCTCTGCAAGATATCCAGAGTTAAATAGTAATCCATCTGTCAGTTCTAATGAGAATGCGTTCACAAGCTATTTTTGCATACATAATGAGCCCATGACCTTGGACCTTATGAACCAAGAATCTACACAGTTCATTGGCTCTGCAAGATACATAAATGATCTAAGTTTGGCAGGAATCCATCAATCTGTTCTAATGATAACGCGATCACAAGCTGTTTTTGCATACATAATGGGCGCTGTGACCTTTGACCTCGTTACCCAAAATCTAATAAGTTCATCGGCTCTGCAAGTAACATACATGACCTAAGTTTGGCAGGAATCCATCAATCGGTTCTTGAGATAACGCAATCACAAGCTGTTTTTGCATACATAATGAGCCCTGTGACCTTTGACCTTTGACCTCGTGACCCCAAAATCTAATCAGTTCATTGGCTCTGCAAGATACATACATGACCAAAGTTTGGCAGGAATCCATCTATCGGTTCTTCAGATAACGCGATCACGAGCCGTTTTGCATACATAATGAGCCCTGTGACCTTTGACCTTTGACCTCGTGACCCCAAAATCTAATCAGTTCATCGACTCTACAAGATACATACATGACCAAAGTTTGGCAGGAATCCATCTATCGGTTCTTCAGATAACGCGATCACGAGCTGTTTTTGCATACATAATGAGCCCTGTGACCTTTGACCTTTGACCTCGTGACCCCAAAATCTAATCAGTTCATCGACTTTGCTAGATACATATATGACCAAAGTTTGGTAGGAATCCATTGATCCGTTCTTCAGATAACGTGATCACGAGAACGGGACGTACGTACAGACGTACGTACAGACGTACGGACGGACGGACGGACGGACGGACGGACGGACAACCCGAAAACATAATGCCTCCGGCTACTTCGTAACGGAGGCATAAAAAGAGCAACACTGTTAAGATTACTGTACTTCAATGCCGCACAAGCCAGAACCAACAATGATAAACTTGCTCGGAGGATCTAGATCGATTGATATCAGGGCTTTGGGTATAGTATTTTTTATCAACAGTTGTTAGTGAGCGCCTCTAAACAGAGACCGAAGAGCATCATAAGTCGTAGTACGAGGGAGGCTACGCAATGCAGTCTGTGTGAGATTGCCGATATCATCGCATGCAGTAGCTTCATGAAACTGGACAGATAAGCTAAAGTTAAGTCCTTACAAATGCATTGTTAAGATTATAATTACAGGAAGAATAGATCTACCCTATTCAGATCTTAGATCTCTACATCAGTTTTGTCAATTTGACAATGGTAAATAAAGAAAAACTGGAGACAAAGTTTGGCTAGGTTGTGGCCGAAATGGCCAATCTTGTTTTGGCAGCTTGTCACACTATCTGGTTTGGGGAGGTTGACAAATGTCAGTTTTCCTAAAGAATTTCCCATACCAGATGGTTATTTCTATCGAGGGCAACAGTAACTTACTTGACAGTAGGCATCTCTTCCCTGATGAGCGATATCCTTCCAGAGGGATCCACAAAATCCATCACCTCCACCATCTCGCTCGGCAGGAGTTTGGCACGGAACAGCTGGAGCATGCAGTCTAGGAGGTTCTTCCAGCCCTCAGCCAGGATGTCCCCATGACGATGCGCAAGGCTGAACACGGTCTTGGCCGCGACCTGGGCTTTCATGTTAGACCCAAATGCAATGGCTGTCGCCTCGGGTGTCTACGAAGTAGGAAAACAAAACATAGATCAACATCACATGTATATGGCACTACACATTTCTTGAGCACTAAGCAACGATTTAGCCATGACAATGGGCTATAGATGCAATGGCTGTGGACTCCAGTGTCTATGAAATAGGAAAACAAAACATAGATCAATATTATATGGAACACATTTCTTGAGCACTAAGCAACGAGTTAGCAATGACGATGGGCTATAGATGCAATGGCTGTGGACTCCGGTGTCTATGAAGTAGGAAAACAAAACATAGATCAACATTATATGGGACAACACATTTCTTGAGCACTAAGCAACGATTTAGCCATGACGATGGGTATAGTATAGATGATGTCTTGGCTGCAACGACTTTTCCTACCTCTCCGCCAAAGATGTTGCCAGGATAATGCGCTAGATTGAACCTGGGCTTTTCTGTCAGTCGCGAAAGGCACTGGCTATCAACATGTCTATGGACCGGGTTCATGCAATAGGAATTTTTACCTTAATTTTGTTTAATTAGCCTTAACACATTTGTTAATGTAATACCCACTCTTCCTTTTCTCTTTACTAAGTATAATTATCTGCGGCCATTGGAGCCCAGCCTTTGAAAGGCCAATGGCCTCTGCTGGCTCCTCCATATTCTTTGTATTGTTTATAGATTTTCTTATATGTATTATATATTGTTGAATGTATTTTTTACGAGAATTAGAAACAAAACGAATGAATGAATGAATGAATAGGTCAGGCAGGCTTTTCCTATCTATTTTCATATCCTCATAATGAATATGAGGTTAAAAAAATGAATGTGCCAGACTGAGAGAAAAGACCATTTCTTACCTCTAGTGAGTTCAGAAGTGTAGTAAACTTGCAGAGGGATATGACTAAGTTATCAAAGACATCGGTTAGGCCGTAGTGGGCGGAAATCATTGCACATTTTCTGCAGAGGAGAATACAAAAGCAAAATGGATTAGCAGAAACACATTACTATGCTCAGTTAGAAAAAATAAAGAATAACGAAAAAATAATTTACCAATCTTCTATAGATATATTGTTAGCTGGTTCGTTTCTGAAAACTGGATACATTGATTAATGCTTAGTATATCTGTAAAGCACTTAGAGACGTCCGAGATGTATTAAGTGCTATATAAAAGCTGAATATTATTATTATTATTAGACATTCTGGCTTTTCATATAGTAAAAATAAAATCCATGTGTCCAATTAAAGTGATTTGGTGATTCTTTTACAAAGGTGAATTTCTTTAAAAATTTGAATTTTACCTGAATCCAGCAAGAGCCTTCTGTGTAATGGAGTCATCCATGCTCTTATCAAAGACAAAGGAGAGCGCTGCAACGGTCGGACCCCAGGCAAGGAGGAACAGGTCCTTGTCCAGATGACCGTCGTCTATGTGGAGGAACTCACTGCCCGGCTTCTGACCACGCTTGAGGAGGACCTTCCAGAGATAGTTCTCTTTGACCTGACCGCTCTGTTCGGCAGGCATGACAATCTCTTCATTTCTAAGTACGGACAAAGAGAAAGAGAGGCAGGATTTGTAAAGGGAGTTTAGGAAGTTTTCATTGTGCAATCTAACATTTTGTATGACATGATGCAAAATCACTTCAATAATTAAATCGTGGTATGCATTACATGAGGTAGAGATGTCGTGGTCGAGTGGATATATCATCAGACTGTGGATCACTAGGTGCGCGGTTCGAGTCCCGCCGCGGCACTAATGTCCTCTGGCAAGACATTAATCTACATTTGCCACACACGACCCAGGTGAGGTAAATGGGTACCTGGCAGCTAGGTTAAAGCCGGGGTAATAATTTCTAAATTTGGAAGCACATAGAATTGTTTAAATGTGATATGCGCTATACAAGAACCGAATATTATTATTATTATTATGACTGAACTTTCCAACGTCTTTCCAAACATATCACACATAAAAATGGTAGAACTGTTAAAGGGATTTCAGAAAAATGGAATGAAGAAGTTGTTTCAGGGACTTATGAAATTACATGATGCAAAATCACTTTAATAAAATGGGGTCATGGGCTGCATGACTGAATTTTCTAATGTTTTTCCAAACATATCACAGGTAGAACAGATTGAAGCATATTATTCTAGACATTCACACCTAAGTATTTTTACCTTCAAATGCAAAAATGTAAATCAATGTACCATGAAAAATAAACTTGTGTCATTACTCACAAAATTAAGCTCAGTATTGCAACATGAAATGTAAATAACATTAAAAGTTATAAGAATGTATCTTGACTGTGAGAAACAACTTTTTTTTGTTTTTTATTTCACACAGCTACTAATATTTTGAAGCACCTATGGCCTCTAACTTACTTGATTGCATTATATATCTCGCCTAACATATCTTGATCAAAATCATTCCCTCCGTTCACTTTGGATACATTCTTCTTGAAATTCTGAAAAGAGAAAAAGAAAACATAAGTTTGACACCACTTGAAGTATTGAGGCATGTATGACATGATAATACCAAAGGAGATGATGATACTGTAATGCTGTATTGACAAGAGTATAAAGTTTTGAAATAAAGGAAAACTTGTAAATCAAATGGTACATCTATATTTTCCAACAACCGTCTTCCAGGAGAACTGTGAAGACCAGGATTGAGCTAGTTTCCATCAAACTTTGAAACATTGTTTTAAGAATACAAACACTCTTTAATTACAATAATGATAATAGGCATTTATATAGCGCCGTCTATTTAGACGACTCTATTCCGAGGCGTAAAGGTATTGTTAAAAAAGATGAGATTCCAGCTTGGATTTAAAGGTCTCTTTGCTATTATTATCCTGGTGTACATGTAACTAGGCAAGCTCTTGATTTCAAAGAGATACATTATATCTTGTAGTTGTTAAATGTAACTGATCAGGCATTTGCAGGTTCCAGCATGGACTACAAGGAGAACATGATGTGAGGTAGCATTGTTTGAACATGGAGACTTTAACTCTTAAGCTGCCCCCATGCAATGCATCCCGTGCTACAGTGCTAATCCCTCTTGTGCCAGCCACAAATCCCCCCTGTGCCAAGTTTATTTTAGGGTTGGTTCAAGTGCGTGCATTCTAAATCTTTACTGACATATTTGATGATAAAATATCACAATTTTCTCTGGAAAATCCAATGTAACTGTATAAGTGAAGCACGCAAAATCGAAACGATAATTAATGCTTTACACAAATACAATAAGCTGCCATGTGTGCACACAATGTGCATCGCACAATAGGCATAAACAATTAGCATGTGTACTTTTGTACGAAAATGTGTACCTGGCACGCGAGCAAAAGAGAGATTTTGTGTGCATGGTAAGCGACCGGAAACCCAATTATGTGAGCGTGGCATGTCAGTGCGTTCACAGAATGGTGTTTTTGGCACGATATGAGTTAAGAGAGAACCAGAGAGAGAGAGAGAGAGAGAGAGAAAGAGAGCTTTATTAAATATATGTACGTAAACTTAAGAGAGCTCTACTTACAGCTAACGTCATGGGAATGTTCTGTTTCTTGGCGTTGTCGTTGTGCTGATCCACGTTGAGCATGATGATAGCATAGGCAAGTGTGAACGCAGCGTCATGGTTGGCAAACGGGTGGCCATTGCAAGTCTGAAATGGAATAGTTGGGAAATAATAAGGTGAGAAATGCACTTCAAAAGTAACTACATTCAAACCTGCTCTAGTGACCACCTGTCTACAAAGGCCACATTTGTGGTTTCCCTTCAAAATGATTTCTCATTGAATCATGTACTAAAGGAACCTGTCTACAAAGGCCACTTTTTGTGTTTCCCTTGGGTGGTCGCTATAGACAGGTTTGACTGTATCATATTCATATTTGAGGATGTTTGGATATGAAAAATGTTAGAAAAAAGAATATATGTATTCATTTCCTAAACATTCAGTGAGTAAATATTGCAAAGGCCTGGGACCGTTTCATAAAACTTTATATCAATAACGAATGCTAAATATCTATGACAAATCTGCTCTCAGCCAACCAAATGCCAGGATTTCAGTAGCTTATAACAGTTATTGTAACTTGTTATTGATAACAAGTTTTATGAAACAGGGCCTTGGTTGCCAAATCAGACAAGAATGAAACAATGTTTTTTTTTCATGCAGTCATAATCTGTCACATTCTATCATGTGGTGCTAGTACTGGAATATAAATACTTCATACTCATTTCCACTAAATGAGTGTACTGCCCTTCAAAAAACTTGAAGTTAAAAATGATGCATGATACATCCATGGAAACATCAACATTTTACTTCATCATGGCTTACGCTCAACGTAGCTATTACTTATATTAAAGAAGAAAAAAATGTACATATAATAATTATCAGTCTTTTTTTTGTATACAACGAATACATCAATAATGCAGTATTTTCAACACACAAGGTATATTCATACTCGTACTCAGAAAGGGGCCATTGAAATTGCCATTAGACATGATGGTCACACTTACATGCCACTTATCAGCAAAGCATTCCAGAAGATGTTGAATGACCGGTGCTTCTCCCGGTAACCTGAACGCCTCCAAGAGCATCCTCAAGGCTTCATCGACCCTGGTGTTTGCAAAGCCAAACAAGCTGAAAGAAAGGAATGGTAAAAGGGATTAGAATAGCTGGTACAAACAGGAGGAATAATAATATACCGTACTTATATAGCGCTGGGGAATAATCCCGAAGGGGAAATGTGGCACTAAATATAAACCACTTGGAGAAAGTTCCCTGATCATACTATCACAATCTTCATTATCTTCTTCCTCATTACCACTATTATCATTATTATTGTAATCATCATCATCATCAATATCATTATCAACTCCACCAATATCATTACTATCATCATTAATATCTCCACCAATGTCATCATCACCACCAGCATCATCATCATCGCCATCAAAACCATCATCCTCAACACCAGCATTACCAGAGCTGCTAACCTTGTGCGACCAAAAAAAGGAATCATGATGGCCAAAAAACAGGAATTTCAAGCAAAAAAAAGGAATTCATAGAAAATGAAACTTACAACCACACTCAACACACTTCCGATACAGAAATGTTCATTCCTCATCCTGTTTTTTCCATACAAGCAGGTATTTTTTCTTTGGTTATTTTGGTATTATCGGCATTTCATTCTTTTTGAGAATATGTTTCTCTTCAAGTATGTTTTCAAGTATTTTTAAAAATTAGTTTTTTATTGAATTTGTGATCAAATCGCCATTATAAGGCAGTTGTTTGATGTGTGGTATGTAAACAAAATTAAAAATAAATAAATAAATATAAAAAAAACTAGATGGAATTTTGACTGCGCGCAGTCGAAAATGATGCCTCCGCCATAGAGCAATTTAAACAAGTTTGGAGTTTAAATCTCCAGTGGTTCTTGAGATATCATGATAACAATCTCAATGTATGGAATTTCATAAGTTGACCTCTGTGACCCTTGACCTTTGACCTACGTGCTCCAAAATCTAATCAGATTGTCTTCCTATGGTGATACACACTATCATTAAGTTTGAAGTTTAAATCTCCAGTGGTTCTTGAGATATTATGATATGGTGATACATACTATCATTAAGTTTGAAGTTTAAATCTCCAGTGGTTCTTGAGATATTATGATAACAATCTCAATGTATGGAATTTCATAAGTTGACCTCTGTGACCCTTGACCTTTGACCTACGTGCTCCAAAATCTAATCAGATCGTCTTCCTATGGTGATACATACTATCCTTAAGTTTGAAGTTTTTACATCTCCAGTGGTTCTTGAGATATCATAACAATCTCAATGTATGGAATTTCATAAGTTGACCTCTATGACCAGAGCTGCCAACCTCTGAAACCAAAATCAGTAATCTGAAAGCTAAAAATCAGTAATTTTGGATGGAAATCAGTAATTTCAAGCGCGGCGCTTTCAACATCAAGAAGACTGCATTTGCACGTACATTGTAGAGCTGCACACAACACCACAACACAAACTACTAGTACCATGGTAATAGCATCACTCTGAATGACAGGACTTGAAGTAAAAACAAGAACATTCTGTTTATAACATCATTTTAAGTGCTATAAAAAAAACAATGGTTATTAGAGGATTGATGTATCATTACCCTGTTTCACTTACGTGTGTATATTCACTTCAGGTTTTTACAATTAACATAGAGGCATTTTTGACAAGTTGTGAAAGGTGGTCTGCTGCTGAAAACGCGATGTTGTGCTCTATCAAAAATTGAGTAAACTTCACTTCGGCGTTCGTGACAGAATTGTCCTTTGCGACGAAAAACTGGGCGATGTCATGACTGCGGGAATTGGAACTTGCCTCCGCCGCTGCAGTCCGGTGCTTCACCGACTTCAGATGTACCTGGATATCGTTCGAACCGCCATGACCAATTCCAAAATCGGATGAGCAATGTGTACAACAGGCACTGTTTGTATTCCTTTTCGACGGAACAATGCATGACCATTTCTTGGTGTAATCACCTGAGAAGGTTTGCAGTTTTTTAGAACGCTTCTTCGATGAAGTTGAAGTCATTTTTCTCCGTCGGTTACTCGAAGTTTGACGCGACCACGGCCGACCTGCTGCACATGCGGTAGTGTAACACTCGGCCAATGCATATTTCGCCCAGATAAATATCGTGCCACTTGTTTCAGCACATCCACCATGCATGCGCTTTCGTATCGGTCAAAACTTTGTGTGTCAGCTCATTCAAAATTTATTCGTGTATCATATTTTGTTATCAACAATGAAATGGGGTATATGAATAAAATGAAATGAATAAACATGATCCAACAAATAATGTGAAATAAAACACAATGACAATAATTGTTGAATATAAATTCAAGTTTAATCAAGGAAGTACATTCATTTTCCTCATGACAATTATCATCATCATCATCATCATCATCATCATCATCATCTTCATCATTAGTCGAGTCGTACTTTTATTATCATAACAATGAGAACCCATCACTAAGGGGAAAAAAATTGTAGACCTGCTATAAACTACACATGGACATGGTACCGTACGGGTTGGTTTGCAAGGTGGCTAAATGGACTTGGGACGAGTTTGCCGTCTCCCCGATATATATTGCATGCTGAAAGCTAGCACACGCAGCCCATATAGGCAGGGCGGTGTGCATATCTTTCGATGGTACATGTAGCTACATGTGTGTGCAGTGGTCGTGGCTGAGGCGCGGATGATATTTCCGTGCGCTCAAAAGTTAACCACCGGGCCGAGGCCCGGGAAGTATCGCGATCATTACCGCTAAAACACTCGCATATGCATAATGCATGTGTTAATACATAGGCATGTCCAGAAATCGGGGAATCCGTAATTTTTGAAGGGGTTTCCGTGCTTCCGTAATTGCCGTTGATTTCCGTACCAATTACGGAAAATCCGTACTAGTTGGCAGCTCTGTATGACCCTTGACCTTTGACCTACGTGCTCCAAAATGTAATCAGATTGTTTTCCTATAGAGATACACACTATCACTAAGTTTGAAGTTTAAATCTCCAGTGGTTCTTGAGATATCATGATAACAATCTCAATGTATGGAATTTCATAAGTTGACCTCTGTGACCCTTGACCTTTGACATACGTGCTCCAAAATCTAATCAGATCGTCTTCCTATGGTGATACATACTATCCTTAAGTTTGAAGTTTAAATCTCAAATGGTTCTTGAGATATCGCGCTAACAAACTCAATACAAGGAATTTCATAAGTTGACCTCTGTGACCTGTGACCTTTGACCTACATACTCCAAAATCTAATCAGATCGTCTTCCTATGGTGATAAATACTATTCCCGAGTCTTAAGTTTAAATCTTAAATGGTTCTTGAGATATTGTGATAACGGTCAAACGGGACGGACGGACAACCCGAAAACATGATGCCTCCGGCACCACCTTCGGTGGCGGAGGCATAAAAATTAAAAATCAAAAATTAAAAAAACATATTTTATGAAGAAAAAACGTAATACCGTAATTTGGAGGAAAAAACGGAGTAATTTCGGCAAAAAATGGAATGGTTGGCAGCTCTGCATTACCATCATCGTTATCTCCGATATCATCATGATCATCATCACTACCACCACCGCTACCACCACCACCACCAGAACCATCTACACCACCAACATCACCATCAATATCGTTCCTTGGCATATTTTCTTTCAACTTACTCTAGGTAAGGGTCCAGGATCTTGGCATTCTTCTTGGCGCTGATGTATTCACCAATTTGCTTCTTATCCACGTGGGGGTTGTCCTTGATGAACGCTGCAATGGCCTGAGGGTCCGAGGGGTTCGGAAGGAGGCCATTCTCCTGCAGGAATGCTATCCCCTTCGAGGGTTTTTGGTTGAACAGCTCTGTACCACCATTCAAGAGCTAATATATCAAACAAAAAGATTCATGACATTTAATACATAACCCTTCATAACACTTCATAATAATAATAATAATAATAGGCATTTCTATAGCGCCGTCTATCTAGAAATTCTATTCCGAGGCGCATTTATTATTACCCCGGCTTTAGCGTAACTGCCATTACAGCGCTGCAGCATTTCAAGGAATTAATTCACCAAAGGACATTAGTGCCGTGTCGGGGATCGAACCACGACCTCTCAGTTTCAAGTCAAGTGCTAAAACCACTCCACTACGACACTTTATAGTAGACTGGTGCAAATAGACTCTTGTCCACACGGGGGTTGTCCATGATGAATGTTGCAATGGCCTGAAGCTGTTCTCCTGTAGGAATGAAATTCCTTTTGATGGTTTCCGATTGAACAGCTTGGGAAGAGCATTCAAATGTTAACATGGACAACAGAGAAGATATGGAAGATTAAGTGCACTAAGAACATATCCAGTGTTCCAGACGCAACTAATTGCTACTTGAATCCAAATTATTACCCCTCCTTCTCCCCCTCCCCCACAAGTACCCCAGCAAGACAATTAGATGTAGACATACCCTGACCCTTGACTGCCTACATGTACAATCCCCGGTGAAAACTAGCATCCTTGGAAAATAGTGTCCCCTTTAACTATTCCTGCTCATAGCATTTTCCTCCTTGTTGGGACTCGAGTCCAATTCTTAAGCTTCGCACACTCAGCATCGAGTCCTAGCGCGTAACAGGTGGCAAGCTGTTTATACTACAGTGAAACCTGTATGTAGAGACCACTCAAGGGAAACACGACAAGTGGTCTTTATAGACAGGTGGTTTGGAGCAAGCATTTTTTAAAGTATTGTGGACTCGGCCTGGAGCAGAAAACTGATACAGTCAAACCTTTCTACAACGACCACCCAAGGGAAACACAAAAAGTGGTCTTTGTAGACGGGTTTCTTTAGTACAATGTTCAATGAGAAACCATTTTCAAGGGAAAACAAAAACGTGGTCTTTGTAGACAGGTTGTCACTAGAGCAGGTTTGACTGTAGTATACATACCTTCTTCCTGTGTTTGAGCTGAGCCAGCTCCTCCTGAGTAGGTAGGTTAGGTGAAGACGAAAACCGGCTCTGTTTTCTGCTTGGGGTCGTCTTGGGTTTGTCCGCTGCATGTTCTTTACCTTGATTCATAGGATAAAAAGAAATGGAAAATATGATGTGACATTTGTAAACTACCAGATTTAACCATTTTGATTTTTTGATCGTTTGTTTGTTTTCTTAAAATGAAGTTAGATGTTTGTTCATGAACAAGTGTTGTTCCAAGTGCAGTCTTCAAAGACAAGGGTATCTACCACTTAGACTACCTGAGACTCTTTTTCAAAGGAGGTTTACCAACAATCCATTTCTACAATACTTTGTTTTCCAGTGCAGTCTTCAACGACCAGGAGGAGTGTTATACAAAGATCCTAGGTTGAACTTATCTCTAAGTTGGACTTGGACTTCAATTATGGAAAGCCCTTAGCATCTATGAAAATATTTTGTAAAAGTTATTTTAAAAGACATCAAATATTGATTCAAATCATTCATATTTTCTATTATCAAGGAAATTTCATGTTCTTGATGAGGAATTTATGAAAAGTCTAAAATATTTTAATTTTAGCTTTTGAACATATTTTATTTTAAGGCTACAAATGGCTCTCCATAATATTTAGGTCCAACTTAAAGGTAGATTTGATTTAGGATCTTTGTGAAACACCCCCCTGAAAAGCCACGTACCTGGTGACCCTTCCAGTTCCTTCTCCTTGAGTGCATGTGCCATGATCTGTCCCATAGCGTAACCAGTGGTTGGAGGACCCACGTTGGCATAGTGGTCACTGCGGGTCGACTCCGAATCCGATGTTTCGTGATGCGATGGGCTCTCAGATCCGTTCTCTTCATTAGGCTGTATGTACAAGAAGGATGTAATAACATAGTCAACAGGGTTATAAAAAGTGAATCGCAAAAGCGAAACACTAACTTAAAACTTTCCATTCTGTCTACTAAAAGAAGAACGATCACTTTTTGAGAAGAATGTAATAACATAGTCAACAGGGATATAGAAGGTTAATCAAACCTGTCTATAAAGGCCACCTGTCTACAGTCGCCACTATTTGTGTTTCCCTTGAAGCATGTTCTGCAAGTGAACAAGTTACATCCATCAGGGACTGCATTAGACAGTTTAGACAACAATCAAACCTGTCTGTAAAGGCCACCTGCGTACAGAAATGGACAGGTATAACTGTACGTCAAAGTTGATGCATTATGCTTACCTCCTGGACCTGTATCATGACACCCGAATCAGGGACGGTGGTGGCAAACCTCTCGGTAGCGTCCGATGTCACCGAGGACATTGTTGAGAGTATCCTCTGCTGGCAGCTAGCCTCGATGCTGTCCACGACGGCCAGTAGGGCATCCAAAGAGAGCAGATGGGTGGTGTACAACGATCCTGATACTGGAAACGCATTCTGGATAGACGATTCAAAATATGGAGTAATGTTACAGCAACCACATGTATTAAAGAGAAGGTTGAGTTCTGGGAAGAGGTGAAAAATAATTTGTGAGCATTACTCATTCTTATTATGCAAGTGTGGAAGAACATCAATTAAGACATGTTCCCTGAAAAGCATGGCTCTTCAAATGCCTTCATATTCTAAATATGCATGTAACATCGTAAAAATCGGGGGGGGGGGGGGGCCGGCTTTTTACGCCACGTGTTCGTGTAGTCCCATATACATCTTTCTGTGTACAGTGTCTGTAACTTTACCAAGACTTGTCCAAATTTCTTATCATTTTGATGATTCCAGAACCTTGCAATACACACAAATTATATGCTAGATGATCAACCTTTTCTGGTCGGTTCCACACCGTTTCTTTCACAATGCAATCGCATGACCAGAACTCAACTTCATCTTTAAACCCTGCTGCACTACTTGTAGCTACTTGCACCCTCTATATAGCAAACAATGCCTAAGCGGGGACCATTGGTCCCCCATGGTCCCCTTTTTCTTATGTTAATTGAGAGCTGATTTGATGAGATAACCACCAGTCAGTGACCATGCAGGAAGTTCTTATCCCTCCTGGTCAAACTAGTGCAGATAGGCTTAGTTTAAATAAACCATCAATCAATCAATCTATCAATCTATCAATCAAACATAACACATCATACCTTTGAAAGGAGATTGGTAAGGTTGTCAAACAGGTTACTGCAGTAGAGATCGCAGTCATAGTTGAGGTACAGTTCTGATACGAGGGACGGTATCTTCCACAACTGTTAAAAAACAAGGAAAAAAAAAATCAGTGATTAAAAACAAACAATAACTATTGTACACAAAATACTCAGCACCATGTAAAATTGTACTAAATTATAATTTCATGCCTAAAAGACAATATCCAAAAGACCAAACACTAACTTTTGTCAAGTCTGGATTTTGCACCCTCTCACAATGTCAATTTATAATGTTACAAATTTACTTGAAGAGTGCCCAGTGCCATTTCCTTGAGACGATGATGTCCATGAACTTATAGTTTTTAACCCACAATCCCCAAGTTTCCACATCAAATGAAACTCCCCAAACTTCAAAACTCCCAAACGTTTTGTGTCACTCTTATAGTGTTGCCAATTTACCTGAACAAGGGTGTCCAGTGCCATTTCCTTCTGTTCGTAAGGGATGCGTTGAGACTCCGAGACGATGATACCTGTAAGTTTCTGGATAAACATCTCCAGCTGTAGCTTGAGATGGGTCCTCATCGACTCGAAGAGGAAGAAACAAACTCGGAGGGATGCGGCAAAGATGGACAACCTTTCCGTCTGGAGAAGCTAAGAGTTAAAGCGATAAATCAATTATTTTAGGATTTACAAGTTTACACACAAAAAAGGAAACAAACTCAAGAAAGATTGTCTTTCAAAGCTCACTTCTTCTACATGTAATACGAACTCAAGAATGTGATACCATCAAAAAAAACTTGTCTAAAGTTAGATAAATGTTCTGCATATTGTCAAATATCATGAAAGACACAAACTGTCTGCATCATAACTTTGCTAAAACATAAAACAGGAAAGGAAGTCTTAAAAAATTCTCACAAATAATCCCTGATATAACTCAGACATACATATAGTTTTAAAAAAACATTCATTTGGAAATCTCTACCAAGTGCTCTTTGTTCTCAAAATAACCCTGAGCTCTTCAAGAAACATCTCAAAACATATCTTTTCAATGATGCATTTAATTAATTCATGTTTCGTAGATTTATTTCAGATCATTATTTTTCTTGTTTAATATTGTTTTTTATCTTAAGTGTAGAATAAGATATTGATATCGTTTTGTATTTTTAAGTGTAGAATAAGGTATTACCTTGGATGTAAAGCGCATTGAGAGTTCTGTCAGTTCTGAAATGCGCTATATAAAAATGTATTATCATTATCATCTCTGGAAAAAGGAAATACTCTATCTGTACTTACTGCAAAGAGGTTTTTGCACATCTCATCTTTGATAAGAGCGATGAGGGTGGAGAAGGAGGGAATGTGATCGCATCCCGTTTCTACGGCGATGGTAAGGAGGCTTAGACCCATATGCATCATCAGATCAGTGTTGTGCCTAGGATACAAAAAAGATATCAATTCATTAATCAGAGATGTTCATACGTCGGTATATAATCGTCATGAAGTAGGGAACTTGGCGATCACCCCTGATCACTACATAACACTGAGCCAATGGGTATTACACTCCCGTGTATATGTCCGTGTGCTGCCTTCTATATACCCATGCTTAAGCGACTTTAAAGTCCATCATCTGTTCCTAGGGTGGTATTCTGAAATGGTTTTACCTTTTATGTTAGTCAAACAATGTTAAAGCCAGTGGGTCAGCAGTTTTGATGTCCTGAAGGTCAAAGTTTACTGAGGCCAGACTTGATGGAAACACCATTAATGGGTGTACACGTCAGCTCACAGCAGACCCGTAGGCAAATCAAGAAATACCCCCTCGTCTCTCAGAGAGTCTTTAGGTGATGCAAATGTTAGATAAGGACTTAACCATTTGAGGAACAGACAGAGCATTACATAAAGCTTGTTGGTCATAAAACAATAGGCTAATCCTGGTGATTGACAACACCTGTTATTGGGTAAACACACAAACAGTGTCAAATTTCCCATGAGAGCCCACTTTTAATTGTCAGAATAAATCAAAATTAGGACAGGACATCGATTAATGTCTGCACAAAGCTCGTTGCCTTTGGGTAATGTTAAAAGACAAATCTGTGCAAGCACCAATGGTAAGTGTTTGTTCCATGCAATTTCAGTTTGATGTGACAATTAAAATAATACATAAATATACTCTACTAAAAGCGAGGTATCCCTTTGCATAGATCAAAATGGTCAGGACTGCAATCAATAGTTTGACTTTGCAAAATTCAACTTAGGAAGTGTAAATAAGACATGTTTTGCATACTTTGGTCATAAAAAACTATTTGACTTTTGCATACTAATTATCTTATCTTAGGGACGTTGCGCTTCCAACATTTTTGTTTATTAAATGCACTGTTCCTACTACATGTATGTATTATATCACAACGTAACCCACTGAATTTTATTATCTGTAAACAATTATTTTGGTGCATAAATAAAACAAACAAACAAATAATAATTATCAGCTATGTTATCTTAGGGACGTTGCGCTTCAATCATTTTTTGTTTATGCACTGTTCCTACTTTGTATCATATCTCGATGCAACCCACTGAATTTTGTTATCTATAAACATTTATTTTACATGGTGAATAATAAAACAAACAATCAAACAAAAATAACAATAACAAAAAAAAATTAACAAACATCTAGTTATGCAGAATTGAGTGTACTTACCTGTCATGGGGGTTGATAAGGGAGATGAGAAACCTGAGAAGCTCCCTTACACACGGCAGGCCATACGGGATCGGTGGTCCTGCTCCTAGTTGGGAAAGAATATAATAAAATTAATAATGATCTGGATCTATATAGCTCTTAATACGGAATACCATCTTTAAGTGCTTTACAGATATTATTACCCCAGTCATCGGATTCATTCACGCACAATGTGCACCATCTCCACTGTCTTGGGAGTATTTCTACCATAAGGTCACCGTGAGGGCATGGGCAATTACTAAGGCGCCACGGATTTATTCAACTGGCATTCGGAATGCATTCGGAATGTCCTTGTTAATCTTTCTGGAATGTATCTGGAATGACCCCATTCTAGCCACATTCTCAAAAAATCGATGCGACCTGCGCCTATTGTCTAGAGAACAAAGGGGCATTCCAGAATGCGCACATTCTGGAATGCATTCTGGAATGCGCCTTTGTTCTCTAGACAAAAGGCGCAATTCGCATCGACTTTTTGAGAATTGGGCGATTAAAAAGCATGCCCGAGACGCTGGCGATTAATCAGAATTGCGTGATTTCAAATGCCTGCCAAAGTGACTACAGCGCGGCGCACAACAGGCTATAACATTCGTTCTCTCAACTTCTGATTTTCTGAAGTTGATAACAGCGGAAATACGTTGTCTCCTATTTGAAGGGAAAAAATATCTTGGAATTACGTTTCCATTTTCCAATAAAAAAAAAGTTGCGGCCGCTTTATTTCTTAACCGTTAAAATGAATTTTGACGCTACGAGCTTGTTTTAATACAAGTATTTTCCTGCTCGAAAAAAGATTGCATTTATATAAAATAAATTGTTTGTGTTTTCAAATTTCTGCCGAAATAGTGTTGGAATATGAATAAGTATCATAATAGACAGCGCGGAGCACTTTTAGAAGGAGTAAGAGCTATTTTTATTTATCTTTTTAAACAAGGTATAACATTCGTTCTCTCAACTTCTGATTTTCTGAAATTGATAACAACGGAAACACGTTGTCTCCTAATTGAAGGAAAAAATTATCTTGTTATTACGTTTCCATTTTCCCATAAAAAAGTTGCGGCCGCTTTATTTCTTCCCCGGTAAAATGAATTTTGACGCTACGAACGAGTTCTAATACAAGTATTTTCCCGCTCGAAAAAGATTACATTTATATAAAATAACTTGTTTGTCTGTTCAAATTTCTGCCGACATAGTGTTGGAATATAGACAGCGCGGAGCACTTTTAGAAGGAGTAAGAGCTATTTTTATTTATCTTTTTAAACAAGGTATAACATTCGTTCTCTCAACTTCTGATTTTCTGAAGTTGATAACAGCGGAAACACGATGTCTCCTAATTGAAGGAAAAAATTATCTTGGTATTACGTTTCCATTTTCCCATAAAAAAGTTGCGGCCGCTTTATTTCTTCCCCGGTAAAATGAATTTTGACGCTACGAACAAGTTCTAATACAAGTATTTTCCCGCTCGAAAAAGATTACATTTATATAAAATAACATGTTTGTCTTTTCAAATTTCTGCCGACATAGTGTTGGAATGTGAATAAGTATCAGTTTATATAGACAGCGCGGAGCACTTTTAAAAGGAGTAAGAGCTATTTTTATTTATCTTTTTAAACAAGGTATAACATTCGTTCTCTCAACTTCTGATTTTCTGAAGTTGATAACAACGGAAACACGTTGTCTCCTAATTGAAGGAAAAAATTATCTTGGTATTACGTTTCCATTTTCCCATAAAAAAGTTGCGGCCCCTTTATTTCTTCCCCGGTAAAATGAATTTTGACGCTACGAACGAGTTCTAATACAAGTATTTTCCCGCTCGAAAAAGATTACATTTATATAAAATAAATTGTTTGTATTTTCAAATTTCTGCCGACATAGTGTTGGAATATAGACAGCGCGGAGCACTTTTAGAAGGAGTAAGAGCTATTTTTATTTATCTTTTTAAACAAGGTATAACATTCGTTCTCTCAACTTCTGATTTTCTGAAGTTGATAACAGCGGAAACACGATGTCTCCTAATTGAAGGAAAAAATTATCTTGGTATTACGTTTCCATTTTCCCATAAAAAAGTTGCGGCCGCTTTATTTCATCCCCGGTAAAATGAATTTTGACGCTACGAACGAGTTCTAATACAAGTATTTTCCCGCTCGAAAAAGATTACATTTATATAAAATAACTTGTTTGTCTTTTCAAATTTCTGCCGACATAGTGTTGGAATATATATAAGTATCAGTTTATATAGACAGCGCGGAGCACTTTTAGAAGGAGTAAGAGCTATTTTTATTTATCTTTTTGAACAAGGTATAACATTCGTTCTCTCAACTTCTGATTTTCTGAAGTTGATAACAGCGGAAACACGTTGTCTCCTAATTGAAGCAAAAAATTATCTTGGTATTACGTTTCCATTTTCCCATAAAAAAGTTGCGGCCGCTTTATTTCTTCCCCGGTAAAATGAATTTTGACGCTACGAACGAGTTCTAATACAAGTATTTTCCCGCTCGAAAAAGATTACATTTATATAAAATAACATGTTTGTCTTTTCAAATTTCTGCCGACATAGTGTTGGAATGTGAATAAGTATCAGTTTATATAGACAGCGTGGAGCACTTTTAAAAGGAGTAAGAGCTATTTTTATTTATCTTTTTGAACAAGGTATAACATTCGTTCTCTCAACTTCTGATTTTCTGAAGTTGATAACAGCGGAAACACGTTGTCTCCTAATTGAAGCAAAAAATTATCTTGGTATTACGTTTCCATTTTCCCATAAAAAAGTTGCGGCCGCTTTATTTCTTCCCCGGTAAAATGAATTTTGACGCTACGAACGAGTTCTAATACAAGTATTTTCCCGCTCGAAAAAGATTACATTTATATAAAATAACATGTTTGTCTTTTCAAATTTCTGCCGACATAGTGTTGGAATGTGAATAAGTATCAGTTTATATAGACAGCGCGGAGCACTTTTAAAAGGAGTAAGAGCTATTTTTATTTATCTTTTTAAACAAGGTATAACATTCGTTCTCTCAACTTCTGATTTTCTGAAGTTGATAACAACGGAAACACGTTGTCTCCTAATTGAAGGAAAAAATTATCTTGGTATTACGTTTCCATTTTCCCATAAAAAAGTTGCGGCCCCTTTATTTCTTCCCCGGTAAAATGAATTTTGACGCTACGAACGAGTTCTAATACAAGTATTTTCCCGCTCGAAAAAGATTACATTTATATAAAATAACATGTTTGTCTTTTCAAATTTCTGCCGACATAGTGTTGGAATGTGAATAAGTATCAGTTTATATAGACAGCGCGGAGCACTTTTAAAAGGAGTAAGAGCTATTTTTATTTATCTTTTTGAACAAGGTATAACATTCGTTCTCTCAACTTCTGATTTTCTGAAGTTGATAACAGCGGAAACACGTTGTCTCCTAATTGAAGCAAAAAATTATCTTGGTATTACGTTTCCATTTTCCCATAAAAAAGTTGCGGCCGCTTTATTTCTTCCCCGGTAAAATGAATTTTGACGCTACGAACGAGTTCTAATACAAGTATTTTCCCGCTCGAAAAAGATTACATTTATATAAAATAACATGTTTGTCTTTTCAAATTTCTGCCGACATAGTGTTGGAATGTGAATAAGTATCAGTTTATATAGACAGCGCGGAGCACTTTTAAAAGGAGTAAGAGCTATTTTTATTTATCTTTTTAAACAAGGTATAACATTCGTTCTCTCAACTTCTGATTTTCTGAAGTTGATAACAACGGAAACACGTTGTCTCCTAATTGAAGGAAAAAATTATCTTGGTATTACGTTTCCATTTTCCCATAAAAAAGTTGCGGCCCCTTTATTTCTTCCCCGGTAAAATGAATTTTGACGCTACGAACGAGTTCTAATACAAGTATTTTCCCGCTCGAAAAAGATTACATTTATATAAAATAAATTGTTTGTATTTTCAAATTCTTTAAACTCGGTCAAACTATCATCAATCTCTTTCTCTCTCTTTTGTTGTTGTTGCCATTTTGCTTTCGTTCAAATCAACTGCGTGTCAAGTAAATTACACTACCCGTTCAATAAATGCAAGGGAAAAGATTTAACGGTGGAGGCAAAGGACGTATTTTACTCAGTGGGAACATCATAATTATTCTGTATTAACATCGACTTCCATTACGACTGGTTCCTAGGAAACCAAAAAATATCGATGGACGATGCTCCACCCCCCCCCCCCTTCCCCGAAAGATTGAATGGAATATGAAACATCTGAGACTTGGCATTTATAAATTGTACTTAATTAAAATAAATGGGCAATCCAACCCTGTGGTGGAAATTTGCTTTAAAGGAAAGCAAAACAAATCAGGGGAAAACATTCATAAAAGTTTGAAAAACGATCCGATAAACAAGATCAGATAACAAAACAAAGGCCTTTGCGGGTTGTGAAAACAGCCATTAAATAACCGACCCCTGACTTGGTAATTCTTCTCCCCTGTAATTACCAGTGTCGGAACTCTGACAATACAGTTTTCATGTTATCAACTTGATCAGTTTAGCGAATCATTCATGTATGGACCTCCTCTATTATGAAACGCTTATCTCAGCTGCCTGGACCGGATCCCACAATAAGAGGAACAAACGAATGTAAAGGTGTAACTACTCTGGAAGATTACCGTGTTGAAAGAAGAGGATGTAGGCCCAAACGTAGGTCAAGCTACATGACAATACAAACAACCACTCTTTATGTACCTTTACGAGGGCATGTAACCATTTTAGAGCAGGTTTGAGTTATAGGTATAGCCACGAATATGAGAATTTTCCTGGGCAAATATGCTACCATTGTTAAAGGGGGAAAAAAAGCAAGGCAACATAAAAAAAAAAACAAGTTTTCTGGCAATAAAGAAAAGCGAGTGCAAGATGAAGAAATTAATGTCTATTATCATTACTATTCTATTACAATATTGTAAGCATCATCATCGCCATCATCATCATCATTTCATGTATACATGCCATCTACAGAACTGATCATGAAACGAAGATTAACAAAGTTTTATTGACAGGATAGGTTGAACGAGAACACAGATGGAGACGAAGACAAATAAATTGAATTCTCACGAGGGATAACCAAAACAAGTCTAGCTGTTCAATGGTTATCCTGATAAATGGGGTTTGTGTGTCATTTTATTCCATAAAATATATCTAGGCAATAGTGGTAAGATTGTAATATGGTAAGGCACACGACAAATGAATATTTCTAATTATGAGAAACAAAGTCGAAAGTATTCAAAGTAAATATTATTTTTGTTTTCGAGAATAAAACAATGTTCATTTCAAAATGCATAAGTTCCCCAAATAGTCCTTTATTTGATTTGCACATTTAAAAGAAAGGGCATTTAGTGTAGATCATGGCATAATGTTGGTCAGAATATAGTTACAAAATGTGTCGAAAACCCGTGTAAAACGAAGGCTTAGGCCTATTATTTATGGCTCGGTTGATAATCGGCCGAGCTTTAGCACACGACAATCATAGACAATGGGGGAATGAATGGAGGTATCGACCGATCTTACGCAATTTGTATCGTGAGTGTATTGAAAAGGAAAGACGTGAAGCTTCAGCAAAATAAGACGGCAATTTCCCTCAAAAAATAACGGACCTTATTTTTCGTATTGATGAACATTACTTATATCTTTAGAAATAAAAAAAAGTCTGAACTTTCATTTTTATATTTACAAAAAGAATCACGAAATTGACTGAATGAGGCGCAATGAAAGTAGAAAGCACCGCCAAATTTTCCATTACTTGCGATCTAACCGAAATCGCTCGAGAACCCCGTATTTCTTTATAGGGGCACATTACGGTGCGGGATCAGTCTAAAGGCCGATATTTTGTTATGCTATTAATATTATGTGCCATTTTTAGATACATGTATTCTTATTACCGGACGTCTCGTAGTTTCACGGTTCAGACCTAGTGTTATCCATTACGACTGTCAATTTAAGTTCACGAGATAGGAACCAAACAAATATCAATGGATGATGCTCTTACCCCCCCCCCCCCACCTCCCCACCTCCCACCTCCCCACCTCCCCACCTCCTTCCCCCGACCACGAAAGATTGGTGGGGATTTGAAAGTTGGATTGATGACTGTATCTTAGAAATGTTGTAATCAACACCCAAGTTCGAACACCGTCTCCTTCTTATCTAATATGAGGCGTCATGTCAATCAACACCAAAGTTTAAAACGCGCGTATATTTGACATTGTTAAGCGCCTTTGTTCTGAGAGCGCCGACATGCTTATGGCGGGAATGTCAAAATCTGTCATTATTGGTATGTGGTTGTTGCGCACGTGTCATGTTGTTGTCCACATGCCATGTTGGCGTGAGATAACATTGTTAAATTATTAGAGCATACGGACTATTTAGATTGGAAATAAGAAATAAGAAATCTTTTTACTTCCCATATATATAAAAAAAAAAGACTAAAATCAGATTTCACCACCTCATATGTCAACATTCACCATCTCTTGCATCCTCTTTCTTTCCCTCGTTCTCTCCAATTCCCCTCTCACTCAGTTATCATCTCTCCCCCACTCTCTACTGATCTATATATGACCTTCTCTTTTTTTTTTTTTTGGAATGAATAAGCACACCCTCTACAATTTTTATGAAATTCCGTAAAGAAATATGATATAAGTCATATTTTATTTATTATTGAAGAAGAAAAAAAAGAGATAGAATTAAAAAATTAGAGAGGGAAGATGAGGGAGGTGATGAAAAAAAAGGGGGGGGGGGGTAGGATAGTGTGCGCTAAACAAACAAATGATACGCAACATATAAGCACAGACCACAAACAAAATTATGTCCGTCTCGGTTTGGGAATAAGATTATTCGAAACAACATACTTCATAGGTTTACATTAAAGCATGTGCTTTCCTTCATGCGCAGACTCGTGGAGGGGGGGGGGGGGGAGCAACGGGGCCAGGCCGCTTCCTCCCTGGCCACCAAAAAAAGACGGACCGCCCCATCCCTGCCCCCCAAAAAGTTTAAAAATAAGATGGTAACCACAAATATCCACTCTCGCTTTTTATCTATAACAAGGATAACATGATAACGGAATAGGGGCAGTGATGAGAGAGAGAGAGAGAAGCGAAAGCAATTAAATATCGAGATTCTGATATGTCTATTGATCTTTTTGTGGGTACGATGAAAAGGCACGAATGAAGTAGAAAGTTGGATTGATGACTGTATCTTGGAAATGTTGTAATCAACACACAAGTTCCAACAGACCGCGATATTTACGATTGTTACGCCTCTGTTCTGAAAGCGCCGACATGTGGAGGGAATGTCATAATAAATCTGTCATTATTTGAATGTCGTTGTTGCAACCGTGGTCAATGGTGAGGAGCACTTATTTCCGATGACAAAAACATTTGTGTATTACAACATAATCCAACATTTTAGAATTGTTATAGGCACACAGCCAATTTACACCTGTAATCTCTCTCTCTCTCGATAATAATAATAAATCCAGATCTCGAATGAACACTGTCTCCTTCTTATCTAAAATGAGGGGTCATGTCAATCAACACCAAAGTTTAAAACACGCGTACATTGTTACGCGTCTATATTCTGAGAGCGCCGACATAGTAGTGGCGGGAATGTCATAATAAATCTGTCATTATTTTATTTATAAATAAGCACACCCTCTACAATTTTATGAAATTCCGTAAGTCGTATTTTATTTATAATTGAAGAAAAAAAAAACACACACACACAAAAATCATTATTTATAAGAGAAGGAATTTAAAAAATAGAGAGGGTAGATGAGGTAAGTGATGTAACAAATTAAAAAAAATGATACGCAACATAAGTACAGACCACAAAGAAAATTATGTCTGTCTCGGTTTAGGAATAAGATTATATGAAACAGCATACTTCATAGGTTTTCATTAAAGAATGTGCTTTCCTTCATGCGCAGACTCATGGAGGGGGGGGGGGGGCAACGGGGCCAGGCTGCTTCCTCCCTGGCCAAAAAAAAAAAAAGACGGACCCCCCCCCCCCCCCCATCCCTGCCCCCAAAAAAGTTTTAAAATAAGATGGTAATCACCACAAATATCCACTCTCGCTTTTTATCTAAATGTATCATTTCATTAGTCCTCCGATCTTTCAACACCCACCATCTCTTGCATCCTCTTTCTTCCTCTCATTTTGATCATTAAGATTCATCCGCATTTTCATGCAAAATATTTTCTTCATTTTTTTCTCAATCTTTCTTCTACTCTTTTTACCATCTTTAATGAGGCATCGTGTCAATCAACACCAACGTTTCAAAACACCGCGTATATTTGACACTGTTACGCGCCTTTGTTCTGAGAGCGCCGACTCAGGACATATTTGTGGCGGCCTGGCGGGAATGTCATAATAAATCTGTCTTCATTCTTTCTCAATCTTTCTTCTACTCTTTTCACCATCTTTAATAAGCTGAAGAAAAGAAAGAAAATCAATTACAATATCACCGACGCTTGAGAAATAAATAGTGAGAGAAAGACAGCTAGAAGCGAAAACAATTAAATATCGCTGATGTTACCGGAGTTTATGACAAAAATTAAGCCGTCGGAAAGAAATCAAAGTAAGTCCATTATCACCTGCGCTCGAGAAATGCAAAGAGCGACCGATCGCGGGAGAGACAGAAGCGAAACCAATTAAATATCTGTTGATTTCTATCAATTCTTATGGTGCATTCTATATCGAAACTCTTCCGGCACGCAATATCAAGAAGGTAGTTGCTGCCGATCGATCTCGCCTTTGTTTGGATGGCCTATTCATGGAGCATTCCAGAATGCACCCACAATGCGCCAATTAAGTCGTTAAGTACCGCATTCTAGGTACATTCTAGGTACATTCTGGAATGCGGATTAACAGAACAATAGATTCTGAATAGGGCATTCTACATGCATTCCGAATGCCAGTTGAATAAATCCGTGGCGCCTAACACAAATGTTTTCGTCATCCTACCCGGTCTCCATTTCTCTCTTGGGGATTGATTGGCAAATGTAGAGTAATGCCGTGCCAAAGGACATTAGTGCCGTGTCGGGGATCGAACCACAACCTTTGACTTTCAATATACATTCAAGCCATCTTGAATCATAAATCTACAAACAAATGGTAATCATTACAACATGTTTCATTCTCGATGTATGGGGTTCAATGTGTATTTTCAAATTACTGATGAACCTTGTTTTTTTATGTCATATATATATATATGAGATTGAAAATATGTTTAAAATAAATTTGACCCAGGTAAGTTAAATGGGAATCTTGCTGGAATTAATTCCTTAAAATGCGAGAGTTCCATAATGACAGTCATGAGAACTATACAAGAACCCACTATGATTATTATACATTAAATATTAAATTCATTGAGAAATAACATGCATTGTATGCTATTTAAATGGTTTTTGAAATTTCGAATTTCAATCATAAATATCTTGATAAACAGGTTTATAATCATGATTGCAGCATGAGTTAAATCCAAGATTTTGTTTAGAATCTAAGACAAAGACACCCAATCTCTTTAATTCACATGGCAGAGCTGAAAAAGATGGAAACAAATAAATTGAATTGAAATGCATGGTGGTAACCCTTACCGTGTTTTTGTTTCTGTTGCGGCGTGAAGCGGATGCCCTGCGGATTGACGTACTCTGATTCGTGTAAAGAAGCAGAGTCCGTGTTGGACTCGGTGTCTTCTGCACCATCCACACCGGAATCCGCCATCTCTTGGTCCGCTGAAGAAAGTTTGCCATCTTCAGTCTGGGCGTGCAGAGGTTGATAAGGGTTATGAAAAGTCAAGTTTTAGTTACATTTTCATAATATGAGAATCAAGATCATGATTTATATTTCACATTTTCTCTGAAGAAAGTTTGCCATCTTCAGTCTTGACATGAAGAGGCAGATAAGGGTTATGAAAAGTCGAGTTTCAGTTACATTTTCATAACTTGGCAATCAAGATCATTTTTTTTTTCACTCAAGAAATAAGATTGGTCATTCATTAACTTCTTTCGTACAAATTTTTTCTAAAATTGTGTTTTTCTTGCATTTAAAGCCTTATTTTGTGTCTTTTTTGACTGATGTAATGAAAAGAATCCCATTGGTTAGAATTGGAAATGTTTAATCATGTTAACAGGACATTGATGAAAAACAGCTTTGCTGATTCGATGGTTTCTTTTTTATCCTGTATAAATATGTCAAATAACAATCTTTAAAAAGGTCATCATATATATTTTAAACTTTGAAGGCCAAGGCAGTCTCATCTGATATTTGACTCACAAGGGCTTGTCTTTTGCCAAGAAGTTAAAGGTAAAGACCAGTAATGGTCATGCGATTGCATTGTGAAAGAAACGTTGTGGAATCGATCAGAAAAGGTTGATCATCTAGCATCTAGCATCTGCAAGGTTCTGGAATCATCAAAATGATAAGAAATTTGGCCCATTCTTCGTAAATTAACAAGCACTATACACAGAAAGATGTATATGGGACTACCCTATCTCTCTCACACGACCATGAGAGAAATAAATTTACCAATTTTACCAAATATATGAATTAGTAGGCGGTTTCCCGGCAAATTTTGTATCATCATGTATTAGTCAAAACATATTCTTTCACATGATTGGTAATGAGAGCTTCCATTTCATTTTTTGAAATTGGGGCGTTACCAATACTGGTCTTTACCTTTAAACACTGGCTGATTAATATCAACTGTGATACTATCAAACACTGTTTACATCACAATAATAATGAATAAATGGACCACAAATAAAAGCTTTAGTCTATAAATTCTAGTTCAGATACATGTTTGCAACCTTAGTGGCACCAAAAAGGGGTTAAGATAAGTTGCTTAAGTTCAGTTTTACATAGGCTAGCAAATGTGGACATTGAAGCATTCTTAGAAAAAACAAGTATATTCCTTCTGATGGAATTTCAAGCAGATTGCACTATCATATTGAAAATCCTTAATAAGTCTCTCATATAAAGGAATGTCTCCACTCGTAATTCTCAGAATTCTATTTACTTTAGATCTTAAAAGTCATCTTCTCGGATGACCATGTATTGTCAAAACACTGAATCAGTTATATAATCAAGTGGGGGGGTTTCACAAAGATTTTAAGTTGAATTTATCTCTAAGTTTCCAGGTCTCAGAGTGCTGGATGTGATCCATTCAAAATGTGCACACATTGTGAATAATTGAATTGTGCTATGCTCTACTGAATTCAACAAAGCTAATCTTTTAATCTGACAGCATTATCTCTAGGGTGGGAGCACTATTGTGTACTTACAATAGTATGGAAAGAGGTAATGGTCTATTAAAGTCAATTACTGGCAAAAAGCTTTCTGGATACTGTCCAACAAACTGTGGGTGCCCGGGCACTCTTTGACTCACCCTGGGGCCTGTCTTACAAAGAGTTGCGACTTATCCAAATCAATCACAAATCCTCCAATCAATCGCAAGTTTGCAGTCTCCTATCTCTTATGTACATACTTGCGATTGATATCAACTCTCTGTAATATGGGGCCCAGGCCTACACAGGCAGCATTAATTCATTTAGTCTCTGCTTCCTAGAGACCAATATAACCCCATCCATCTATGGTGTCTCACACTCCCTGATATAGGCGCACCCTTTTCATATTCTCCTTCATCTACATATACTTTTCGTATAAAAATTGTGTATCCTACCTTGCTTTCATCCAGTCGCTGCTCGCCTGAAACAATTATGACCCCACCCATTTGTGTTAAATCGCTCTCTGAAATTGAGGCATCCTTTTACTATTTCCCTCCATCTCATATACATTTATATTTATACTTCAACATTTATTAAAATTGTGTTTCCTACCTTGCTTTCATCCAGTCGCTGCTCGCCTGAGACTGATATGACCCCGCCCATCTGCGGTGTCTCGCATTCTGATGCAGAGGCATCCTTCCCATCTACCCCTCCTTCTCCCGTTTCTGGTATTGCTAGGGATGAGGGTCTGTCCAGGTCCTGAGCTGACTGGGATTCATCTCCGCTATCTGTATTCAGACAAAGCAGATACTCAAAAGAATTAGATACTAATTGATGTAGGTTTCAAATTCTAAGCTCTGGTGGGTGTTTCATAAAGCTGTGCGTAAAGTTACAAATGACCTTACAAATGATTTTAATATGAAATGCCAAATAGGATGCCCCCAAAAAATTCCTGACATTTTAACAAAGTGTGACTGTATTCCCATAATCTCAATTAAATTGTAGCCAAAAATACACTTTGCATTAAAATGTTTTGTTAATAATGATAAGCTTGGTCTACATCTTCAGAGTGCAATGAATTAATCTGGACTTCATCTCCACCATAATACTTCATTATCAATGAATACTGAATCTCTATCTACATACCTCTTTCTGAACTTTCCTCTGGTATACTCTCGGCGACGCCCAAAGACTGTACCGAGCCCGTCTCTCCCTGAGCCTGGGAGGCGGGACCTGAGGACTGAGGACTAACCACTGTAGCAGCAGCAGCGGAAGGGGAGGGCCCATTGGAGGGTGCAGAAAGGGAGGGGGAGGTTTCCTCGATAGGGGTGGTGGAGAGGCGGTTCTTTCCCTGCCGGACCTTGGGGGACTGGCGGGACCTCCGCCTCCTTGAGGAGTCTCCGATGCCACCTGCCCGCATCTTCAACTGGAATCGGAAGAATAATTGAAATTCACTTTTACTGATATAAAGTCAAGATATGTGGCGACAATATGGCTACACAGAAGGCATATCCTACCGTTGATAATTAACATGTTGATTACTCATAATTTATTCCATCAGAAATTTGTTTTAAAGCCCCACTGCACTACTTATAGCTACATGCGCCCTATATACAGCCAACAATGCCTTAGCGGTACCCGTTGGTCCCCCATGATCCCTTTTTTCTAATGTCTATTGAGAGCTGATTTGATGAGATAGCCACCTGTCAGTGACCATGCTGGGATGTCTAATCCCTCTTGGCCAAACAAGTGCAGACAGGCATTAAGTGAAATTAAAATCAACCATTAAAAAAAAATTGGTAATGATGTGCATTACATATATCACTTTGCCAATTCATACCCATGCAATATACTGAATGTAAGGAGATATTAACTTATATGTTTGTATCTTAAATATTTCTGGATACATTGCTAAATTCCTGTCAGGAAAACCCATGATAATTTAGAGAAAGCAAGGAGTCTTGACAAAATAGTAGCAACACAAAATCTGAATCACTTTGTCATAAGTTTCCCTTTATTCATTTAAAATCTTGTTACATTGAACTTTACTCATGACGCCTTTGAAAGAAATACATATGTAGAATGATTGGCATGGCCACATGGGCGATGTTTTTTAGAGATATATTTACCTTTCTGACTCCAGAGAGCTTCTCTTCCTTGAATTGAGGTAGTCTTGAAAACAACAATTGGACCATATCATTCAGCGTGTGCTCAGCCGACTTCCGTAACAGTTCTAGAAGCATACAAAGAATGAAAAGAATGTTTACCCTTTTCTCCAACAATAATATAGTAGTTATCATGATAACATATCTAAAAAATAATAATAATATACAATATTTACATTTATAGTAGCACATTGCAAATATACTGCAATGTTGTTTACAATGTTATTAATTTCAAAGGTTGTCACACCCACACACAAGTATGATAGGTTTATTGCAACATATCTCTGTATTCCAGTACATTTATCTACTAATTTTATATATTAATGTGCATATAGAATTTATACTACTTATTTTCATTAATGATAGATTTAGTAGTGATTAAAGGCATCCTTAAACAATGTTAAATCTGAGATGCATGGCCCTATGTGTTATCAGTGTCTGTGATATGGTGTTATATTGAAGCCCTAACAAAATTGCACCTCGAAATGATCATGAAGTGCCTCAAAAAAGTAAAAATCTTTGAGTGACCGGTTTTACCATACTCATTTCCAATCATAAATATCTTGATAATCAGACAGGCGATCAGCTTGTAAAAGTCATGGGATTCCTGACTGACCTAAAGGTTTATAATTATGATTGCAGCATGAGCTAAATCCATTTTGTTTCAGAATCTGGGGCAATGTAACCGAGTCAATTTAAGTTTGATATGATTAGAAGTCAACATACCACTGAGTCTAAGCTCAAAGCAGATGCGGAAACACGATGGCATGATCTCACAGACAGCTTCATTGGACAGTAACATTCCCACCGGTGTCAGCAGCAACGTTCTCAGAACCTAGACAAAAAATATAATAGCAATACAGAACATCTTCATTTAAGAACAAGGTTTACCAATAGCAGGAGAGTGCAGTCCCTTTTGTAACAATCATTCCATATTTTGTTGTTTGACTCAATAACTTTTGATTTAGAGCACTAAAAAGTATGCCAGATGCATGATTACACAAGTAAAACTCACTACACACTAATGTCTACTGAGCCTGATCACAAAGACTTTGGAGAAATCAATTCGGGCAATTTTTATACCCTATGGTATGTCACAATATATTACAATAGCTGGTAGAAGGCTACTTAAATTGCCACAGGTCTATCTTTCTTAATTTATTTTTCAATTCATTTATTTCCACAATCTCATATAATATTCAAAATACATATGAGATATCTGAAGTGGGAGGATCATGAAAAGCACATAAATGAATTACCAATATTACCAAAAAAAAGGAAAGATAAAAGAAAATAGAGGAAAGAAGGAGGAAACATTGCATTAAACATAAGTTATTAGAATTTTTCAAAAATGTTGAGATATATACGGTTTCCACCGATAGATGATTTACCTGGAGGATCTTCATGAGGACGACTTCATCAGAGCTAGGATCGGTCCCGACGAACCTGGTGTGTGTTACAGCATCAGCTATGTTCTCAATGCCTTGTGCTGCTCCTCCTATACTGGGATCTACATGTAGGGGGGGGGGTAAATAAAAGAGGGGGCGTGATGATTTGGTGGAAATGCAAAGGTCTTGAAACCTGTTTCAAACAATGTTTATGCATTAATGCCGTTTGGTAAGGCTCCTTGAAAATGAAAGATAAACAAGGAGGAATTATGGCTTGGCTCAGTAGCAGAGTAGTGGTATCTAGCAACTATTTGTTTCTATTCATCTTGTCCAAACAACAAATCCACTGCCTACAATGTAATTAACAGAGCAGAACTTTTTTAGGCAAGTCTTTCTTACAATGCAAGTGTCTCATCAGATCTCAATATTAGATTTATATGTACATTTAACCATCATCTGCATAACAAAGATAATTATTTTAGTCTGCATCATAATTCTCTATTCTCATCATAAATTCTCTAGGCACGTTTGTTTTAGTTTATTCTGTATAAAAGCCCAAATTAGTTATACCTCTTATGAGTTAAAACCATTAGTAAACTTGAGTTAATACAGCTTAGAAATTACAGTATTGTAGATTGTGAGTCTTACCTAAAAGGCCATACGAGAGAAATTTGTTGACCGAGGAAAGGGCCAAACCGGTGATAGGTCCAGTCGTGTCATCTGAGCGTATCACATCAAGGAACGGGCCTAGAAATACATTAGGCTCAATGGCGCCGAGTTCTATAAAAAAGGTGAAACAAAATCATGTTAACGTAATTACAATTATTACAATGTCTTTCTTTACTGGCATATTGTTCATGTTTTGAACGAGCAAACAGCTTATGTTTCATGATTTCTTGCGCATCTTAGTTTTCAATTCAAGATGCATGAACAACTGTGCTGATTCAGTCATTCTTTCTTTGCTTTAAACTTTAATCACTACTCCATTAACCCACCTCTGTTGAAAAATAATTTTGTGAGGAGCAAAAACTATTAATAATTATAATAATAAAAATGGTGCTTATAAAGAGCTTACCACCTAAGTCTCTAAGCGCTATAACAAACAAATACAATGATAAACAACTACATATTAAACAAAACAAAAAGAAAATGCAAATAAACGTGCAAATTACAATACACATCAATGTGAACAGAGTAAGTTAATCATCAAAAGCAATTTTGAATAAATGTGTCTTAAAACGAGTTTTGAATTGGTTAACAGTCTGACAGAAAACCAGAGGTATACAACCCAAGTATGATGATAATGGGTTTTATATTCAGAGCACACCTCTCAAACAGGAAGACTCAGTCTTTCATCAAATACTCTCCTTGAAACTCATGTGCAAATATAATGCAATCTACTCCCACATGAAGTGTTCCGCACCATTAACTTCTGATTAGTCTCTCTCACCTTAATGCCCTATTCTTGTCGATCTCTTTCTCAGGGTAATAACTCTGAAGTGCTCTAGTTGATGAATCGACTACATACTACACACTGTTTGCCTTGCCCCCCCCCCTTTTTTTTAAAAATTGATTCATGACACATTTCTACAGCAGATTTGCATGAGCATGAGGTAATTACATGAGTATTTATCCGTAGGGGAGATATTTAATCAAAATGCCCACAACTAAACTCACACAATGTAGCTGATAGTATACTGTATTCTCATATTCTAAAAAAAAGATTATGGACATGACATGAACTACCTTTCAATTCTACCTCTACTTTCACTGCTTTTAGAATGCCGGAATAATTAATGCATACAGCGACTACAGCCCGATATAACAGCATATGTTTTTATCATTCTGGCATTGATTGACAATTATCACTATACAAGCTGTGCAAGCAATTACATGTAGCATTTGGCATACTGGCATAGGTATTCAATCTTGACTGTTTTTGTGGGTTAATGTTTACATATTTGTTTGCACATGATGTTGGCACCATGGCGCTAATATTAGCTACAATATACTATCTTTGTCACGTACTGTATATGAATGCAATAAAAAAACTTATACATTAGTCTCCCTTCCATGCAAAGTCTTTTCATTTTTTATTGTGGTTCTAAAATAATTTAGTAAATAAATAAATTTATTTAGTAAATCTTTTTTTAATGAAGTGCTCTTTGGACATTCCCAAGCTGCTGCTCCATTGGAGTTTTAACAGACAATACAATATATTCCTTTCACAAAAACAGCAGATCTAGATGGATAAAAATAGCACCAGCATGCCTGAAAACAAGGCTAACATCCCTCTGGTAATGACAAGTCTTTTCTAATGCATATACCAGGTGAAATACTATTACATGGCCATGAACAGCACTGCAGATGACACCGTGTACCGTGTGTAGTATAAGGCAGTAGTTGCAATGGCTTTTTAACACTTCAAACCATTTAAGTACCAAAGTAGTTGTTGTTACTTGTTTATGTCAACCAATTCCTGCTCTTACATAATTACTGAAAGAGAAGGTTGAGTTCTGGGAAAGGTAAAAGATAATCTGTAAGCTTTTTCATTATTCTTATGTTAGTGTGGAAGAGTATCATATTAAAAAAACTTCCACTAAAAAGGATGGCTCTTCAAATGGCCTCATATTCGAAATATAACAAGTAACAGCTCAAGGTTGTGGACATCAACTTTCATGCCACATGTTATGTTTGTGTCGTCCCATATACACATTTCTGTGTACAGTGTATGGGACTCTGTGCAAGACTGAGCCAACTTCCTATCAAACCTCACAGTACCGTATACACCAGGGGGGCGTTTCTCAAAATTTATTATCAGTGACAAATGACAATTTTTGTTATAAGCTACTGAAATCCTTGCTTCTGATTGGTTATCAGCAGATTTGTCACTGATTTTTGTTATTTGTCATTAAAAATATGCTTTGTGAAACGGGTCCCAGATATACCAACCTTTACATTCACCATTCAGGGAAAATTCATTCAGAAATCAGGGAGGTTTCTATCGATTGCATACAGCATAATAGGAATAATTTTCTCAAAAAATCAGAGAGGCATTACAATTTGTGTGGAGTGACGTATACAAATTAAAAATATTCAGGGAGCCTCCCTGAAAATACGGGAGGGTCCGGTTGGCATAGATCTCTGTATGCTACATGATCAAGCTTTCCAATTGCTTCCACACAGTATTGCTTAACCAGAACTTGACTTTATCTTTAAACGACTTCAGTTATCTTTATACATGTATACAACATCCCTTTCAAATACTAAAAGAGATTTCATTTCCTTGTCTCATTATTGACTCGTGTCATTTGATCTCATCATTGCTCTAAATGAAAGCATTACTTCTTTCACTTCAATTATTTTATACATGACATACAACTTGCATCTGAATCATGAATACTGTTGGAAGAATTAAAGGGGGTGTAGCCTGACGAGACTACATGTCTTTGCCGTGGCCTGACTCGGGGCCAATCGGGTATAATACGACTATGAACGACACGACTGCAGTATTCACGTGCGTGCAACATACATGTACGCGAAATGTGCAGTTGTCCAAAAGAAGTCGTAGATGGCGTTAACCAGTTTTTGCCATGCTACACCCCCTGTAAAATAAGGGGGAAATGTCAACATACCTGCAATACTGTTAAGGATTGCTTTCAACCTTGAGAAGTTTACCAAGAATGGATCCTGCTCTTCCTCCTGTAGGTAAAACAAAAGAAACAAGACACAGGTTTAACGAGAACAACAAAGAGGGAGTAAAACACTGTGACAGAATAAAAACTGTGTAAGGATCTTGCCATCCAATTAGTTTTCTACTTTAATAACTATACATGTAAGTGATAACATTCTAAAATTTCTCTCCAGTTGCATTCATTTGAAGGATAACAAATATCATACAGATAGAAAAATAGGCTAGATTTTCACAAGTCATTTCAACTAAAATTGGCAGCACAAGTAGTTATTGAATCTGACACTACCAGGTTCCTGAATATCAATATCTATACATGACAAATGTACACCATACTACATCCCTATAAACAATCTGGGGGGGGGGGGTTTGTCTGCTTCATCTAATTCTAAATTGATTAGCATTGTCTCTTCACTTATTTACTAAAATTGCTAAACATTTCAATAATTTTTCTTCAAGACCAATCTACTACATTCACCCACCTGGGGAAGATGGGTCGTCCATCTTGAACTCCGTCTCATCGCCGTGACAACCAATTGCATCTCTCCTTGGACGACATAGATGCCATTCTTTGGTGGGGCGATCTTAAACGCTGCCATTTTTGCTGAAGACGCCTTCTTTCAGCTGGAGCTAATGAGGACCAGGATTTGGTTTTCTGGTCCTCTAGTAATCAGTGATAGGGGTAACTTGGTAACTAAATTGGGTCAAAGGTTAGGTCAAAGGTGAGGACAGAGAGAGAAATAGAGCACTACACAGTGCAATGACCCGTTACATCCTTGGAGCTTCTCTGTTGATCTGAATTTAGGAAGAGAAAAGAGAGAGAAGAAAGAGAGTAAATATCTGCACAATGGCTCATTGAGAAAAAAAAATGTTTATTGAATGTTTGAGAGAGTGACTCTCATTCATGTCTGTCTTTTGTTTTGGCAATGTACTATTCTATTTTAAACAGAAATTTAGTAATTTTTATAATCAGCTATATTCGAGGGAAGGGGCAACAAGAAAATAATAGATCTCTAAAATTACTATTTTCAATCAGTAACTGAATAAGAAATGAGTAAAGGTTTACCATTTGGCATTTTTCATCCGTTTCTTTTTCTTTCTCTTTTTGTGAGTCAGCTATTAAACTACAAGTTAAATAATATTATTAATAATAATATTATTACATGGTCATTTTGCAACTTTTTTTTTCAGATTTAGAAATTATAAACAATAAACTACAGCCACAATGGAAAGTGGAAAGATGAACGATCATGAATTTGATGAAAATGATGAACAGGTCGTTTAGAGCACTAGAATTTATTTTGAAAATAAATGGTGCCAAAATAAATAGCTCTGGTAGAGGTCTATAAAACGATGCTTCAAATATAATGCTTTCCATTTTAATGATTTTACCATCTTAGCAAGCATAGAAAGAATAAAAGAAAAAGAAAAAAAGAACTCTCCCGTTTCTGTGTCATGCAAAACAGGAACACTGAATCACTCAAAGCTCCTATCAAAAACTTTCTTGTAGAACCTTGTCAGTCAAGGCGCATGGCCTTTACGGGAGACTATTTCCTATTTCAGAGACCGTCTCTAATAAAAGACTTTTGTAAATTTCCCATTTGATATACCAATTAATTACTTTAATCACTACAAAGGGATCACCTAGGCTCAAAATAATATGAGCAGATTCCTCATGACATAATACCGTCTCATCCATCTACTTTACACATTCACTGTCTACATTTGTTTTCATAAAAAAAAAAATTGTTATGATTCACATACAAAGACAATGAGCTAATGACCTTGGAAAGGTGAAATTTTGGCTAGGAAAAATAGCCTTCTACATGTAGGTACATGTTGATTGATTCTTTTGTTCTTTGGTAAGCTAAAGGTCAAATATGGCTATGCACCTCTGATGTATACTGCTTGTCTCTCAGCTTGCATATGTATGGTAGAGTGACCATAATTTGTGCATGACCCAAGTTCCTGCACAGTTCCATATCTTTAAATATTAAACAGCAAGATTTCAAAAATCTGATACCATGCACCCATGGAAAGAGAAACTTAAAATTACCAAGTGATGTTTTCTTTAAAACTGGGTGAGAAATTAAGAAAATGTTAAGAATATGTTAAAAAAATTAACAAAAGATCACCAATTTTTGCAGCATTTTGCGTCCGTGCTACAACAAAAATGAACTTACCAACAAGGGTCTGGAAATCTTCATTTCAAGAGAAGATGTCATCGCAAATTGTGATTAAAAAGTGATACCAACTGATTGTATATTTTATCTTCCACTTCAAGTAATTATTTTACTTTGTTGGATCTGCTCTGCTGGAGAAATCAGATGGAAACTTTTGTGGAGTGTGGACGACGATCGGACATCAAATTCCGAGATAACGATATTGCTGGAATTGATGATCGCTGCAAAGTGAAATGACACACTGAACAAAACACCATTTGTAGTCTTAAATATTGCTATCCATTTGGCAGGAGTCTTCTATTGATCCAAATAAATTTGTGTAGAATTTGAGAAATATAGATCGAATATCACATTCCTATTCATTTTATTTTTTTGTAAGTGTGCGAACTTTGGACATCCCATTCATCCTATTTCTAATCCTACCTCGTTCGTATGAGTGACAAGTTTGATGACAAAACCATGAAAACTATGTTCAACTTCACGACTTTTATTTTTGGCCCAAACAAATTCTCTCATTCCCAGTTCCACACAATCATAAATGACATACTAATGACATGTTGTTATGTCTGACGTGTATTTCCACAATGCTTATGTCATGTCAGCTAGCGCCAGTGGCAGTGCGATGTGCATACAGTACTAGTTACTACATTGACGAAACGGCAGCCAATCATACCATACAGACAGTGTCAATCACCAAGTCGGTCACACACTCCTCAAAACGATTATCGTTTCACAGTTCTTTCAAAACAGTTTTCTGAAAGCTTAACACTTATTTAAGTCAACCACAGTGTAACGAATATAACTGTAATTTATTTCACAAATTCATACTCACCAGCTCTCATAAAACAGCAAAATATGGTGAAAATACGATTCTACATTGACATCCACAGTGCGAACGAATACCGGCGGCGATTTCGCATAGCATTATCGAGTGTACTAAATTATCAATCGCCTTTCCGAAAATGACGTGGTGCGCATGTGTACAATATGGCTGACGTAGCGAGGAGACTGGTGCAGAAACATAGTTCAATGACAATAGTGCGTGTCCTAGCCACGAAGCCGAGTTTCAAGCTATGCGAAAGATGGGTTTTATTTTGTATTGACAGAATGATCTTTGAGTAGTGAGGGGGAGGCATGGATGGGAGTGTCTTGGTAGTTTTGGGGTAATACCACCACGCACTTCCCTCCGAAAAGGATTCCCCCAAAAACAATATTTGGAGAGATGACCCAACCACCCATGTCAATAATTCAATTTATGTTATTAAATTCGTTTCATCTGTATAAAACAGAAATTGCACGATTAAGTTTCCAAAAATTCCCTATTTCAATCAATCAGGAATATATTTCCATGATATTCCTATGGGTTTTGTTCATCGATAAACATGTATCAAGCTGCTGTATATAGATGAGGTGGTGTTTTTTTTGTATCTTGGTATATTTACCCGAGGCATTAATCTGCCCCTAACCGGTACTAGATAAAAAGTTTGTCAGATTTTCAATTTTGAATTTGATATACTTTCTTAGAAGTTAGGCCTCTTATTTTTGTTTAAAGGTAATACAAAGTTTTGGTAATTAATATTTCAACAACTTTGAAAATAATTGGGCTCTAAAACGCTAAGGATTTCGAGAAATTAAAATATCAAATTTATCGGTGCTCCCGATAAATTTCAAATAGCGCCTATGCCGTCATATAATGGTACATTCGACCATGAAAATCTCTGAATATGCAGTTCTGATATAAATTTCCAAACAGGAAAAGAAAATCGATCTTAGTCAAGAAACATTGTTTTGAAGCTAAAGTAATATCAATCTTGAGAGCCTGAAGCTATACAACATGGGATTTTTTTCTCACAACTTCATCACTGTATACCCGATTTCAACGATCAATAAATATTGCAGGAGCGCATCTATAATGCTTCCAATATCATGATGTTCGTTTGAACCAAATTCATGACCCCATACCAAAACTTTGTATCACCTTTGTAATATTACAATGCAAGTTCTGTATCGCATAATATTAGGCTACCATCTTGTAATTCAAGAACACGAAATATCTGATGATTGCAAATTTGGAATGCAAAACTAGGTTGTTGTCTGACCAGGTGAGAGCGAATCCGACGCATTTAAACACTCAGTATTGATTAACGTGGAAACCTTTGGACACCAACCTTCATTCTTTCATGACTGCTCGTCCCGGGCCCATCACAAAATGTAGGCCTACATATTTTTACTCTCTATATAATTCTCTGGATTGATTATGTCTCCCGTGTTTTGTCATTGCCTGTATGCTTTCTTTTTATGTCTTATAGTTCTGCCCCATAACTTTATATTGTCATATATATGCTCAAATTGAGAAGAGAAGAAATATATAAAAATGAAGAAATGGTTATAAATTGGAAAGGAGGCATAAAAAGAAGAAAAGACGACTTCCTTCTTCACCCGCCTCACCCTCCCTTATAGTTGCCTTGGTCATTCATATTTTATTCAGTGAATAAGATGCCCCCCCCCCCCTCGATTATACGTGCATATAATGCAGAAAGGGAGGAAGGGTGAGTGAGAGAAAGAGAGAGAGACAGAGAGGGGAAAAGAGAGACAGACAGAAAGAGAGGGAGAGAGAGAGACAGAGAGAGACAGACAGACGGACAGCCAGAGGAACAAACAGACAGAGATAGAGACAGAGAGACGGGTGGAGGGAGATAGAGAGTATAATAAATAAAAATAAACATCTCAATTAAAGGCATACTTCTTTATTGTGGATACTTTCACAGAATTCTATTCAAGAATAGAATATTCAATTCAGGGTGTATATCTTTACTCTAAATACTTCAATTCTTTACACATCCATATACAGTAAATAGAATTTAAATATATTCCAATTCTAGGCCTACATCAGTCTGACTACTTTCTTTACATTTCCAAATAAATTGAACATTCATTTCAGTTCAAGGCGCATATCTTCTTTCACTTACAAAATTATTCAGAATTTGGTATCCTGAAAGTATAACATGTTGACATTATAATTTTATGATAAATGAACAGGAATGGACGGATAATTAGAAATGTCACTCATAATTATTGTGGCATGGGAGAATCAATAATTCCCAAGTATCATAAGATATTCTTTTCTTTACAACAATGTTATTCATGAAAGATATCAGAAACAATTTCGACAGGCATAGTATAGTCATACCAACTTCAATTTCTTATAATATTGACAGGCATAGTATTAGTAGTCATACCAACTTCAATTTCTTATAATACTTTATTAATAAAATATACCGATAAGTTTGAAAATCGCTAAAGCAACAATGAAATTATGCTTTCACAAGATATATATTTGTTACTTTCCAACGCTTATAATGATAAATTGGGTTATCATCAGTATTCAAAAGTTCTAAACACTGAACTTCTTGTGGAAAAGAAAAATATAAAAATGTCAACAATTTCGATATAATTCTTCTAGATATGAGGTATGGATTACGTTACAAATTTTGTGAGGTCTGTGTTTACTATCTGACCAGATTCTGCTACTGGAGGAAGGAAAATAAATTTGCATATTTTTAGAATTGCAATGACGTTTTAAATAGAACTGTAAAGTTAAATTAAAAATAGATGCATAGGGCCATAGCTAGTAGAGAGAGACAGCTGTGCCATGCTCGGACCCACATATGCCAGGTCAAAGGTCACTTCACGGAGATAAAAAAAGTTCTCTCTCACCATATTATCTATATAACCTATGCCAAGCATTAACAGGATGTTAAGACGGGGGGGGGGGGGAAGAATTGTGTGATAGCAATTTAAGGCCATTTAAAAGATAAGTTTAAAAGAACTAAATTTTAAAGACAAAGCAGAGGGGGGCCAGATGCGCCATGTAGGTGAAATTCTTTTAGAACTCACTCTCCACCTTTTTTTAAAACATTTTCAATACACAACTTTATAGAAAATAGACAATTTTACAAAAATGATGTACACAAAATTTATTTACATAATAAACAACTTTTAATCTTAAATTACAGGTATAATATTACATAAAATGCTCTTGGGATGTCCTTGTTGACTTGCATGATGTAATAATGTTTCATCACGTCCTCAATGATTTTCAAACTGAGTAGAGTGGGGGAGTACGAGTAAAGCTCACATTTCCCGGAGAAGAGCACATGATTTCCATCACAAAATGAGGTCCATTTACGATTTTTTTAAATAAATATTTTCCTCTGGTATTTAGTAGGCTTTCTGAACTGCTTCCAGGGCTTTGTGGCAGTGATCATCTAGCTTTCCGTCTCCTCCTGCATAAGACAGAGATTAAAAAGGGGATACAAATGTAAAATGCAACATTTAAAGTAGTCACCCTAAGCAAATCATGACAACTGATATTTATGGACAAATTATATATGGGTTGAAAGATTTTCTCTTGAAAAACACGAATAATTTGCTGAAAAAACATGGAAAGGCGTAAAATGCAATTTTGTGGCTAGCTGTGTCTTGCATGTGACGTCACAAATCTTGATGTCTATGGAGGACCGCTGAAGCCTGATTACTGCAGGCCCTAAACATATTTTGAAGAGGAAAGTTGTTATATTGGATCAGTAAGGCTTCCCCTTTGCAATGATATGAATTTATCATCAATCCAAAACACTTTTGATTTTTCAGGTGACTATTCTTTCAGAGGTCGGGGCTATGGTCTTGAAAAATGAGGGCCCTTGGTTCAATACCAACAATCTAATTGTACTGCATTATTGTTTCCAAGAATAGCAGGTAAAAATGAACATCTTGCATCACTGGATGAATAATTAAACGATTGCTATCGACTTGGAAGTAACAACCACATCAATGACTGATTACGATTATGATAATGAAAATGACGATTCAACAAAATCAATTCAACATTCAACAACAAGGAATAAAGGTGTTAGAAGGTTAAAATGTGGATAATCTCTTTACTTTTTCTTTGGTTTCCCCCTATCTTTTCCTTTTTTTTTTTTTGTTGGACTAATTTAAACGTACAATAAGGTTTCTAAAAGTATGAAGGTTTTTTTCTAGATATGGATTTAGTCTTCCTATTCCTCATTTTTCTATCTTTTTACAATCAAATAAGTTTTTTTTAAAGGAGACTGCTCTTCTTTCAGGACTACAAACGTAAACTCATTTAATAACATTATTCTTAGAATATACACTATGATAGAGGGATATTGAGAGACATTTACCATAATCAAGTTCCAGGATATCACAATTGTAAACCTGTTCTCCATTCACGATTAACTCAATAACATTCCAGTCTTTGATCTCTTCCAACTCCACAGTGTGACCGTTCTCCTCAAGAAGGGCTAGAGTGATATACAACAAAAAAGTTCAAGATTAATTTGATTTGGTTCGATTTGATATGTTTTATTATAAAAAGAACATACTGTTTTTCAAAATAGCAGCCATAAGTCTGAAACAAATTAGATTTAAAACTTAAGAGAATATGGTGTATTAAAAGTTGATTTGATAAGATACAACAATGCACACTCAAAAAGTGCAATTGAATAACAACATCGACACAGAAATGAAAGCGACAGATCAGACAAAAGTAAATATAGAGACCACAGTAGATGTAAACAACTAAATTCAGGATTGAGATTTCTCTTTTATCATTTTATTCCAGCCAGTACATGTAGGTCATGATAATCTTGTCCTATTGTTTTAATTCTAGTAGACAATCTAGACCTTTTTAAATGAAAACAAAAAGTTGATGGCTTCCTGAAAAATACAGGGTGGCAGAGCCACTACTCTTGGCATTGAGAGACTGTCTCTATTTTTGACAGATATTTTTGTCAATATTTAATTAAAGGAGAAAGTCTCCCAATAACTTATATTTATTTAAATAAGGATCCCATTTAAAGATTAAAGGATTTGCTTGTACTTGAATCAACTTCAAGTTGAAAATGTGATTATTCTAATTTATGCTACGGTCTCAAAGGTTTGTGCGAACGATGATTTCGTACGAATCTCTGTTTTTCCATTGTCTTCCCGAATTTCCATTGTCTGAAAATCGTTCGTACAGCGTTCATAGCAGCTCGTAATGGCATTTGTGACCGAGGCTTAAATAAAGCCCGTAATTAATTAGATCTATTACTAGATTACCAACAAAATCACTTATACGTGTAGACCTACAAGGTTATTGGAAATGCCACAACTTTGTGTTTTAATAAAAAAAAATTGTGTGTGACAAAAATAAAATAACAACAAAGTAATAAAAAAAATATTTAAAAAATTGGCAAAAACAAAAAAGGCAAAACTCCAAAAGGCAAAACCAAATAACAAAAACTAGATCTAGAGTCTAGGGTCTAGATCTAGACCTGTAAACAAAATCAAAACAAAATGAGGCCTCTAAAATTCCCAAGTTATTACGATTTTTAGAATTGAATAGGCAACAAATTAGAAGAATAAGAAAGAAAATGCGATTAACTAATTTGAAACTAAATTGAAATGTGAGGGACAGATAACTAACAATATTTTGAACGTATGGGACTGGGTAAAAAAAGAATTACCTCGTAAACCACTCAGTCTTTGTGCTCTGTGAGCTGTTACTCCACAAGCGTGATATGGCCCATACCTAACCGTCACAACAGTGTTTTCAGGCATTTTAATAGCACAAAATCCAAAGTTTTTCTTCTTTATTTACAGCTAGCTGTGAAGTTTCCCAATATTTTTTCTTTCTCGGCGTTGTTGTTGTCAACGGTGACGGTCAGATCAAAATTCTATATAGCGCCATCTGATGGCGTAAATAAGCACGTCTTTCACTGAGTAGCTCTATACGTGGGTCATCGGATACAAACTAATTGCAAATTAATTTTAAAACATGTGCATGGTTGATCCAGGACTTTGTAGCTGGGCAATATCAGAGGCGGCGCTCCCGGGGGGGGGGGGCAGGGGGTACAGTGCCCTCCCACTTTTTCAAGTACCCCAAAAGTGCCCCTTTTTACATAGGAAAAGTGCCCCTTTAACTTTGTAAGAAGTGCCCCTTTTTACATAGGAAAAGTGCCCCTTTTACTTTGACAAGTGCCCCTATTCATTTATGAAGATACCTCTTCCCCTTTCCACCTCTGATAAGTGCCTGTTTTAATCTCTAGTAAGTTCCCCTTTTCAGGTACGAGAAGCGCCCCTTTTCATTTTTGATAAGCACCCCCTTCACCTATGATAATTGTCCTATTCAAATCTAAGTGGCTCCCCTTTTGCTTTGACAAGTTCCCCTCTTCCTTTGTAAAAAGTGCACTTCCTCTTTTAATTACTACCCCTTTTTAACTTAGATAAGTGCACCTTATATTTTCACATGTGCCCCGTTTCCCTTCTCATAAATGCCTCTTTTCATTAATGAAAATAATTCCTTTTTCATTCTCATAAGTGCCTCTGATAATTACCCTTTTATCAATGACATGTGCCCCTTTTTCCTTTCTAATAACGGGAACCTATCTCTTTTTCATAATTGCCCCTTTTCAATTCTTATACATGCCCCTATCAAAATCTGATGGGTGCCTTTTTTCCGTCGACAAATGCCCATTTCCCATTCTCATAATATCCCTTTTCATCCCTGGTGCATACCTTTTTTTTTAGGTGTAAGAAGTGCCCCATTTTCACCTCTGATAATTAGCCTTTCTACTTTGACACGTGCTCCTTTTCTTTTCTGATAAGTGTATTAACCCTTTCGATAAGTGTCCCCGTTTCCTCTCATCATGTCCCTAATTTCAAGCGAATAGGAGCAATTTCCACCAAAGCTCGCTCGCTCGTAGTTATATATGTTATAATTATGTAACTTATCAAAGGTCTTTTCAGTCTTCCGTTAAGAGAATGTGCATATTACCCCATTGTCTAATTAGAAATCTCTCACCTCCATGCACCCCTCCCCTCCCCTTACAATATTGTGGTTTCACATTTCAGTGTAACATTAAAAAACATAGCATGATACTTCTGCATACCCCGGCCGCACAGACGATACGACCATCAGACCTTACGTCTATGATCAGACCGACACTAAATGGAAAGAGAGAGGCCAAGAAGTAAAGAACATTTATAGCCCCTCCCTCCCCCGCCGGTCCGTAGTCGGCCCGGCGGGGCATAACGCATGATATAATCTGACCTAATTACAAATTATAATGATAGGGTTAAACGCCGATGATCGCTTGAGCGTGACAACTTGAAACCGTTGACCTCCGGCTTTGATGTCCCATCATTAAAACTTGATTTTTATAATAGAGTATTCCTCCCTGGAGATTAATAGTAGTTAATTACAGTCAAACATAGGGTTTGTTTGACTGATGTCAACTCGATTCGTTCTTAAAATAAAAGGCCGAAAATGTTAATGCCTGGCTTGACAATTTACTCAGCTGGAAAATATACACAAAAGTAAAAATTCGTTGAACCCACCTGGTAATAAAGATACAGAGTAAATTGAGAAGAATAAGATGGGGGAACCAGTGAGACAGTGAATGTAAACTAATTGCTTTTAAACTGTATCAGAAAAACTACTGGTATGTTTTTTTTTCTTACGCCTGTTTCACTTTTAACTGATCGTCTTCTTCAATCTATGCTACATTCATTACACTCAAGTTTTCCCATCAAAATAATTGTTATTCCATCATACAATATTCTCATTTTAGAATTTGGACAAGATACACAAAGGATCAGTGGCGTACACAAGATTTTTTCAAGGGGGGGGGGGGGGTTCCCAAAATTTGAAAATTTGACCGATTGGCATTCCGTTTCGTTGGGGGGGGGGGGGAGGTCATCTTTTTTGGGTCATCCATTACGATTTTTTGTTTTAAATAAAAATTAAAAAAATTAGTTTAAAAAAAAAGAAAACAAATTCAACACTCAATAGGGGGGGGGGGGGTTTCCCCAAAAAACAAACACATCCAAAAAACTCAAGGGGGAATTAACCCCCCCCCCCCCCTGCGTACGCGCCTGCAAAGGATCATGGCGTCAATGCATGAGATATGTTTTTTAAAGCTTATTTAAGTAGATAAGCTTCTATACAAAATAGTTTGGTTTACAATTTTAAAGATTGCAGTGAAAGAAAATCAATCAGGTCTATTTTAATTATTGTTTAATTAATTCATAATAACCTCGTTCACGTTTTTTTTAAAGCCATTACATGGTACTGTAAGTTTTACCGTTTATAATGAGAGGTTCATTTGTATAAAAATTCCAATAAACAATATCTGTCAGGCGCGGATCTACGGGGGGGGGGGGGGTTTAGGGGGTTTAAACCCCCCCCCCCCCTTGGGCGGCCCAAAAAAAAAAAAAAAAAAAAAAAAAAAAGGGAGAAAAAGAAAGAAAAAAAGAAAAAAAGAAAGAAAAAAGAACGCACGCTGGAGAGAAACCCTTTCAAGTGCAAATATTGTGAGAAGATATTCAACTCATCTGGTAACTTAACCAAACACATGATAACTCTGGATATAACTGTGTATTAAACTGTTACTTGATTTAAAAAGACGTTATCATGCACTGCTTTTTATGGTCTCCATTGTGTTAATAGATGCCAGGAAAACATCACTTACGGGGTTCAAATAAACACCCCCAAAAAAATCGGCTCGCCGCTTCGCGGCTCGTGGACGATGCTCCGCATCGTCATTATTTTGGTCAACCCCCCCCCCCCTTAGCAAAAAGCTAGATCCGCCCCTGTCTGTGGAATGATATCTGGTTCACCCCAAAAAGAAGGAAATGTGATTTTTCCCCTCATTTGCACACAACATAAGTGCAATGTAACTCCATTTTGGGCTGACATTATGGTCACAAAATGTCATGTGACTTTGGGGATGACATGTGGTCACAAACTTGGTAAGTAGAACATTTTATAGAAATTCTTAACTGTGATAAAATAAGCAAATACAATTGTATCAATACAAGAAGAAGTAGAAGAAGAAGAAGAAGAAGAAGAAGAAGAAGAAGAAGAAGAAGAAGAAGAAGAAGAAGAAGAAGGAGAAGAAGAAGAAGAAGGAGAAGAAGAAGAAGGAGAAGAAGAAGAAGAAGAAGAGGAGGAAGAAGAAGAAGAAGAAGGTGACGTGTTGATAAATATGGTCATATTTAACCACTTATTTAAGAAAATAGCGGGGTAAGAAGACTCACATTACCGATTTGCTTGGCTGCTATTCTGACATAACTAATGAAAGGTATAATGTATCTACCATGACCACAATGCTAATTACAAAAAAAAACAGAGAAGAAATTTCTTATAAATTGAGGAGGTTTCTTCCATTGTAATCAAACCACTTGGCATTCCAGAAGAGAACCGAGATCAGAGGTTAAAACTAACAGACCATCCTTCAGGTAAGATGAAGCTTACATATCGTCGCTGTTTTCACGAAGTGACGGTAGTGAGAAAAAAATTGCATTCACTTTGCGTGACGATTTTCCTCACTACCGTCACTTCGTGAAAACAAGGACGATATTTTGCATGATCTTTATGACTTGAGTGTGAAGTTTTCTTCATTGCTAATGTAATAGGGCATCACTGGCATCATTTAACTCGTGTTTAGAATTGCACGAATGACAAAAGCTTTGTTGATTATTTTTAATCTTTAAATCATAAAGTTTGATTTTCCATTGTAATGGTTTGTAATACTTTGACAAAGGGATAATAAACACCGGAATCAACAACAGAGAGAAGGATTTTATTTTCTTATGAACCATTTTCTCACGCTTAAGGATGATTTGTGGAATTTTAAATTAATTTTATTTTATTCCCAACTTTCTTCTACAAGCTAGTCTGCGAGAAGAAAAAAACCTGTGTGCTGAACTGAAAACAAAATTGGATCCCTCTTTTGGAATTTGTTAATGGTGCACAAAATGGTTATTGAAGGGCTTGGACATAATTGTATTAGTTTGTCTACTGACTCTTGTAGAATGATACTGTATTTAAATACGACGAATGTCAAATACTTTATCATCGTATGCTTGTTTTTGTTTTCAGACGCTAACAACAACAATGGCATCAAAAGTTCTAATCGTTTTCCTGGCCATGATCGTAGTCACAACGGCCATGCTGGAGTTCGAAGACGACTTCGGAGACGAGCAGATAGCAGCCGACATGGAGTTCATCAAGCGCGATCCATTCATGCAAGATTTCTTCTTAGCTGAGAAGCGGGGCAGGACCATGAAGAAGTTCAGACGTGAGTATAATACTACCACGCTCACATATGTTCTGCCTGTCCCTGCTAGAAAGAACACACTCATTCACAGTGTGGATCACAGTGTGAAATCACAGTTCAGACTGTGAACACAGTGTGATTCACACTGTGAATGAGTGTGAATGAGTGTGTTCTTTACTTTTCCGGTTATCCACACTGTGAACCACAGTGTGAAACGAATCGACCACAATGTGAAACGCCCCAATTTAACATTGTGGAGCACACTGTGATTCACATTGTGAATGAGTGTGTTCTTTCCTTTTCCGATTATCCACACTGTGAACCACAGTGTGAAACGAATCGACCACAATGTGAAAACGCCCCAATTTAACATTGTGTGTGGAGCAGTGTGATTCACAGTGTGAAACACAGTGTGATTCACACTGTGAATGAGTCCAATCTTGCTTTAAGTTTTACTATTCATTTTTGGATACTTCTTCATTTAGGAGGAATCCACATAATAGTTATAAAGGACCCTTTTACTTTTATACCCATCCCTTAGAGAAGTTTAATGAACTTTCAATTTTCGTCTCTCGGGGAATCACCATGGTCGTACTGTTTCCGTTAAAATATTAATTTTTGAGAAAATGTGACGATGTCAGCGTTAATGATGGTTACAAAGGGATTTGTGAATCTTCCCATATTTACGCTCGTGTCATTCATAACATATTATACAAATATACCAAGCTGTGAGAAAGAAAAGTGGCAATTATTTATCTGAGGAAGGACTGGCAAAGTACTATTTTTTTCCGAGGGGCGAAGCGCAATTACTTTTGACTGAACATGATGTGATGTCACAATGCTTTTCTACCTGAAAATCTCATAGAGCATGCGCAGTTCTGCCCATGAAAAAATAGTGAAAATATTTGGAGCTCTGGCAGAGCTTTGTTTCTAATAGTGAAATTATATTTTATCACGTGACCACCAATTGACCAATCATGTATTTAGAAAAGTCATGAATATTCATAGAAGGGAAATAAACGAGGATATATTGTTGTTGGAATGTTATTTACACAAACAGTAAAGCACATACTATATTGACTTTGGATTCCTTTCTTCTTCTTTTACGATTTACATGACTGTGTGATAGCAATAATACTGTAGTGATAAACACATAATGTGGATTATCTTTCAAACAAAATTATTATTGATTTTTTTTCTCATTAAAACAACGCAAATAAGATTCATATTGCATGGAAATTAAAAACGAATTTTATCATTAAAAAATTTACCAACAAATTCAATTTTGCAAAGCTTGTCATAATACATGATTCATAATACTACATTCGAAAACAAAATACAGGAATCAAGTCAATTATATTGTTCATAAGTAACATAGATCAAGAGAGAATAGTTTTGAAATCGACAGTGCCGGTAGTGCAGTAGGCATACGTTTGCATCAGTGAAAAATGATGATAACAAATCGATATGTAGAATAGTTTTCATAACAGTCATTTTCAAGCTATTGCTTGTTATATCTTTATTTATAAACTTTCATTATATGTATTTATTTTATTTACAGTTTGCCCTACCCAGGCCAATCCTACCCAGGAATGTTGGTGCACAAGAAGAAAGAACAAGTTCCTCTTCTGCACAGGTAATTTCTCATTTATCATATAGTATAATTATCAACATACGTTGCAAGAGATAGAGAACAATTACCGTCTATACTATAATGTTTTATTAAGATATTATAAATATGCAACAATGTTTTTTGAACGACAAGGCAAAGCATAACAAAACCAACAAACCATACATTAATCACGAGGATACCAAATACCTTATACATAATGTTTAAATATGTTCTTACTTATTCTTCGTTGCTGTTATGAGTTCATGTTCATGATTTTGTTATCATTGTTTTTTTTTTTTTTTTTAATGTTACTCATTATGTTTAACTGGGCCTCGTGGAAGACCACCATTATTGGTCATAGTGAGTCAGCCTTTCTAAATATTAGAAATAAATAAATAAATCAATCAATCAATCAATCCGCACTCGGGTTGAGGCTACACGTACACGTACACGTACAAAGCCGCCAGGCTGAGTACGATAGATTCATGAACAAACTCAATAAGAGTGGATAGATCGTTTTATAAGCGAATGAAAACATGCATCATTTCTTTTATACGCCACTCCTAGAACCTTGTTATTTAATGTATAAATAATTAATTTAATATTGTTTTGTGTCATCATCGCTGCAAAAAAAAAACAGAGACATGTGCACTTAGCGTACATAGAGATCAGTGAATAGACTGATATACTTCAAACTATTGCACGCTTTTGAGAAAAAAATGGAATAGTCTCAGTAAATGTGACACGTGACCGCGTCACGATGAGGTGAGGATGTAAGAGTGAGTTGCATAACAGATGCTAATTAAGGTTGTTGACCTTGACAGTTTCTTCAAATGTTACTTCAAATCATTCTGTAATCATGTTAAAGGATACGAATGGATGTCCTTTCTTTCTCAACAGAAGTCATTTTGTATCCTTTTATCCCATTTATTTCACAGAACAAGGCAAGGGATTTATCTAAATCATAGGAACAGAACGAGAACCCCAAGACGTGCTGCGTGTAAAAGAAAGTTGAATTGCCATCCATGTTTAACGACCTACACTTGTGTTCTGATTATGATTTAATTGTAGAATAAATTTCATTAAATTTCTTCATCTGCAGATGATTTGTAAAAGAATACAGGATGCAAGTCTGATATTTTTCATGTGTCTGTTAGCAAACTTAAAGATGAATATGTTAAAAGCCACTTTAGAAATAATGAGGACTTGATAACAAATGCTCTGGTGACATTTGTTTCTAGGTCAATTCCACTTACCTTTAGTGAAACACCTAAATTAAACCCTAAACCAAATCCCAACCGCAAACAATAAATTAACCAAACTCACAACCAAAGCTATAATTTACGAAATGGGCAATAATTCACGTCACATTGGCAGATATAAATGAGGACAAGAGAAAAGAAAAAGAAACAGATAAATTGAGGGGGAAATGACATTAGAACACGGTCATACAGACTTTCGAGTAATCGCCCATCACATTCCATAGAAACCGTTTTCGCAATATGCGATACGTCATTGTTCGAGCAAGGCTATTTATATCACCTTATGCTGATTTTTTCGAAAGTCTTTGAGATCGTGTTTTTAAGTGAGGTCATAGTGAAATAGTATTTGATGAGTATGTTATGATATGAAAAGAAGTGACATGGAATTAAGAGAACGAAAACATCGGAGAGCGTGAGTGAGAATGGGGCGAGAGTTTGGGCAGATGTGTGTATGTGTGTGTGCGTGTGTGTGAGGGTGTGTGTGTGTGTGCGTGTGCGTGCGTGCGTGTGTGTGTGTGTGAGAGTATTTGTATGTTCTATATTCTGTAGCTTAGTATTTTCATCCATTGTATAATCATACGTAACATTCTTTTTACTGTAAATGTATGTATTTTGTTGACTATAGGGCCCCGCTCACAAGCTTAGCTTCTAAAGGGATCCTAAAACCATTCAGTTCATGTTAGAATATGTTGATTGATGTAATATTATTACCAGTCTCATTTTTATGTAACAGATTATATAATGCGTTGTGTGGTTTTTAATAAAATGAACTGAACTGAACTGAACTGAACATACCAAAAGAAAATAAGAAAAAGCAAAAAAAAAAAATTAAAGATTTTTTTCCCTTCCACAGGGTTCTTTATTTTCAAAACAAATTCCATCATATACAGTATATCCATATATCATATACAAATAATTAAAGAAATAATTTTCCATACATAATGGCTTGACACAGATAATAATCATCACGGCCGAAAACTTTTGTGGCAGATAAAAACAAACATTTATGACAAAATTAGTACTTTAAATATATAATAAAAAAGTACCAAACATAAAAAAGCAACAACAATGATGAATAATAATGATAGTAATGACGATTATAACAATAATAATAATAATAATAATAATAAATAAAATATATAAAAATGAGTAATGTAAAATTCCCAACATGAATATCCAAAATTTCGAGGGGGTTTAATAAAGAAGTGAACATCGGAAGCTGTACTCAACAGAATTACGTATTTTACAAAATACTCTTTTTTTAAATCCTTTATTTTGGACCAGCTCACATGATAGTTTACGTATAGATTATTGAAAATAGAGGCTTGTGTAGGTATGTTATATACATATTGTGTCGATGTGTATATATAGATATCACAAATAATCTGAAATTTGTCATGAAAAAGAAACTATTGAACATTTTATAATTCGTTGTAAGAAATTAAGAGTTTTCTGGAAAATTATCTCAAGAATTATATATTTCATTTTTAAAATAGAAATTGAAATTGATATGAAAATGTTATTGATTGGATATAAAATAGATAACAGAAAATTTACTTTACTTAATTTTTTGATAAATTATGCTCAACTGGTTATATACAAAGACTATGTAAAGCGGAACTTTGGGGAAGTACCAACCAATCCAAAGAGGTTAATAAATTATTTTATTTTAACATTAAAATATTATTTGAAATACAAAAAAAATATAAGATACTTCGATAATGAAGAAGTTAAGAAAGTATTAAAAATGTTAAAATGATTATTTTAAGAAATTATATTGATCTTGTATATAATTCATATGTTTCAGATGATTTGTTTTGTAAATAATATATATGTATCAGGCGCGGATCCAGGATTTCTTAGGGGAGGGGGCCCAACTTTTTTTTTTTTTGCTCCCGAAAATTTGAAAATCGCGCCGGCCGAAAAGTCGGTCAGTGGGGGGGGGGGGGGGGGGGGGGGGGTAGTGAGCACATTTTTTTTTTTTTTTTTTGATCCTCAAAAAAAAAAATCAATTTTGCACCCCCCCCCCCTTGAGCGTCAGGGGGGGGGGGGGCCAAACCCCCCAAAAAGGTAAAAATCACGTGATTTTACATGATTTTTTTTTTCTCAAGGGGGGGGGGGGGGGGGGGGTGGGGGGATGTAGAGCCAACCGATTACCGACAAAACTAGCCACCAATTTGCTATGTGAAACTGAGTGGGGAAGTGTGGTCAATTTGGTGAGTTGCACAAAACTGCTACGAATTTTGTTGATATTATCTTAAAAGAAAGATAGATAAATATAAAACGAAAAATAAATAAATAATAATAATACAAAAATGAGAGATATAATCACGACGTAAAGTATTTTGGCGACAATAGTCACAACTAACTGACTAATCGCAAATTAGCTAAACGGAAGAAGAAGGAGGCTGCTTGGTCGGTCGCGGGTCGGTCGTCACAAAAATAAAGGTAATATTTGATTGTCCTATGAAATATTACTATAATTTTTGTTTAAACGAAGTCATATAGTATTTAGACCAAGACATGAATGATTCATGTGTATTTCAAATGATTATTTATCCACAGAATTTATGCAACAGCACCTAAACTTTTCATGGAAAATTATACCACAGTCCCACATGCTTTATTTCATGTCAGCTTGTCAGTGCTATTTGAAATGGAGGATTAAAAAGGAAAGGCCAAGGGTTTTTGTTTAAAATGTGTTTTCACGAAATAAGTAAGATTTATAAACGTTAGGTATATCTGTAAATAAATTATTGGCACAGAGACCATGCTGGAAACTAGTGTTGCATTTTTTGTCAATGATGTTGTTGATGAAAGAAATGTTAAAACTAAACAATTTTCTTTTTGTCAAAGATCTAGACTACTCCACACATAGGTGCATAACTATTCTGGCTGTGTATTAAAAACTGTGCTATTGATTCTCAACATTTCAACACCACTGTACAAAAACTAAACTGATTTCACTCAAAATCGGTACTTTAGTGACAATTAATGACACTGAAATAGCAGTAAAATACAATTTTTTCAACTTTCCAATGTTAGAAAGAATAATTTGAAAATTCAAATTGTGAGTCCACTGTCAAACTTGCCAATCAGCCATATCGGCATGATTGTGTGCATCTGTGTGTTAGGAGTGTAGTGACTTTTCATGTATTCAAATGCTGCCTATTAATAGGGAGGCCAATGCCCGGGCGTAAGGCTTCTACACCTACGATTTGTGCGCTCGTCGCCCACTTCAAAAAATTAGCAAAGGGAAAAAAAATGATGTAAAAATAAAAATTGAAGAAAATAAGAAAAGAAAATACAATTATACATTTCACAACATACCTATAATCACGGATCTGTAACAGTCTTTCACCATTTGTTGACAATCTTGCAGATTTTGACGTTTTTTAATCCAATAATTGTGGTTGCAGACGACCTTGACGCACTCGCACCACCGACTAAGAAAATCCTAGAGGGCGTAGAGGTTTGCTCACTAAAAACCTTCTCATTGGCAGAAGGTAGACCCTAAAAATATGGGATCCGTTTTGAGTAAAGAACTTTTGATAGAGATCAACATTTCAGATGTTCACAATTGCCACTTCTAACAACTAGAAAATATAAAGAAAAAAGATTATATCTTTTTAAATACAGATTTTTACAAAATGAACATTCGAAAGTAGATAGAGTACGATGTTTCTGTCAATCTTGCGTTGGTTTGAGCCCTATAGCTACATCCATCTCAAAATGAGAAGGAAAACAGTGAACAGTGACGTCATTGTTCGCGCCAAAAATAAAGGGTATTGCGACATAATCTGAGCTCCGGTCAGATCGTGCGCAAAGCGTAGTCTTATTTATAGACCCTAGTACCTTATTCTCACTGCACTAGATACGAGTGTCGTGCAGTAATGTATGAGAAGTGTTAAAAAAGATATTTCAGTAAAAAAAAAAGTCTACGTGAGCAGTCTATACTCCAATTGAGAATTGAAATGAAAGCCATGATTTGATGGTGTGTGTTGTATGATACATGGTTAGTGAGTGTGTATGTTACGTATAGCGAAAGGGAGAGAGAGAGAGAGAGAGAGTGAGAGAAATACGTACGTTGTATGCATGGTGCGCTATGATTGTGTTCGCTGCAAGATGGATGTTAATTGGACCTCGTAACTTCTCGATCGTTGATAATAAGGAATACTCATGAGGAAATCAAATTATTGGAATACACATCTAAGGTAAATATCAATGAATTATATATATTTATTTCCTGCCAATTTTCATTTTTGAACCATCGTCTTCGGCTCGTAGTAGTAGAAGATGTAGTCGTTCGCACATTGATGGCTGGACTTCAGCCTGCATCGGGGCTTGCGCCTGTGTCGGTGGAGGGATCAACTAAGAAGAAGAAGGTGTGTACGTGTGCGACCGATTCAAGGCTAGCCGCTGTTGAGTGATTGCACTTTCGCGCGAAGTTTTAAACTTCATCATGAACTTTGTCCCTCGGGCCTGTCTAATTATGAACGTAACTTTGCGACATGAAATATAATTGTTTCAAGGCTCTTACGTACGGAAAGGCGTAGAAGGAAGCTGGATAAAAAGAGCTGGATATCTCCTATTTGATGGAACTTCTGGAGTCGGCAGATGGGTGGATTTTCTTAGTGAAAGTAAATGCTTTCTTTTAATCTTAGTTTTAGTATAAACAAATTAGTAATTAAAAAGTTAGATTTGGGCATTGGCCTCCCTACTATTAACACGTAGTGCAGTGCTAGAGGTCAATACACTACGAGTAGTCCACTCCAGCAAAGCATAGAGAGTCGTAGCGAGAGAGGAGGGGGGGGGGGCTTGAAGAAGAAGATCGAGAAGAAAACAAAGGGAAGAGGAGGAGGAGGTAAAAAAAAAAAAGGAGAACAAAAACAACAAGAAGACTAAAAGAAAAACTAGACCCCTACAAAGAAAATGATGACAAATTTGGAAAGATTAAGAAGAGGAGAAAAGGGACATCAAAATCAAGGAGATTGAAAGAAGAGGATTAAATAGACAAGAGAATTAGAAAAATAAAAAGAGGAGGAAATTAAAGGAAAAGTGAAGAAGTTACATGTTAGAGAAAATTATTCCTCTATTTTCTCAGATTTTTTTAAGGCCGAAAATTAAGGCCTGCATGCCAGGAATTGGAAACTGAAAAGGGCTAGGAATGAGGAATCAATTGTATTGGACCAATGCGGAAGCATTAAATTAGCCAATGGAAGGTATTATTATCCTATCATGAATATCTGATTTGTGGTTGTGACTGAGGGAAATTGAAGTAAGTGACCTTTTACCAAACAAAGCAAAGTTATTTCTGTGAAAGTCTGCATACCCAATGTAATAGATATGTGATTATTCTCTCTAACCCGTTTTATTATTGTTATTATCAATTCAGGTCAAGAGTGAAATCAAGAGCAGAAGGAACATGTATCACCCCGCCTTTAGGCCTGCCTCTTTGGCTCGTTTCCAGAGAGGGCTTCACAGTGCCATCTTCAACCCAAAGACCTCTCTGCATCAAGGGGCCAGCTGCTCTTCTCATCTCCATGAGGTAGTCTCGGACAGACAGCATATGGACTCTAGGAAACATGTCATTGGATGTGTACCAGTGCCATGTTGGGATGCAAATTGTCAGTCTCTACACAATCCAATGTGTGCCACGTCATCATCATCACCATCTTCATCACCATCTTCATCACCATCTTCATCACCATCTTCATTACCAAACTTTACTAGGAAAGGATTAAAAACTAATGAATTGTCCTGCTGGAAAAAGACAAATCAAACATTTTATCAGCATCAGAATCATTTACCAGGAGCTCGGTTCTCTTCCTACCTCTCTCCATCATTACTATCAAGGCAATCTGCAACTCCTTTTCTGCAGCCTTTAGGTGTACCCTCAACAAGGCAATGGGTTCGCCACTCTTCAACTGAGCCTACAACTGCCTACGAGACACTGCTGAACTCCCAACCCGTCCATTTCGCAGAAAGTATCTTCCAATACGTCCACTCTGCAACTGGTTTACCTTGGTGGGCCACCGTCGTAGCCACAACATTCACTCTGCGATTTTCGTTGACCCTTCCACTGGCCATCTACTCTCAGAACATTCGAGTGAGAGTCGAGAACCTTCAGCCGGAGGTCATTGCTCTGGCAAAGAGGTCGTTTGTGGAGAGGTTCGCAGCCAGGGCGAAGCAGGAGAAGTGGTCTGAAAAGAGAGCCCAGCGTGCCTTTGTGGGACTTGTGAGTTTCCATCCGTTGTCAGTTTTGTAGGAATGAGGCCATATGAAGGTTATTCGTTTAAATATGAATATGTTCGGCAGGTCGTCGCACATTTGTGGATAACTCTGCTTCGAAAGATGACTACTCATTTATATGTACCTGTAGACAGGATGCTTAGATGCATTAAGTAGGTAAAACATTTCACCAAAATGAATGATCAAGGGGGCAGGAAATTAGATAGTAAAATTGAAAAAAATGATAATCTTTTTCTGCTACGGTAAATGAATACTGAAGCTCTTTAGTCCTGGGGGTGTTTCATGAAGATTCTACGTTGAACTTATCTCAAGTAGGACTTAACGATTATTGAAAGCCGTTGGCATCCTTGAAAATATTTTGTAAAAGTTACTTTAAAAGGCTTAAAATGTTGATTTAATTCATTTATATTTTCTATTATCATGGGAGATTTCATGTTCTTGACGTGGAATTTATAAAAAGTCTAAAATACTTGAATTTTCACTTTTGAATATATTCCATTATAATGGCTCTCCATAATATTTAGGTCCAACTTCGACTAAGAATCTTTGTGAAACACCCCCCCCCCCCCAAGCTACATGTAACTTTAATGGGTTTTCTTGAGGACTTCATTAAAAAAAACAGAGGGGAGTTGTTAGGATGAGCCTTCAAGTATTATTACATAATTTATGTTCTAATGATGTATTTTTGGCTGCTTCCTTTTGACCTCCGATTTTGACAGGTTAGACGATACTCTAAGGAGCTTTACGTTAGGGACAACTGCCACCCTGCGAAAAGTTCCATACTGTTCCTGGTCCAGCTTCCAATGTGGATCTTTCTCTCCCTGGCTCTACGTAACATGACAGGAGCCTTGTCAGAAAGGATGTATGTTGGTGAGTCCTTTAATAATAACAGAAATGGAGTCTTATATCGTTCGTGTCTGACACACTTCCATTCCAATTATTACCCCAGCTATAGCAACTTATAAATACAATTCTCAGTGACATAGCAACGTAAAAAACTAAAGAGCACATCAAATTATCATATCATATTTTATCAAACTTAAAGGTACTATGTCCCATTTGCAGGCCCAAAAACTGAAAAGGTTAATTTCCAACGGCATTTGAAAGACAATAGTTATTTAGAACTGACCTCAAAACAAAAGGGCTTGAAAATGGCTTTTAGTGGGAGAACAACGACCATTAGTTGTCAAATCAACTTAAGTGATTGCAATCACCTAAGTAATAATAAGCAAATTGCTTGAAAAAATGACAGCACAATGGATGTGGAGCAGCTACAGTATATGCATGTGTGATTCTACAGTCCTGAATAGATCAAAGTTTCAGACCTTTGTTATATGTATGTCATCATGACAAGGGGCTGTGCCTCCGAATAAAGTTTATGTGTCTACAGTAGCCTTGTATGGATGTGTTGTTCCAGATGTACTGTATACCTGTTATGTGAATACTGGGTGAAAAAGCATCTTATCCACAAATATGAAGATGATAGAGAGATATGTATGGATGTTATTTCTCAAGACTAGATTAATGCCATTGCAACAATACTCCTCCCCTCCAAAAGTATGTATTTCAAATGAAACTCATCATCATACTTTGAAATAACAAGGATCACCATACTCAATTCAAAATAGTTTTGAAAAAATGAAGAGAATCAAAACACTTCTACTTGATTAAAATAGTACCAGTAATCAAAATATGAGGTCAATACTTCATTCTAAATTTCTAACCATTAACTTATGAGTAGTTCATCTTCTATTCATATACTGTGACAGAAATAAATTTTGTGATTATCATTCACAGACCCAGCCAGCATAGTGCCTGACCTAGCAACAGGAGGGACTCTGTGGTTTCCTAGTCTCATAGTTCCAGACCCAACCTTCATCTTGCCAGTCCTTGTGGGCGTTCTCAACCTGAGCAACATTGAGATGCATGCACTGCACAAGGGCAGAGTGACGAGAGTGCAGCGATATGTGAACAACTCCCTGAGGACGCTGTCTGTAGTCATGATTCCCATTGCAGCTTACATGCCCTCGGTGAGTTATTACGGCCTTTAATAATTTATTGTATTTTATTTCATGTCATTTCCAGGAACATAAAGAAGTATAACTGGAATACAAGAAAACTCCTTAACCATTTCTATACAATGCCAGGTACCCGTAATGTTTCTCAATGAGATTTTATACATTCTAGGTCTACAAAAATGATTGGTACACTTTAAAGGTATTAGTTTACTGAGTTCTGAACTTCTTTGGGAATTTTTTAAGGAATCAGAAAAAACTCAGGCTGAGTGTTCTATACAACAAATAGATGATCGTTTCTATTTATTGCAGAAGAACATGTAATAGCTAAGCAAGTAGAATTAAGGGGGAAATGAAGGGGAAAAAATTGCACTGTGGGCATATGAGCCTAACATGCAGTGTCTATGTGAAAATGAGACTTACCATTGCCTTCTGATAAATAGGACTCCCAGAACTATATTTGTTTATAACTTGGTAGTAAAACAGCCCATAGACTGCATGATACATTTAGAATGAAATCAATTTTCTCTAGAAATACACTTACATTGCAGAATTTCAAGAATTGCTTTAAAAGAGACAACGTGATGGAAAGTTTATTTCTGAGAAGGTTTAAAGGGATCGTTTAACAATGTTAAATCTGAGATACGTGTTACCAGTGTCTGTGATATGGTGTAATATTGAAGCCCTAAAAAAAAAATCGCGCTTCAAAATGATCAAGAAGTGCCTCAAAAAAGTAAAAATCTTTGAGTGACCGGTTTTACCATACTCGTTTTCCCCAATAGACTGTAGTGTTATGAAAATTGTTCGGCGAACGGTTTTCAAAATTTGTAATTCCAATCATTAATATCTTGATAATCAGACAGGCGATCGGCTTGTAAAAGTCAGGGAGTTCCTGACTGACCTAAAAGTTTATAATTATCATTGCAGCATGAGCTAAATCAAGGATTATTTCTAAAGGATCTAAGACAAAGTTACCGGATCCCTTTAACACAAAAATCCTAATTGTTGGTAATAAATTGCTTACCTGTCACGTCTACGTTGATTGCAATCTTGGGAAGTCTTGGAAAGTGATTATATTTCACGTGGAATGGGTTCAGGAAACCAAGAAACTTCCCTTGAGGAAACGAGTTGAGAGACATTTGTGCGGTAAATGAGGACAGTCACATCGTTAAAAACGATTCTGGAACTAGGTTAGATGTATTGTTCTTGATTGCTTAAAGTGTGCCAATCACCTAAACAATTATTTGTGTATCTAAAGATAGAATGTATACTGAAAAGTAACCTGGAAAGACATTACCTGGAGTTTTGTAGGTTAAAAATTGAAGAGTATGAAGAAAATAAAGGACAACATACAACCCTAAAAATAAAACAAAGTCGGACTTGAGTGCATGGAACCCATGTCCAACTCAGTTCTGTGTGCGCCCAATTCTATGCTGATGCATACAGGAGCATCGACCAGTCTCTACTCTACAAGTCATTTCAATATATACTGAGAGTTCATGTTAAGTTAAATAAGTGATATTCAAAGCTTATATTTTGAAAACAGTTAAGCGACATGAAACCCATTACATTAAGGGCAATACATGTTTTGACGATTGGTACTCTTTAAAGTCAAACAAATTATAGTCTGTTAAGAACTACTTATACATTTCTGCTAAATCAGTGACTTTGGTAGGATATTACTGCTGAGTAATAATGAAGAATGAATACTAAGAAAAGAAAGTAAACATCGTCATTCCAAATTTCCAACCCACATGAATGACACATAGTTTCACTTATGAGTTGTACTTTCAAGTGGTTGTGATTTTCAGCAATTATTTATTTGCTTGCGATTTTGCTTGTCTAAACAACCCGCTTACTGCAAGTCAGAATTTCTTCATCCTAGTTTCTCCCCAAATTCACTTTCACCATGGAAAGGGCACAAAAAGCAGTAGTAGGAAAGAAGAAGTCTAAAAGGACCATTTGTCTGTCACAGGTGAACATCAGCAAGTAGCTTCTAAAGTCTAAATTAAAATTTACTAAAAATTCATATTGTGTTTTTACTTGTGTGAGATGGATGTATTACATGATGATTGTTTCCCTTTGAATTTGATGATTTCAGCATAGAAGTTCAGCAAAAGATAAATTTCTTCCTCTCCTATGGTTGGCAATTGGAAATATGTAAATGTATCAGCTTAGTCTGGTTTTATGGTCATACCCCGGTCCCTCACCAGTAAATCTAGATTTTGTGTCTTTTTATCTACCGGTAGGCGATGGCCCTCTACTGGTCTGTTTCTGCATTCTACGGCCTGGGACAGAACATCCTTCTCAAGATACCCTCGGCTAGACGAGCTCTCGGTATGCGCTCGTCAAAAAGCGACACCGATACGCCGTTCTTGGACATGAGAGATGAATTTCTGGTGCGATACCTGGCAAAGGATGGAGGGAAGGAGAAGAAGAAGAATGAACAGTTGGATGAATTGAGGGATGGAGAGATAGTGAAATCAAAGAAGACAGATTTATGACATATTTCGGGGTGATTTTCAAGTCATGTGGATTTTATCATGCCTTTATTGTGAATGTATCTAAGTCTGTTCTTATTATTGGGTTTTCTTTTTCTTATTCCATGGAATATCTTCGATTCAGAAAGTAAAGTGCCTTATTAAAGAGTAATAATAGAAAAAATGATAGGAATTATATCACCCAAATTTAACTCTTTTATGGTAACAGAATACTGGTAGGTTAATTGATTGGAGGTGAAAGGCCTTAAGTTTTTGTTTTTAAACCCACTTAAGTATAGACAAGATCTGTATTTTAATCACTCATGTTTTTAATAAACCTTGTATTAAATTGAATTGAATGAAAGTGTACAACTCTGTAGTAGGCTCATACCATGAAAATAAAAGGAATTGTACGAATGCTCAAAGGCTGATTCAGATGTATGTATGGTAACAGTCTGAAGCAATTCCTAATTTTCAATTACAAACAAGCAAAGTGTTCATGAAGTTCATATTCTTAAGGTGAAAACAGTGAAAATAACTTTTAAAGATTCACCCAGATGTACTTTGATGTTCCCAGCATGCATTGTAATATCCATGGTTAAAAGTACAAATGTATATCCTTCCCAAAGTATTGCTTAGAAAATGTGTTATTCAACAAGTGAGCTTATAATCAGAAAAGCATATCTAATATCAGGATACATTACAGGGAAAACATATTTTTGGAAAACATGGTTATTTTAGTCATCAATGCGTGTCTGAGGTCGAGATGTAATGAGGTTACTTTACAAATTGAAAGCAAACCTCTACTAATGACAAAAACAGATCTAGCAAAACATGAATGTGATTTTCAGGATGATTTGGGAGAGAATGGCATAAATCTAGCCTGGGGGTGGGGGTGGGGAGGGCACCCCTCCTCCTCCTCCTCCCCTGAAAGACATTATTGGGACGCAATTAATTGTGATTGCCGTCAGACATTGTTAGTCACTCATCTTTTATGGGAGCTGCTTGGTACTATTTCTGTTGCATTGTACTAATTAGAAACATATTTCATGTACCCCAACATGCATTATAATTCCTGATATACAAACGTAACCAAAGTGTAAACACTCCCATTATTTCTGTTGTGTAAAGGAAGTGAAATGTGGTTGAGTAAAGAAAGAGGTATGAAAACTTTAATGACCTTTTGATTTTGATACGATGAGTTTTGTTGTTACTGTACATACACTTACTTGCTGCTGAACCTGTCTACTTTAAAAAAATTTGATAGACAGGATTGAGGAATAAGTGGATTTGAAAAGTTCAATTAAGTTCAGGCAACATATCACACAGAGTATGTCATGGAAAAAAAAAATCAAAAAGGGAGGGAGGGAGAGAGAGAGAGAGAGAGAGAGAGAGAGAGAGAGAAATAGGGTGTGAGAGAGGGAAATTGATAAACAGATGAGAGTGAGAGAGATATAAAAATGATATAGAAAGTGACAGAGAGAGGGAGAGAGAGAGAGAGAGGGGGGGGGGGGGAGGAAGGCAGGATGGAAGCTCTTGTAGATGATCCTACTGTAAGTTTATTTAAAGTCATGATAGTCAATAAAAATCAAGAAATGATTATATCTGTATCTCTTTCTGTTTATCTCTGTTTTTCTGTCTAATCTGTTTCTCTCTCTCTCTATCTATTTATCTCTCCTTCTGTTTCTCTGTCTCCATTTATCTCTTTCTGTTTGTCTATATCTTTCTCCCTCTCTCTACTTCTCTCTCTCTCTCTCTCTCTCTGTGCCATTGTCTCCCTCTCTGTTTTTATCTGCCTGTCTATCATTCTCTTCCCCTCTGTTCGTCTGCGTTCTCTGTCCCTATTTATCTGGAATAATCCCCCCCCCCTTTCTTCCTCTCATCCCTCTATCCCAGTTCCCTCGGTCTTCGTCTTTTGTTAAACGGTATTAAAAACGCTATTACATTTTTTTTTAAAGACAACTGGGTCGTTTTCATAAACCGTCGATTAATTGTACAGTGTCCTGATGGAATCCTGATCTTAATTTGTCACGTCTGGAAATCATAATTTTCTTGAACACGTCAAACGGAAAGAATTACAGGTTTTATAGTAGGAAGCCAGAGAGGAAGAAAGAGGGATATTACAGATTGGATAGATATTGTAGATGAGAGTGAGAGAGATAGAAAGATGATAAAGAAAGTTACAGTGAGAGAGAGAGAGAGAGAGAGAGAGGGGGGGGGAGGGTGGGAGGAAGGCAGGATTGAAGCTCTCGTAGATTTTCCTATACTGTAAGTTTTTTGAAAGTCAGTGCTATCGTCAATAAAAATCAAGAAATGATAATATCTGTATTTCTATCTGTTTATCTCTGTTTTTCTGTTTATATTTATCTCTCTATCTGTTTCTTTCCATCTCTCTCTGTCTCTATTTATCTCTCTCTATCTATTTCTCTCTCTGTTTCTCTGTCTCTATTTATCTCTCTATCTGTTTTTCCATATCTCTCTCCCTCTCTCTATCATTCTCTCTCCCTCTCTCTCTCTCTCTCTCTCTCTCAGCCATTGTCTCACTCCACTGTCCATTCACTTTCTTTGCCCCCATTACTCTGGAATACTTCCCCCTCTCTCTCTCTATTCCTCTAATCCCTCTATCCCAGTCCCCTCGGTCTTCGTCTTTTCTTGGACGAAAATAAAAACACCAATAATTTTGTGTATAAAGACAACTGGGTCGTCACCTTAAACCGATGATCAATTGTACAGTGTCGTGTTGGAATCCTGATGTTACTTTGTCACGTCTGGAAATCATCATTTTCTAGTAAAAGCCAAACGGAAAGAATTACAGGTTTTATAGTAGGAAGTCAGAAAGGAAGGAAGAGGGATATTACACCCTAAAGAGTGGAAGTCATTGTTTGTTAGCCGTACCCCCCCCCCCTACATCAGTGATGATTTCCAGAATATTTACCTTTCCATGGCATTTTTTATACAAGGTTGAGTTTTTAAAAGGGTTAAAATAATTTGTAAACTTTTTCATTCCTTTTTTTTTAGTGGAAAAGTATCAAAGTAAAAAAATTGTCCTCTGAAAAAGATGTCTTAATTTCCAATTGTCCTCTTATCGTTTTCACAATATGACACGTGACAATGTCGTGGGCCACATTTTCATGACACATATGTTTGTGTACTCCCATATATACATTTCGCAAGATTGGGCCAATTTCGTATCATTCTGATTGTTCCTAACCTCACAGTATACACCTAAACTTATGTGCTTTAGGTTCAATCTTTTCCAATCGCTTCCACAGAGATTCTTTCACAATTCAAATGCAAAGTGCAAACGCTTGGCCAGAACTCAAATTTATCTTTAAAAGGCAAATTATGGTATGGTCCTCTAAAATTTGTTGCTAAAATATCCCGTTAAAATATCAAGATATTACAGCAATGCTAAGTTGCTTTAAAGTTAAGCCCTTTTCTCTTTCTCTCACTAAACAAAATGAGAGTTAAATACATCCTGAGCGAGGATTGAAATGGAATAGTACACAGATACATTTGAAACGTTCCATGAAGGGAGGAGCTGCATCGGTATTACTAATTACACGAATAAATAACTTTTCTGCTTTTTTTCTCTCTTTTAGTTTTCTTTGTCATGTTTTGTTCTTCAAATGAAACACTGATAGACGTTTAATTTTATACGTCCATCTCTTATTCCGAACCATGAAATTACATTCTCTCCTGCAATTGCTTTGTGCTAAAATGTACTGCCCGTTTTTATAATATATTTTATCATAAAGTTCTTTGCACTTTGGAGTATAAGCTAGCCCGATTTGTTTTGTACTTTTATCAGAGTAAAACAGCTTGATAAATGACGTCCAGTTAAGATGTCACATATTACTCTCTTATCATTTAATTGAGCCTGAATGCATGGGTTTATTGTGAGATTATTACCATGTTTACTTGATTTGCATACAGTCAGGGGCGGCGATCCCGGGGGGACGGGGGGGACACGTCCCCCCTCAATTTTTTTTTGGGGTCGTCCCCCCCTGGAAATTTGAAAAAGTGCAAAACAAATTGTATAGCATATACTGAATAATGACTGCAACACACTTTTAGGCTCCGGAAGGCCCAAGAGTGCAGCGTTTAGACTAATAAAATTGCAAAAAAAAATCTCGCTCCCTCGCATAACATCCTTGTAAAAAATTTCGCATTTCGTCCCCCCCCCCCCCGATCATTAACAGAAATCGCCGCCCCTGAATACAGTTAGTACTTTTCCATTCATGTTGATCTCTAATTACAGCTAAAGGGTGATATACTTTATTACAATTACAAAGCCTGAAAAGAAAGGGGAGCAAAGAAATGTATAGTTCATTAAATTATTCTCAATTTTCTGTTACGCTCTATTCTCTTGTTTTATCTCCAATTAGAATCTTTGTATATTACATTCACCCTTCTCTGATCTTCAGTCTCTCTCTGTCTATGTCCCTTCTGTCTTTATTCATATATCTCCCTTTCTCTATCCTCCACCCTCCCCCTCCCCTACCTCTCTCTCTCTCTCTCTCTCTCTCTCTCTCCCTCTCTCTCTCTCTTTACTTACCTCCCTTTCACTCTTTCAATTGCTCACCAACCACGAGGTATAATCAGGACGCACAGCTGAAATTAAGAACTTTATTGGAAAATCTAAAAAACAAGGTCATTGACTTTAAAAAGATCGAACTTTACCACAGACTAGAAATATCCGGGTACTTTTAAGTACTTCAAGCTTTATATTGGCAAATTACCAACAGGTGCATTTTGGTGTTTGGGCTCCAATCATCGCATAATGGCTATTAAAAAAAATGCAAACGAACCCGAAATTCTTTCGATAGCATGAACAAGGATCTGAATTTACATTCGCTTATGATGAGTACAATAGTTTGTTCCATGTTCTTCACGAGTTTAGATGAAGTTTTCCTTGGGTATAAATCATTATTTTTATATTTTAAAAAATATTGGCAAAAAGCTCTTTTATCAAAATAGAAAAGATTTCATTGTCCACTCAGGGAGCTGATACTTGTTAAGAATCAAGTTCTACATTTTCATTAGAGAGTGACTCATAACTAATAAATGACGAAACATTTCGAAGGCGATTTATATGATGTCGAAACTATTATGCAATCAAAGCTTCTGAATCTCGCCTTCCATCATAATTATCCATAAAAGGACACGTTAAAATTTGTGATGCAATTCGGAGTCGATGAGAGACACAACGAAAATAGAAGTTGAATTCGGGCCGGGGTTCGTGAGCACTAAATTTGTTTTCTTCATTTTGCCTCCCCGAAATTTGAAGAAAGTGCCGACCAATATTTCGGGGGGGGGGGGGGGGGACTGAATTCAGACAAGGATTAAGAATAGAGAACGGTACAATGAATCGATTTCTTTCTCTAATAATTAAATGAAACGTGAAGGGGGGAACTGAATCCAGACAAGGATTAAGAGTCGGGAACAGTACAACGAATCGTCTTCTTTCTCTAATAATTTAATAGAAAGTCAAAGCTTCCGCGCTTCGCGCGGGAGGGGGGAGGGGGGCGAACTGAAAATAATTTAGCTCCAGGTCACGGGTTTATATAGGGTTTAGACATTGGGACATTGGCATTAATATATTTGTCGGTAATTGGTGGCCAGTTTTGTCGGTAATCGATGGCCTCTATACCCCCCCCCCCCACTAAAAAAAGGTCTAGCGACGCCCCTGATTACGAGAACTGGACTGCCATGATTATGTAGAAAGTATATGGGAATGGGGAAATAAGAAGGCTTGACCATCGGAAGCTGGACATCATACGTGATTTTCCTCGTTATCTAATCCACCGTCCCGGTATACCTTGAGATAATGTTTTGAGTATTTTCCATGCGCATCTTTTCGTAGAAAACAGGTTAAAATTCATCACTAGGATATGAGGAAATAGAGAAGAGTACTTCCCGGTTGGACGGATGGAGTGGGGTGTCAAGCACTTGTGTGGGAGAGGGACGGTCGGTGATGAGTGAGTGAGAGAGAGAGAGAGAGAGAGGGAAAGAAAGAGAGACAAAGAGGCAGAGAGAGGCAGAGAGAGAGAGAGAGAGAGAGAGGGTGGGGTTAAGGGATAAATATGTACACTAGATACAGAAAGGAAAAAGTTGTAATTTCATCACAAAAACACTTCGGATATGGAGGGAATCGAGTAATTAACAAAATAATTACAGAATACTAAGAGAGAGAGAGAGAGAGAGAGAGAGGGGGGGGGGTAAAAGGAAAAAATCAAGAAAATCAAGGACAAATTGTAAATTGACAGGACAGAATACTAAGAGAGAGAAAAAAGAGGGGGAGAGACACACACAGAAACAGAGAGAGAAAGTAAAATAGAGAGAGCTGACACAGAAATAGAGAGACTACGAAGAGAAAGAGGGGAGAGAGAGAGAGAGAGTGCATGCTAGAGTGGAGAGATGGACAGCTATAGAAAGAAAAATGTATTTTGTGGTTATTAATCATTGACAGGGCAACGTGCGTGATATTGGTACGAGTTGTGGCAACCTCAAAACTATTTTGTTTATCAATCCTTGAATGTCCGGTCATCCTCTTTCGATTTCCTCGATTTCCTCGTGGTTACCGCTTCAACTACTGATTAATACATATACCCTACTAAACCTAACTAATCACCACGTTACCCACTTTCTAAATCACACCAGGACTCACCACCAGCTTTTGAACAGGGGCGTCAACAGACCATTTGAAATGGACTGTGGGGGGAGAGGGGAGTGGGGGGGGGGGGTAATTTAACCTGTTTAACCAAATTTTCCCGAAAAGTAAGCCAAAAACAACAACAAAACAAAAACAACAACAAAGAGAGGAGACTAAAACGAGGCGGGCTCAGATTTTAAATTTTATTGACGATTTTTAAATCAGTCGTCAGATTTTTTACATTTGGTTTTAACAGATGTTCCATATTTTTTCGACGAGAAAGAAAAGACAAATGAAAGAGTAGGAGGAGAAATATAATAATGATGATGATGATGATACAAGGAATAAGAGAGAAGAAGAAGAAGAAGAAGTAGATGATGATGATGATGATGAAGAAGAAGGAGAAGAAGAAGAAGAAGAAGAAGAAGAAGAAGAAGACAAGGACATCGAATTTTTGCAATTAGCTGACAAATTTCTAGAACTTTGAAGAAAAATCTGACAGAAAATGTTGAATGAGGATGGCTGTTACCCCCCCCCCCTCTAACAACGCCCCTGCTTTACACACTTATTCTATAATTATTATAAAGGACCCCACTTGTAAATTAAAACACAGACGTTTGAACTTAATGCTCCGCCTACGCGCACGTTGTGCTTTTGTGGTATTCTGGTTTTGCACTCCTCCTGAAAAAGCTCATTTCCCTTCAGACAACTCTCTCATAGTCACGTACTTTCTGCAACCAACAAAAACCAGCCGCAGACGACAGAAAAACTTGAAGTTTCTGTACTGCTTTACTCATTTTATCTTTGGAATCCTTTGCGTCAAGACGAGAGTCAGCTAGAGCTCTGTATTTGTTTGAAGTGACATCGTTTGTACCTTTTTGAGAAAGATACTTTTGCTCCGTCATAACGCTAATAATTATAAGAAATATCAAATGCTAACTCCATCGACTTCTTGATCTAGAACGCTTTGTCTGCTCCTCGCCAATTAAAAAAAATATATGAATAAGAGCTCCATTCATGTCGGGAACATCGCTGTTTTCAGCAAGAGATCTACACATTTTGTTATTGTAATTGTTAAATTGTATTATATCAGGATTCCTTTGTTAAAATTTATTGAACAATTACACTAGTTTGCAGCAATGGATTTGTACGCGAGTCTCTGCTCCAGTTTACTATTCCTTGTCAGTCTCATGTCAGTTGCCGAATGCTACAGAATGCCTTTAGTTGGTAAGTCTTCACTTTCATTCATTTTCCACAAAGAATTAATCAGAGGCCCGACCAGAGGTTGATGATGGCAGATACGCATTTTTATTCATGTTATTAAATATCGTTGTAGTTTCCATGTTTTAAAATAATATCCCGTTTGTGTAACAAAACGCCAATGTTGCTGAATGCATTTTCAAGTCTTATGATCAAGTTGGATAAAACCGACTGTTCTTTCCTCAATCGATGACCGGGTGTGTATGTGTGTGCGTGTTTGGGGAGGGGGGAGGGGGGGGGGGGGCTGCACACATCTCTCACAAAATAAAATGTCTAAATGTCTTATTCAATTTACACGGAGAAACAAACTTCGAACTGAGAAAATATTGCAATGCATCTAAATATGCATATCTTATAATACGACGGTAACCCTAAAAATAAAAATGTTAAATCACAATTAAAAGGGTCGAGGAGTGACAACTTTGTTTAAATGTTAGACTGACACTTTTAGAATGCTAGATCCGACCTCGATAGTGTTGGACCCAGCATGATCAAAGTGTTCATCAATATATATCATTTTGAAAGAAAAAAAAAGTTGTCACTCTTCTTCCCCAAATGGTGATTTCAAATGAGTTTAGTTTTTGAGTGTACCAAATATCAATAGTCATCATTCGATTTCGTCTGTTTAAAAATATTTATTTGTAATAATTTTTGTAGTTCGTTGAACCTTTTTCAGTTTAGGGGGGGGGGGGGGTGACCAGTAAGAGTATTTCCAATATTTACCAGATTTAGAATCAATTTCTAAAACCCGAAAGTGAACAAGATTTTAAGAATGAAATTCTACAAAAATAGACAAAATTATTTACGCAGACTACGCCTTTGAAAAGAGGACTGGAGATGCAAAATACAACTGTACTTTTGCCCAGCATGTAAGTTAATGTTTTACCTCTCGACACGCCCCTTTTACTGACAGGTAGAACCCCCCCCCCCCCCCCCCCCCTCTAAAGCAGTGTCCAATCAACAACGACTTCGCCGTCCGTCTCTGCTTATTGGTCTGTCAATCATTTACTTGTTAAACCCTTACCCCGTCCTTTGACTCACAGGTAGAACCCGCCCACAACAGCAGTGTCCAATCAACAACGACCTTACCTTCCAGCACTGCATGTCAGCCTGCCAATCACACACGTGTGAAGACGTCATCAACGAACCTCCTTCTGGCTCGTGGCCTTGTATCCGAATGTGTGTGAGCGGGTGGGCGTGTCCCCGTGGCCAGGTGCGATTGGATGGCTACACGGACGTGTGCACAGCGAGGGACATGTGCACAACCAATGAGACGAGCTGTAACCATAACAACGAAGTAGTTCGGGTAAGGACACACCTTCTTCAATTTAAGTTTTTTAAAGGCGGGCCCAGGATTGTCAAAAAAAGGGGAGGGGCAACAAGTTTCTGAAAACCGCGAAAGACACCCACCCATGAATAGCTCTTTGTGCCCCCTTGATCCGCCATTATGGGCAGCGCAATGTTACAATATTTTTTTCTTCAAATAATGGGGAGGGGCTTTTAATTTTTTTCCTGAAACGATCCACCAATGAAAAGTATAGTTAACATCGTCTGGTTTTACGTAAACCTCCCAAACATTTTATTCGTCAGATGTAAAAAAAAAAAAAAAAAAAAAACGACTAGAAAATGTAGTCCCAAGTAAAGAATCGTCCCTACATGGTCGTGATAATTATGCTTTACATATCATTTTGAATTCATATACTGGTTTGTAACTCGATCCTGTCAAAAACATAACGTTAATCAGCGGATTTGCAATAAACATCTTTCGAATCTTATGACGATTACATCATATTCAATATCGCTGTGAACATTGGTACTGCTCTCAATGGTCTTTCATCGGCGTAATGATCTGTTTGACAAAAGCCTTGAGTTGAACGAAAATTTAAAAAACAGGTTACATCTATAAAGGTCACGCTAACCATATGGAAAATTAATTACATCTACATGGATATATAAATGGCACTTCCATAAACAAATTATCATTGGCGATGTGGGTATAAACACAAGGATATTTTGACAAGGTTACCTGAGCTGTACATGGACCCTGGAAATTGTCGGCTTATCGGCCTTTCTTTTTTGGGGGGGGGGGGGGGGAATAGGAATAATGAAGAAAAAAAGGAAATGAAATTAAGTTCCCTTTCTTTTTTCTCTGCTTATCTCTCATTCTCTTTTCCTTTTAAATTGTACTATGATTATAATTTTTATTATCATTAATATCATTATTAATATGGCGTAGATCTGTAATTGATACATATTTGGTCGGGGAGGGGGGGGGGGAGGTGATCTTGGGGTGATCTATTCATTCATCCCCTGAACAATAGGTACTTAGTTAGGATCACTGATCATTAATAATTGTATAACTATTATTATTTATTTATGTATTCATGTTTTCTGTTGTTCGAGGGAGGCGAGCACGTACCCTCTCTCCTTCACCACTGAATGTAACATAATTATCAGCATTCTATTGGATAGTTGTGTACCTAGCGCTTTACCCTGGATAAAATTAAAAGCGATTAAAGACCTGCCATTCCAATCAGCCAAAAGTTTACAAAAAGGACGTCGAAAGCGATAAACAAACATTTCCGAAAGAAACGGGAAACAGATCG